GAACTTACATTTTTATCATTTTATTTTAAAAATATGTGGTTTAGTAGTGTGATTTGTTTTACTTTTGATTTTTTTTAACCTATAATGTACAAAAAGGAGCCAAATGTTGAATCTACAAATTAATCCAAAATTTCCATAGCAACCGTTTTCATTTTCGTTTTATTTATTTTTAAGAAATATTACCACCCTAGAAATTTTATATTTTGTTGAGTAAGGAATGACCTTTTTAGTGATGGTAGTTGTTTGTTAAGGATTGCCTGCGTTTTCTTGCTACTAGGCTTAGAAAATGCCAAAAATTGGCATTTTTTCAAATTTGTTAAAATTTGAAAAATTCACACTTTTTACTTAAAGACAACTCTTTTATGACCAACTACTGAATAATTTCATCAGTTGTGGTAGTTACTCCAACAAATATTCTATCAGAGTAGGCAACAATTAAATCTGTAAATAAAATGCAGAAAATAGAAATTTATGATGAAGATTGTATACTTTCAGTAGGTTGCTCTGTATTTTTGGCCTCAAAATGGTGGTTTTGGTTACCATGGCAACCGGGACTCAAAATAAAAAATTATCCCCAAAAATGTTCTATACATGGTGTTTCTACATTGCATGCAAAAAATCAGCAAAATCTGTGATGTACCATTTCCAACTTTTTTCTAAATTCTTTGATTCTTACAGAGAATGACTCTTAAAATTCAATTCATATCCGATATTAATAAATAAATGAGGAAACATGAGGACCGAAATCCAATTAATCATATAATTGTAGTATCTGTGCGACTGTCCCGTGGTACGACTTACTGCCTGTATTACGTCAGACGGCGGGATAGTCGCACTCCCCCTCTTCTACACCTGGATGCCGAGCAGACAGGACGTGTCTGGGACAGCAGCTGCGCGGGAAGTCGACCCGGGCCAGAACACACTGTGATTGTGTTTGTATATATGTTGAATGTTAATAAATATATTGTAAAGAACACCTCCTATACGGTTACTTTACTGGCGCCCAATTCGCGGGGCCCGGAGATTCCCTTACCATTGCTTACTGCTTCAAGTGAGGTATTTTTAGACATCGGTTTTAGCCGCCATTTTTGGTGCTGCTAGGTACGTAAGAGCACGTGTTGATTTTTCATGTATTTTTCTCTGTGGACTTTAGTGTGTCCTCTCTTTCTGGGGATGATTTTCAACCCCGGAGCCCAATGCCTCACACTACCTTTGTCCGAGACTTGGTGAATACTTGGGACATGTCCAACCCCCACTGCCCGATCACACCCAATCCCTATGGTACCAAGGTGAGGATATTCAAACCCCACAGCTAGGTATGGCTATGCTTAGTGTATTACAGCAGCATAGTGTCCCTGTGTCAGCGACTAGTAGTCCTGCCTATCTCAATACCTTGGCCTGCCATTTTGGAAGGGAGGGAGGAGGATGGCACATGAGCAGCCGAATATATGTGGGCCCGCCAAGCTGGGACACTATGCTAGTCAGCCAGTCCCGGCCTACAAGGATCGCAGCTTTGGTACAGCTTTGGTACAGTAACACCTACACAGGACACCAGTAGGGTAGCTGGGAGTAAGCCCAGGTACAAGGACCTTAGGTATGATGGTAAGACCAGCTGGAAGGCATTTTTGCATAAGGTCATGAGGTTGTCTGGCAGTCAGCTGTGGACCGAGGAGGAGCAGCATGACCAGTTGTGTTTTTCCCTTGAAGGGGCAGCAAGCGAGTATTATACCCTGCTGTTAGAAACCAGTAGTCAGCTCCGTCTAGGCGAGATCCTGCAGAGATTTGAGAAGCGTTTTGGCTCCTCTGCCCCAGATCTCGCGCATCAACTTAACTTCCAGTCTGCCAACCAGGACCCAGGAGAGTCACTGCGTCATTGGGCCGACAGGGTCCTGACCTTGGCGACACGAGCCTTCCCCAATGTGCCTGATGTGCACACTCATGCTATACCTCGGCTATGCTATGGAGCTGAGGACAGAGATGCTGGTCTTTATGCGCTTGATAGGCATCCCTGGACAGTGGAGGAAGCCGTGGAGCGCATGCAATACTATCAACACTCACGGCATCACAGGCCTAAGCAGTCAAGGGAAGTGAGAAAGCTGGATTCTGCTCATGACATGAAGCAGACTGATCCCGGGAGAGTAAATGTTGCTGCTGTGAAGGAGCTCACAGCCCTCCGGGGCAGGATAGAGAAACTCAAGGAGTTGATGAGGCAGAGGGAAGCTGCCCCCCTTCAGAAACATCAGAGGAGTGGTACCCCGTCACCCAGATGGACAGAGCGGGACTGGAAGCCTGCTGTATGTTTCAGGTGTGGAGAGGTGGGGCACTTCCGTAGAGATTGCTCCACCCGAGCTGCAGGGAAGACGATGGCTACTGACGGGCAAAGGGGCGGGACCAGTATTGGAGGACTCTCTGTAGAGTTGTTTCCTACGTTGGATTCCAGGGAGCTGGGGATCGGTGTTTCCCGCTCCTGTGTGCGGTGCCGGCGCAAGCGCCACAGACTGAAAGATCATTTTGGGATTCCACCATCACCGGAGCTTTGCTTGGCTGAGGAGGAAGTGGTCACCATGGAAGAGGAGGTGGGGACTGTATCTCCCCACTACACTCTGGAGCCGCTTGGACCAGCCATGGTTGGTGATGAGCCCCATGACCTGGGAGGGTGGACCCATGTGATGTTGATCTGATGCTGCCTGCAGGGATGGGTAATCCCTGGGCACCGGTGAGAGTGGGTAAGGAGCCGTCTATACGCACTGAGCGTTTATGCGGATCTAAAGGTTTTACTGTTGGCCTGTGCGTGCAAGGCATGGAAGTTACAGCAGTAGTGGATACAGGGGCTGAGGTCAGCGTGTTGTCGACCAAGATGTATGATCAGCTGGAGCCTAAGCCCCCAATCCTGGAAAATGTGACCATGAGACAGGCCGGAGAAAATGCAGAGTTGGAAGGATTTATAGTGGGGCCTGTCACTCTGTGTATTGGTCAGCAAGAGCATGAAATGGAACTTCATGTTGCCCCACTACAGGACGCTATGTTGCTGGGCATGGATTTTCTCCGTGCCCGGAAAGCCCAGTTAGACTTGGGGCAAGGCACCCTTACTCTGGGGGATGAGGCCATAAAGGTGGAGTTCAGGAGGTCTGGTGGTATTCCAGAGGAAGGAGTGACCTTGAGAGGAGGCCCACTAGTTGAGGCAGACAGGTGTATGTCTGTTCCCCATTTAGTGAGGGACTTTGGTAGTGTGGCGCCTCTGACCCGTCTCGGAAGTACACTAGGTATACCAGGCCCAGTAGTAGAGATGTTTGGAGAGTCCCTCTTGGATTCTGCCATAGAGGATATCGGTGTCGAACCACTATCCCCAGGACCAGCCCAACCTATTTTCAATAAGGTGGACTATGGTCATGTTTCTTGGCGATTACCGAGTTGTGTGGGCAGGGGCCCAACCCCAGAGGAAGAAGTCACCAAGGACCATGTTGCAGAAATGGGGACAACCCCGTATGATTTAGGCAGTCCCTGGTCGTCTGATGATTCGATACCAGAGGAGAAAAGTACTTGTCGCTTGTACAGATCCAGGCGGAGGCGTGGGCGACGCCGGAGGGCAAGTTTGCCCTCCAGAGCCTGATGGTGTAAGTTTTGTCAGTTTCTGAGTTGTGAGTGGGCCTGGTGACCTTGGCCCACTCGGTGAATGTTATACAAGAATTGTTAGAGGTTGTCTGGGAATTATCCCGGGCATGCCATTTGGTAGGAACTGTGATTACTGATTAGGATTCGTGTAAATCCTTGTGGTGGTTTAGACTGGAGCTTGCTCCGGCACTTGTTATTCTTGGGCAGTTAGCCCGGGAGGGCGTTTACAGCGCCCCGACGATGGAGATGGATCCGGACCCTCTTTCCTGTGGTAGACTCAAGCCTTTCAAAGAAAACAGGGGGGAGTGTAGTATCTGTGCGACTGTCCCGTGGTACGACTTACTGTCTGTATTACGTCAGACGGCGGGATAGTCGCACTCCCTCTCTTCTACACCTGGATGCCGAGCAGACAGGACGTGTCTGGGACAGCAGCTGCGCGGGAAGTCGACCCGGGCCAGAACCCACTGTGATTGTGTTTGTATATATGTTGAATGTTAATAAAATATATTCTGAAGAACACTCCCTATACGGTTACTTTATAATGTTAATTCAATTATTAAGTGAGGAAGTTAATACAGAGCAGGATATAAATACAATTCGCAGATACCCTCAAGAATAAAAATGAAGATGTCATTTTATATAAATCTGACGTCATGTTTGTTATAAAAATTAGGTATGGAATGTTTCAATTCGATGTGTCATTGGCCTTGAATTATTGTCTACACTTCGAGGTCACTATACGTTTCTCAGTAGATAGAAACCCTTTGAAATGTCTGTCATGATAACTTTATTTGCATATGTTTAAACAATAAAATTGTTTTTTATGTTTGTTAGTATGGGATATAACAGGTGGAGATAAGTAACAGTATTCATTATCAAAAATCTTCATGCAATCAGAGAAATACATTTCATTGTTAAATTTTTTTCTGTATTCTGTTAAATTACATAAGATGTATTTTAACGGAATTAATTGTTTAAATACATTCTTAATGTAAATGCTCGAAACTACATAGGGAAAAGCAGCTGGCGTGATATTCATATAATTTTCTTTTTAATTGAAAAGTATGCGATATCATGTAAAATTTATATAAATATTTGATTATACGATATTTTTAAAAAGAATTTTCAGGTGATTTTTTCTTTGCACGATATTTATACGATTGTTCTTTATGTAAACATTATATGATTATAAGACATTTACATGTATGTCATAATGGCATGAAATTTTTTGTATAAATTTCATCTACATGTATCTTGTTTTTCGTCTATGTCTCATGAAAAATTTATATAAAATTTATGCAGGCCACTTTTTCCTGTGTATACTTAGGAGGGGGTACCTAGCTATAAGCTATTAGATAAACAAAAAATGATATAGAGATTAAATGGACTCAAATTGTATAAAACTTTAATAGCTAATAAATACAAATGTCAAAAAAATATTTTGAGACAATAATAAATATAAATGTGAAGTTTAAAAAAATATTGCACACAATTGTCATATGGCACAAGGGCGATGGCTTTGCCATCAAACAAATTAACTTTGGTAGGATTTCGCTTTCTTGAATATTCCAAGAGAACTTAGATAACTACGTTTTCCGGCGGATAGTTCCTTTCTGATTGGTAGAGCTGCCGGTGAATTTTCAGACCTTGTACCTAGTCGTTCTGACAACATTTCCTCAAACCTCTGCTTCTGAGCTTCCAATGAATGGCCACCGATTCCAGTACCACTTCCGGTGAGATGACCTGGAATTGGTCCGCCTATCACTGGGGACCCTGGAGCACCTGGGTAGCCGTTTGGGGGCATTATTGGTGGTAAGATATCTCCAATCCCACTCCCGGCTCCTTGGGACTTACCATAATCAGGTGCTTTTCTCATAGGGGGATCAATTGGTCCAAACGGTGAAACGTCTGAGACAATCTTGTGCGAGTTGTCATTGCTTGGGGCTTTTCTGATTGGTTCAATTGGCTTAAATGGTGAAACGCCAGGAGCGATTTTGTGTGAGTTGTCATAGTTTGGGGCTTTTCTGATTGGGTCCATCGGTCCAAATGGTGAAACATCAGGAACGATTTTGTGTGAGTTGTCATAGTTTGGGGCTTTTCTGACTGGGTCCATTGGTCCAAATGGTGAAACATCAGGGACGATTTTGTGTGAGTTGTCATAACTGGGGGGTCTTCTCACAGGGTCGACTGGAAAGTCTGGATTAAAAATCCCTCCTCCAACAGCAGGCACAAACGGAATGTTGTCTGGTACATGTACAGTCTGGACTGGTCCGTCATAACTGGCAGGCTTCTTCACTGGTGAAATGGGTACTTTATGGGAGTTGTCATAGCTTGGAGCTTTCCTCAGGGGATCCCTCGGAAAATCTGGTTTGAAAATTCCTGATTCCATACCAGGTACAAACGGTTTGTTTTTAGAAACACTTTTCACGAGACCATCGTAACTCGCAGACTTTTTCAATGGTGGTATACGAACTAGCTTATGTGAGTTGTCATAACTAGGCGCTTTTCTTACAGGATCTACGGGCAAGTTGTTATTGACACCAGGGATAAATGGCGTGTTGTCTGGAAAAATACCGATTGGTCCGTCGTAACCGGCAGGTTTCTTCACCGGCGGAACTGGTACTATATCTGACTTGCCGTAATCTGGGACTTTTCTCACAGGGTCAACTGGATATTCTGGTTTAATAATTCCACCATCAAGTCCTGGAAAGTCTGGGTTAAATATATCACCGCCAACGCCAGGGACAAACGGCGTATTGTCCGGGAGTTTTCTTACTGGACCATCGTATCCGGATGGGTTTTTCACTGGTATTATAGGTTTGACAGAATTATCGTACACTGGTTTCTGTCCGATAGGGTTGATTCCTGAACCTGGTCCATTAATAAAAGGATTATTAAATATTTGGCCATCATTTTGTGTAATTTTGATTGGTCGTCCATCAATGATTTGGCCCGGTAAAGGAATTGGTTGACCCTCTATCCATGGTTCCCCGATCGGACCCTCTGGAAGAGTATCGACCCATAATTTTGTACGATCTGGTCCTGGAATGTTATCGACCCATTGTTCACCTAGAGGACCCACTTGACTGCTATCGATGACCACAGGGTTAATGACATCTCCGGGTTTCAATACAGGACCCACCTTTTGTACATCCCGCGGATCTATCGGACTGCCTGGATTAAGGACTTTTGGAACAGATCCGCCCACTTTGGGATACAGAGGGTCTTTATTGCCTGTTAAGAAGAAAAAAATCTGAATCAAGGTTTATATTCATAATTAATACCTAATCAAATGTAAAGAGAGCATTTCACAGTTCTAATATAACATTGAACACAATTTTTATTTATTTAAATTGAGTTTATTGTTGAAATGAGATTATTGTTGAAAATTACCTGCATAATTTCCACATGATACTGCTATAGCACATGACAAAACGAGAAGTCTAAGCATCTGTAATGAAACGATAAAATTTGTTCAAATACAAGGAAATCAACACAAGACAAATACAGTATCGTGATACATGCTGCATGAGTCTTGACGAACATAATTTAATATATTCAAAAGATGTTCTACTTTTTAAATTTTTTTTTGTTGAATTATAATAAATGCAGCAGTTTTTGCTTTAAACTTATTAATTTCTTTTTTCATAAATAAACATGCATCTTGTACATACTAATGCAATTTATTTAAATTTCGTAAAAAGAAAATGTCTTTTTATAATATCACTTTTGAATTTACTCTCAGGTTCTCATGCAGAATTAAAGTTGACAAGTTGACTGGTGTAATACATATATTCACTACAAAATGAAGACTGGCTGAATCAAAATTCAAGGGAGTGGGAGCATGATAAAATTATATACATGTAGCATGTCCGCAAAAATGTTCATCTACAAAACGATCTTTTTTTTTTCTCTTTTTTTTGTGACAAGCATTTTGTCAAAAGAGAAATGTAACAAAACTCGAGATGGATTTATAAAAGGTTTCAAATAAAATCTACATTTTGTTTTAATTTCTGATATTTAAACATACCTTAGTTGGAAGTTTCTTAGTTTATTGACTATAAAACTAACATCGCTAGACTTTTATATTAAACACAAGGAACTCGACAGTTGTGTGGAGATCCCATTGGTTCCTTTGTCTTACGTAACGTGTGTACATAAATTTGTCACATGAATAATCTACCATTTTATATTACTGGGGGTCGCAAAGGAGAAACTTTTTGGTTAGGTATTTTTTAACAGTAGTGAGACCTTCAGATTAGAAAAGAATACATCCTCTTTGGTGTTCATGCCTTAAAATTTACCTGCAATCATTTGAAAATTCAAGGAATTTTATGATTTTGAAAGATTTCCCTAGGCAGCACCTCTTCAGTATTATTATCGTAGATGCGTCAGTCCGTTTTAAATCCAGCACTCCTCCAGCTATGTAGACAAGCAGTTCTTAGTGTATGTCTTACGTTATTGATAATTTGTGGTCCCATCAATCAGTTTCAGCTTAATGACAAACTAGGGTTTTGAGGCTTTAATGTATTTATAGAAAAAGCTTTCCCTCTGATTTTATGAAAAAATTTGATCACCTTGGTAGTTCATACATTTATTTTTTTTCGCTGAACATGCATGTTGAGATAGCGGTTTGCATTTTAATAACGTGATGATTAAAATGCAGGTGCTGTGGGCGTAAATAGCCAAGTTTTGTGTTTAATAATTTAATTTTCATCATGTACATGTATCTTCTTTTCTTGACTGGTCGAGTCGAGATGTCATAAAAATTGTTTATTAATTATATTTCAGTGTACGTGTTATTTTCACTTCTTAATTTGCTCTCATTTGTTTCTTCGTTCGTTGATTCATTCGATCTTTATTTTTTTTTTCCCATTTGAAGATCTGTATGAGGAAAAAAAAGAAAAGAAAAAAAACAAACAACCGTTCCAACATACATGTATGTAAATGTATGTTCATCATTGATGAAAAAAATATATATATACATTTGTATATATCATATGAATATAGCTTTTCATGCAATGGAAAACACAATCCATGAAGCAGACCTTTCCGAAGAAATGTCATTTTCTAAGAGAATTTACCGAGTGAGAGTATGTTTAAGCCTACCTACAAAATTTAGAACATGATAGAAATATTGCTTTCTAAAGTCTTGACTATTTTAGACAATCATTTTATCCCGTTTTTAGGAAACGAATATTCATCTCTCTCTCCTCTCTCTCTCCTCTCTCTCTCCTCTCTCTCTCTCTCTTTACGTTTTCATTTATTTCTGTATTTTTTATTTATTTGCTTTTTTTTTTTGTTGTTGTTGTTAAACGTCTTTCTCGAATTTTCTATTTTTTCCCTTTTTTTCATACATATGGTGACGCCATCACTTGCCGTGGAGAGCTGCAACTTCAATATAGACCTATATCAGGCACTCAGGGTCATTTTAAAATTGAGCAGTGATCGAGATTTCGCACCCGCACCTTTGAAATATTGGACGTTGGTTCAAAAGACACGTCCCGCGGTGGGATTCGAATCCGCGACATAAGAAACGACTCCTGAAAATTCGTGACTCCGAGGGCAGACGTTCTAACCACTGCGCCTCCAGGGTAGCTGCAGAACTGTAGCTCTCATACAAAAATACATATTGACAGACCGGAGAGCTACAGTGCCACCCATTGAAAAAAATGTATATTTATTGCGCACGAAAAAGTGCGCTGTTTTTCGATTTATTTCTCCATGTTTTTAAAACTGTCGTCTCAAAATATTACTAACCGTGTGTTCCTAACATTTCTGACACTGTTTCCACAACAAAATATGGTTTATAATTGTTTTTAATAGCCCTCCTGGCCCTGAAATTGAGATCATTGAAAATTTCGTCTATTGATAATCCCATTTTGGTTTGTAAGATGATTCGGTCCAACACGCTTCGTACTGATGTAAACTACGAGAGTACTTGACAAAGGAGTAAGGACTTTTTTGAAATCTAGTTTTTTTGCAATTGAGGTAAGAATTTTTAAGAATTAACCCAGAACCTTGCGCACTTTTTTGTGCGCAATAAATATACAGTTTTTTCAATGGGTGGCACTGTAGCTCTCCGGTCTGTCAATATGTATTTTTTCGGAGAGCTACAGTTCTGCGGCTACCTCGAGGGCGACTTGCTTGTTGTTAGAAAAACTAAATGTGATTTATTTCTAAATTCTGGGTTAATTGTGATTTATTTCCAAACTAAACAGTTGTCCACTAAATTGTTCATGTCCCCGAATACTTATTAAGGGACCAGGCAAAATTTATTACAATGATGGGATCGGTACAAACAGGCATGGGACAATGAGTTTTTCCATCGAAGAAACCCATGGGACAAAAACATTTTTCAATGACTTACAGTACTTAACCCAAGAGAAATTATCATTTTATTTTTTCAAAAATCGTATTTTTGAAACTGCAGTGACGGATACAAATGGCAACATAAATCTTTTTTTTACAACCAGGCAAGTAGCATCTTTTTGAAAGTGGGGGGGGGGGGGCAACCAGAGAATTTTTTTTTCTATGTTTGAGATATCTGTAGTCTAAGAGACTCCTTAGTTTTGTCAATTATCTCAGTAACACCAAGTTGTAACCATGGGACAACAACTTTTTATAAATTTCAAGGCATGAGAAAGATATTTTTTTAAAATGAGGATTTTGTTTTGTACTGGTCTCATCATTGTGATAAATTTTGCCTGGTCCCTAAGCAACATATGCGTCGGAAGCAAATTGAAAGTTGATGGGGGGGGCTTAACCAACAAAAAAAGGTAAACCCCAATTTTCAATGCATAGAAACTGTCTATCTTTGCAAAAAAAGTGGTGGGGGGCTAAGCCCCCCCCACCCGCGGTTCCGACGCCTATGAGCTATGAGCAAAGTTTGTTACGAACATATAGGGACTTCTCCGGAACCGGATTGTTTTAGAATAAAGTAATAAAATTTTGAATATGCTTTAAGAGATACTATACCACATGTATACATGTACACATAAATTCTACTGAAGAGTTTCTCCTGTATGATTTCGATTATAACTCCCGAGACAAAGCTTACGGGGGAGGGGGGAGGTCAGCGGTAAAAAAAAAGTCTTGGACAGGGTCCGGATAATTAGACATGTTAGAGTTATAACAAAAATAAAGTGAAACATAACGGACTGAAAATTAAAAACTTTGCCAGCAGTAGTATTTTATCTATAGCCGTGTTTGATATCAGTATTAACCGGAGAAAAATTGCGGACCAAGATTGGTTCATGCTTTCATTTTTCATTTGCTGTTTCCGATGGCGGGAAAAAGTATAATAGCAGAAACTACTTAGAAAGTACAGAGAAATGATAGATATAATGCGTCTGTGGGAAAGTATAAACGATCTACTTCTTTATTGTAATTTCTCATGTATCGTGCATTTGATTTAGGTCCCTAATTTGATTTGTAAATTTAAATTCTTAATAAAAAAGAATAAGAAAAATTGAATCTTACTGTGGGTCTGAAGTACATTTGTCTTTTGTATCCGAATGGCCCGATGTGACACTGGTCAGCGTGTCGGCCGTGTGACCAATAAGGCAGGAGGGATGAGTTAAATACTTAACACATTTCATCCATAAACAGATAAAAGAAACAGCTGAGGAAGCATGGATGCTTGGAAGGTAGGTTGAGAAAAAAAAGAGGTTTCATCTTCAGCACAATCGAATTGAATCTTTGATAAATAAAGTTAACGAGGTCAGGTACTGTACAGTTAGATAAATTATCTTGTTGACATTTTTGTATTCACTGTCAAAGCCTCAAGCAAAGTTCTTATTGCCGCTGACAGGAAGCTTGATCAAAATTTAAAATTTCCAGACAGTGATTGGGAATACCAAGAACTTGTAGAAGGTCAATGGGACTATGACGTCTCTGTCAAAATTTTTTGGGGCCATTAAACAAAATAAGAAATATATATACGAAAGAATATATGATTTTTAATTTTTTAAAAGATGCAAAGAAGCAAATTAATGAATTCACATTTACAACCAGCAAACCATAGCAACATGCGAGGTAATGTACCTGATGTAAGTGCTTCGTATCACCAGACGCAGTTTTTTACAGGGTTCAACCAATGAGATTTGTTGTTTTAAAATTGACTGGCTCTGCATTTATAACATAAACTAGTTAGAAAAAGTATATGCAATATATTTTTAACCTACATTGTTGTTGTTAAAAATTGAACTGTCACCTTGGCACCACCATTATAGATACATTGTAAGCAACCTTGTACTAAGCTGCAGATCTGTAGCGTTATGGTTTTATTTATTTGTCTTTGACTATAAAGCTATACAGATCCCGTAATGCAAAAATAGGTGCAATTTACGGCACAGTATTTTTTTCTCGCACTTTGGGAAGAAATTCTCCACTTTCTAGCATTGGTCAATCAACTAGCTTTCACTCCCTAATTCTAGGCACATTATTTAACTAATCTGTATATTTTATCTATCTCCCAATCGTTTATTGTCGTCTCTACAAGTGATAAAATCCCTTGGTTAAAATTATTTGTAAGACTGCTGAAAAATTCAAAATTCACTTCAAGTGAGTTTATTAGGGATGGGTATTGCCAAAAATTTCGTATCGCGATATATCACGATTTTCACCCAAATTATCATGATATTTTTGCAAGCAATATTTACAATGATTTTATATAAATAGTCAGTGTTTTTCTTAAAAATGTTCAAGAAAAACAAAATTTCACTTTTTATGTACATAAAATTAATCATGTCTGTAAGGTAATTAGCCGTTCTTTTCACCTTTTACAACATTTTTAAGACTTTTTGTAATTGTAATTTGAAAGATTGAACAAGTAAGTGAATAATTTCTGGACTTTATAATATGTACCTAAATACCGGTATTAAGGTCTCTGTATCACGATACGTATCACGCAACAAAAAATCGTGATATACCGGTAAACCGATAAAATCGCACATCCCTAGAGTTGATCAATGTTTATTGCCTGTAGAGACAAAGTCTATAAATGGTTGGGAGGTGGATAAAATATAAAAAATTGGCTACAGAATGTTTCTAGAATTAGGGAGTGAAAGGTTGTTGATTGACCAATGCTAGAAAGTGGAGAATTTCTCCCCAAAAGTGCAAAAAAAGTATTGCCCTGTAAATTGCACCTTTTTTGCATTACAGGATCTGTAGCATTATGGTCAAAGACAAATATATAAAACCATAACGCTACAGATCTGCAGCTACCTTGTCCTCACTTGTTTAATGAGAATTTGATTTTGGCATAAGCCATGATTAGCGAGGATGCTGAGATTGATAAAATTGAATACCCCTAAAAAATAATTGTATTTTATTTGTAATACATGTAGTTTCTTTAGTGTGCATTTCAAAATCACTCAAATTACATCTCACTAAAAATAAAATACCAATTTTTAAGGACAGAAGGCAAAATTTATGTCTTGCTAAAATTTCTACTTTATATGCTGTATGTTAATGGAAAAATTTTCACTTCAATTCGATTATGCCACATGGCGTAAGCCTTTTCCAATCACTGTCCAGATACCGATAATCATGAAGATTGATCAACGACATCATGTAATTTTCCATTATAATGTTCATGCATATCTTCAAGAATGATGTCATTAAAATGTACTCTTTGTTTACATGCTATAGGTAGCCTTAAATTGGATGATTCTTACAGGAGGATACTTGTATTTCAACACATCATGTATAAATTGTCAAGGTACAAGTATTTAATATACCCCCACTCCCTACACACATATAGATACACATACACAAAGTTTAGGGAGATATTTTGTAATTGGCATGTCTTTGTGTCTGTCTGTCCATCTATAGATATTTGTAAAATTATTTTCTATGGGACAAAGGACCCGCAGATGAAGTGGCTACATGAGTCATTTCAGGGCAGCATAACCCCCCCCCCCCCCCCCCCAAAAAAAAAAACAAAACAAAACAAACATCAAATATATTGGAAAAATTAAACTTTTATTGTTAAACAATTATATAATAAGCAAGTAATATAAATATTTTTTAAAAGTTCATATAATTTTTCAGCCTGTCATAGATTAATAGATTTTACAATGTATTGGTTGGTGTCTTTTTAGGTGACTTTGGTTTCAATGGACAGAATTACCTGGCACTAGATGTCACTCTGGGAAAACAGGACCTTAACGCCTTTACTCTAGAAATGAGATTCAAGTCTTACAAAAAGGATGGCTTAATTCTGATTCAACGCTGTCAGAATTTAATGCAATTTTACTCTGTCTCCCTAGTCAACAAGCATGTCGTATTTTGGTAAGAACAGTTTTGTACTACTTATAATCCATACTTATACTATTCCATGGAAGTATCAATTTTCTCAAAAATTAAACAAAGGTTAATGACCTTTGGATGAAAAGTTTCAAAAACATTAATATGCAATGTTCCTAGAAGAACATTTATAATGTTTTAAATTAGTTTGGAATAGCATACAGTCATTATGTTTTCATTTTGTTGCATAATTAAAAAGGTAGGTAGTACTGTAGGGGTTAAATTGACTGTTTTTGTGATTAAAATATCAAAATAAAGGCAAAATTGAGTGTTAGCTGGTAAATAAGAATTTTAAAAAAACCCTGAAAGTTCAGTTGAGATTTTCTGGTCACCTTATGTCCAGAGTCTGAATAGCTGTCTCTCTAACTAAACTTTTCACATTTTGGACTTCATAAAAGCCACTCAGCCAATTTTAACTTTACAGGCACAGAACATTTTTTAGCTCATCTGAGCTAAAAAAGGCTTATTGATAAATATTTATACAAAATGTTGGCATTTTGTTGTAGCTCATGATAAGGGAATCGCTGTCTATTTTAGCTGTAGAACTATATCTCTTTGCTTGAGAAAATTTGGACTTAATTTTCCAGGTTGAATTCTAGTAAATTCTTCAAGATTGAGAGCATACATCCTGTACAATATGACAACTGGAATAACCTCACTTTAACAAAGACAAACCGTCGAATTAGACTTACTCTAAATGACCATCCTGTCGTTAAGGTAATTTACTTAAGTAATATTTGATGAAATGAAAGGAACATTTTCAAGTAACTTTGAATGAATGATTTGTTTTTGCTTTTTAGAGTGAGAAACTTGGATTTTGGCCACCAGATAATATTTGCTTGAGTGAGAAGTTATACTTGGGAGGCTACCACACCCCCTCAGTATTGACCTTGGAGAGTCCCACCATTCTGCCTTTCAGTGGTTGTGTCCGGGAACTGACGTTCAGGGGGAGAAGAGTATGGTACTCTCTTGTAAGTGGCTAATTATTATGGTACTCTCTTGTAAGTGGCTAATTATTATGGTACTCTCTTGTAAGTGGCTAATTATTATTGTACTCTCTTGTAAGTGACTACTTATTATGGTACTCTCTTGTAAGTGACTAATTATTATGGTACTCTATTGTAAATGACTTATTATAATGGTACTCTATAGAGGTAACTAATTATAACCCCCGCAAACGAAGTTTGGGGGGGTATATAGGAATCACCTTGTCCGTCTGTCTGTCCGTCTGTCGAGCTGTCCATCTGTCTGTGCAATCGTGTCCGGTCCATATCTTTCTTACGGAGGGACATTAGAATCTACTACTCCACACGAAGATTGCCCATGACCCAAGGTGTGTCATGACCTTGACCCAAGGTCATTTGGGGAACTTCAAGCTCACTGGAAGAAAAATTTCATAATTCGTGTCCGGTCCATATCTTTCTTATAGATAAACTTGGTAGGTTCTCATTTCACACAAAGATTGCCCATGACCCAAGGGTGTGTCATGACCTTGACCCAAGGTCATTTGGGGAACTTCAAGGTCACTGGGAAAAAAATTTCATAATTCATGTTTGATACATATCTTTCTTATGGAAAAACTTACTTCTGAAAAACCCAGCGGGGGGTATTTTGTCCCGTTTGGACAGTTCTAGTTAAAGACTGTCTAGTGTTTTTTTAGCTCTGCTGGTTAGAGACCACCAGAACAGCTTATTCAATAATTGGTTAGGTGTCTGTCTTTATTCCTCCTACATGGGAACATGTCATTGTGTATTGCTCATTCCCTATACTTAATTTATAGAATTCATAACAGATTTATAGAATTATGGATATAGCAAAGTAAATTCAAAAGTCCCCAGGATTTTGTTATAACAAGTTTTACAGTTTCTCTCTGCAAACCTAAAAAAGATTTTTTTTTTAATTAACTTGATAAAAAGTCAGTACATCTCATTCTAAAGGCTTCATACATTTCCCAATACAGTTATACAAAGAGTACAGATTGTCACTGGACACAGTGATGGTAGATAAACTGAGGGGAGGACTTCTAAGTAATTCTGCAGTCTTCTTAATGTTACTCTGGGTTTTTTTGTTACTGTTGTTTTTTGTTCATCTGTTAAAATAAATTTGGAAAGATCTATATTCGGTACATTGCATATCTTTGCCCCCACGAAAGTCATATTTTGAAAAATTCTTAAAATGTGTTGAATTGTATAAATTGTATGAAAAATATAAATTAACAGAACATAATTATCATTTCAAAGTAGATTATTCACAATTTTTGTTTTTATGACGTCACAAACTAGTCTGATTTTGCATTATTTTTTAGAAGAAGGACAAAATGGACCAAATTCCCATAATTTTAGCTATAGAATTGATAGAGCACAGGTCTGCTCAGGAACCATATTTGCATATTTAATTGATATTATCATTCTACACAATATTTGAAAATATTGAGCCTGCGCAGACCTGCGCTTGGTGATTTTTACTTAAAATATCAACGCAATATTTACATTTTTCTATAGAAATCATGGAATTTTTAAATTTACGTTGTTTTACTGACGTCATTTCAATCATATGACATCATTGCTAATGAAAATATTCAGTGCTTTGAAGTCAGCATGTATCCCCCTGTTTAAGAACATAATGAAATATTACTCCGTCAAAGTTTGATTTTGGGGGCAAATATTGGTTATTACCGAATAAAGTCCTTTCTTTTAGATTAAAAATTAATGAATTTTTTACAGTGTTCATCTTTCCTTCAGGTTGATTATACTAGAAGTCAGAATAAATGTATTTACAAAAAATAAAATGAAATAACCTCAGAAATGAGTCATTTTGAGGCTTTTTTACATTAGAATTAGAAATGTACCATATTAATGACATCATATTTCCAGAATGGGCATCAATCATGCCAAATTCTTTAATGTTTTATCATATTAATCTCTTTAAATCATGTTAAAGCCAATTTAATAACTTTTTAAGAACATAAAATTTTTAGGGCACAATACAGTCCAAACTGTACTTTCTTCTTTCAAGTTTCAACTTCACTTAAAATTAATATTTCAAAATTTGAACTATATAGAATTGAACAAAAGAAAATTGGAAGCAGTCAGAAAAATCCATGTATGGAAAATCAGTCACTCCTTCATATAAAGCACATTAACGTGCATATGCATAAATTAATATTAGACAATGTCATGCATAATTAATATTTGACAATGTGTTTTGAAGAAAGCTGTGATATGACAGAACTGTGTAATTTTACCCTAACTGCATGGAACCTGACAGACAACTTGAATCAGCTGTGTCACTGGACGGGGTCAGAGGTCACCATCACTGCTGAGCTCATACGCAACTGTTCCTCAGATCCTCAAATAGCTTATCAGTGGGTATGTTTATAAAGCTTATCAGTGGGTATGTTTATAAAGCTTATCAGTAGCTTAACAGTGGGTATGTTTATATAACTTATCAGTAGCTTAACAGTGGGTATGTTTATATAACTTATCAGTAGCTTATCAGTGGGAATGTTTATATAGCTTATCAGTGAGTATGTTTATATAACTTATCAGTAGCTTAACAGTGGGTATATTTATATAACTTATCAGTGGGTATGTTTATATAGCTTATCAGTGGGTATGTTTATATAGCTTGTCAGTCGCATATCAGTGAGTATGTTTATATAGCTAATGATGGGTATTGTTTATATAGCTTGTGATTGGGTATGTTAATATAGATTGTCAGTAGCCTGTCATTGGGTATGTTTATATAGCTTGTCAGTAGCTTATCAGTGGGTATGTTTATATAGCTTGTCAATTGCTTATTAGTGGGTATGTTTAAATAGCTTATCAGTGGGTATGTTTGATTTATAAGAAAATCAATAGCTTTTCATTACTTATTTGTAAATAGCTTGTCAATGGGTATGTTTAGATCATTTTTGGCCTGTTTTCTTTATCTTAATGTGGCCAAAAACACACAAGATATCTGAAGGTTCTAAAAATGGAGGTTTAAAGTTCATTCATAAAATAATGTTTGCTTGCCTTCTCCTTAACTCTGTGGAAATTTGCTGAGACAGTTAGGTTGGAAAATCTTTTTTCCAGTAAATTTCAAGATATTTGTTGACTGGATAAGCAGAATAAAAAGAAAAAAAGATTGGATCATGGAATTAAAAAAAATATATCTAGTTGGGCATATTTAGTCAGTTCGTCGTGAGAGGGCAAACAAATAATTTTTTTTTTTTAGATTGTCTAAATTACTTTAAGAAATGATTGGGACTTTGGAATGTCCATGGTGTTGAGTTAGATGTGTTTTCGATAACAGAATTCAACTTTACACATAATTAAAGTATACTAATTACATTGTACCATTTTTCTTTTGGAGCTACATTCTATATTATGTATTGATACACATGTATTTGATTACATGTCTATGAAAAACTAGATTATAATGCCCCTAATTTTGTTTTTGTCTCCAGACTGTTCATTACCTCTATGGATTATTTACAACAATATCAGAATTCTCCAAGTCTCTGGTCTTACCCACAACACCCCTGAACAGGTCCTCCCTGACTCTAACAGTGGGGTCTCAGCAGGCAGATCTTACCCTAGGGGTGTACGGAGTCAACCTTACTGTAGTCCTCAATTCAGCAATCAATGCTACAGTGGTCACAGTACTGGTTTGTTTTTATCTTATGTTTTATACAACAGTCATATCACTTGAATTGAACAGTATTAATAATGAAGTTGTGTATTTTTTTTAAGTCCATTTATTCTTTGATATCCTGCATGAACTATAAACCAACTTTTACTTATGATGACTTTATTTTGCGATTTACCAGGGATAAAATAGCTTGAGACGATAATTTTTTGCGATCAAGCCTTTTTTGGATCTTTTGTTGATGGACACATAAAGTTTAAGGACCCGGCAGTTCACGGCAAAGAAAATTTGTGATGACGAGGTTATCGCGAACCTCGCAAAAATTTCTCCCACGCGAATAAAAGTTGGTTTACAGTATTTTATCCTATCTTACAGTTTTTCTCGTCAAGAAAACATTGCTGACATGTATGTGTTGTGTGTAAAGAGAGAGATTTATACATTGTGCCTGGTGATTGCCTACTTTTTTTTTACAGGGGTACTTTGTGGTAGGATGTAGTGACGTAACAAACGTCCGGGATCAGGACTGTTCATATATTCAGGATATTATAACACATGACATTATGATTTCAACAAAACTGTCAAATACAAGGTAAACACATTCAGGTCCCGTGGGTTGCTATTACAATCATGCTTTTCATTTTTAGCTCTTCTGGTCCGAGACCAGAAATATATACGCAAGAGTAAGGGGTTACCGGGTTGTTGTCTCTTATTCTGTTTGTAAAACTTTTTTCGAAATGCTACTCCTGCAGTTTTAATTCGTCTGATTTCTATATAACTTGGCACTCAAGAAGGCTACACTAATATGCATGATTCTATAAAAGGCTTTATGATTTCAATGAACAATATGCTGCCATGGTTACTTTGAAATAAATTTCTGTAAAAAAAAACTTTCATAATGATGCTCCTTCTACAATTTTGGTCTGAATTAAATATTACTAGGCACATTAATAGACTATACTAAAAGTACATAATTCTGTTTAAAAATTTCTGCAAAATTCTTTCAAAGGCTATATTCCTCTTTCAGTTTAGTTTGATATCAAAGACTTTGCTACAAAAGAGATCAAACCAAGCATCATTATTCTATTTTATTGCTGTTGCAAATTAAGTTTTAAGACCAAGTGCTTTTGCATTTTTCCTTTGTTATAAGTACAAACTTGTAGGCCTGCATGGCACAGTGTTAGGAGGAAGGTGTCATTGAAATTGCTAGTTCTCTCCGTTTCTATGGCTATTCTGCTTTTTTCTCCAATGCATGTTTAATAACAGCACAGTAAAAGAGACTTAAGACTGAGTTTATTTTACTTTATTTCAGTCACTGTAAAGGCCAGTCAGTTGTTACCAGAGGGAATTATAGCCATCCAACAGAATTCTGGGAACTGGAGCAAGAAGCCACAAATATTTTGTTAAATTCCTCTACAAACACAACAAATGAGCAAACAAATATTTCGTTAAATTCCGCAACAAACATAACAAATGAGCAAGCACTATTCCAGCTAAAGTAAGTTCGGAAAATTGATAAAAAATTTTGGTCTAGAAAAATTAATTTTATTCTTTTTTTTATTTTTGGTTGACATACTCATACTCATACCCTGCCCCCAATTTCACATGAATTATCTAATACTTTTGTTAGCCCTATCAGAATTCTGTTTTAGGTGCCTGTCTAACTGTAAAGTTAAGGCTGTACCTTGTCTAAATGTCTTTATTAGCCCTATCAGAATTCTGTTTTAGGTGCCTGTCTAACTGTGACGTTAAGGCTGTACCTGGTCAGACCCTGGTACTACAGAGTCTGTGTGTTCCGTGTACTTCTCATGCCTGGACTGTGTATGGGTGTGGCACTCAGTGTGACGTGCTGATTGGTGCAGACCCTCCACAGAATGGTTCTAAGTTTAGTATCTCTGTTAATGAGAGCTATGAATATCAAGAAATATTCTATACAGGTACTTATAATTATGCAATTTATAGACTTCAGTTTGTAATAGATCCTACAAACATTTCTTTTTTTTAATATCAGTCAGATGTTATAAGTTTGATCCAGGTGAAGATTAAAATTAATCATTCTTAAATGTTAAAAAAGGAATTGAAATGTTGTAAAAAGAAAAGTTATCACTTTCTAAAGGGTATTTTTTTTTTTTTTTACAATCAAACTCTTCTCAATCGGACAACATCTGTTTAAATAGGTAAATGATTTATGATATTTTGTATTTATTAGGAATCTTTCCCAGTGGCAGGAATGAGTCAGTACAGTATAATCTGACTGTGAACCTACCCCCTACCCCGGGGAATTGCACCATTACCCCCCAGTCTGGTTACTCCCTGGTGACAGCATTTAATGTGTCCTGTCAGGGGTTCACAGACCCAGATCTCCCCTTGACTTATGTTGTTTATCAGAGACAGCCTTCAGGTAAATAGACCATGTAAGAGTTACAGTAAAGGAAATCTTATACTTAAAGAGAACTTTTAATGATTTCCATAGAATACTTTTCCCTATGTTCTATGATACGGGTTTCAAGAATTCCATTCTTAAAATAGCAGTATTTAAGGTCCCACTGACTTCTATATAACTGAGTTTTACTGTACTTCTTTTGTCTAGAATCTCCTTTAAAAGGAGAAGAGTGGACATTGATCTAGAGAACTTTTTTTCTGCAATTACCTCCTGGATCTACAATCTTTTGAGAATATTTTAATTGCATTTGTTCATGAAAAGTTAATACTTAGCTCAGTAAGCACAAATTTTTGCCCATTTTTAATGTTGTGTTGTTTGACGTCCACCTATTCAGCAATTTACATCAGAGAATTTGGCCAGATCTCTAAAAATGCAGGAGGCAGATTCTTTGGATTTGGATTTCACAATTGTATTTCAGTCAGATTCAATAGTGCCATAACACAATGCATCACTATTTTGGTTGTAGTGTATACTTTCAAGCAATATTTGCAATAATAGCATTTTTACTTTAAAAACAGGCCAGTTCAAATCAAGTCTTTCCAAAGCTTACCTCAATAAAGGCAAAGTCTCACAACAAAAGCGTTGTCTGATTAAGTGTCAATCCCTTGATGCAACATTCATGCAAGTTGGGACTTAGTGCTACGGACAATTTTAAATTACTTGGGATTGGAGTTGGCTCTGTTTAAAAACCTTAATAAGCTCCCCTTGCCTTTATAGTGGTGAGCTTTGTAAAGACTGTGCTGTATTTAAAAAAAAACTGACTGTACTTACAATATAGGTAAGGAGACAGAGCTAATGAAGTCTGATGAGGCTGTGATTTCTCCCTTGTATCTGAGTGAAGGCCCAGGGGAGGATAACTACACACAGCGACTGAGTGTGAGATGTATAGACAGTGAAGGCCTAATGTCAGCCACACCCATTACTGTACAGGTAACAGACTGAGTGTGTGATGTATAGACAGTGAAGGTCTAATGTCAGCCACACCCATTAGACTGAGTGTGAGATGTATAGACAATGAAGGTCTAATGTCAGCCACGGCCATTACTATACAGGTAACAGACTGAGTGTGAGATGTATAGACAGTGAAGGTCTAATGTCAGCCACACCCATTACTGTACAGGTAACAGACTGAGTGTCAGATGTATAGACAGTGAAGGTCTAATGTCAGCCACACCCATAACTGTACAGTTAACAGACTGAGTGTGAGATGTATAGACAGTGAAGGTCTAATGTCAGCCACACCCATTACTGTACAGGTAACAGACTGAGTGTGAGATGTATAGACAGTGAAGGTCTAATGTCAGCCACACCCATTACTGTACAGGTAACAGACTGAGTGTGAGATGTATAGACAGTGAAGGTCTAATGTCAGCCACACCCATAACTGTACAGGTAACAGACTGAGTGTGAGATGTATAGACAGTGAAGGTGTAATGTCAGCCACACCCATTACTGTACAGGTAACAGACTGAGTGTGTGATGTATAGACAGTGAAGGTCTAATGTCAGCCACACCCATTACTGTACAGGTAACAGACTGAGTGTGAGATGTATAGACAGTGAAGGTCTAATGTCAGCCACACCCATTACTGTACAGGTAACAGACTGAGTGTGAGATGTATAGACAGTGAAGGTGTAATGTCAGCCACACCCATTACTGTACAGGTAACAGACTGAGTGTGAGATGTATAGACAGTGAAGGTCTAATGTCAGCCACACCCATTACTGTACAGGTAACAACTAAAGGATGTAGTCAGCATATGTTTTTAACCAAATATTTAAACTTTATTCAAATATGTATTTTCTATTGTACTGCAAAAAGCAACAGTGCCGCACACAATTTAGAATATCAGAAAAAATCATAGAAAGTCTTAATTTGTCCTAAGAACTACAAAGCCATATTTAGTCATTTTGATAATGAAAGTAGTGTAAATTCAAGTTTCTTCAAATCATGACCCATTTGGGGTTGGTTGTGGTCACAATGAGGGAACAACTTTTAACAATTATAAAGGGAAAAGTCATTAAATTTCTTCTCAAGAAAAAGAAAGTGATATGTTAGGTCATACTGTAAACCAACTTTTATTCACAATCACTTTATTTCGCGATTTACCAGGGGAAAACTACTTCGCAACGATTAATTTTCGCAATTAGGTCTTTTTTGATCTGTTGTTAATAGACACAGAGGATTTAAGGACCGGTTCGTAGTGAGAAATATTCGTGATGACAAGGCTCTCGCAAACTTCGCGAATATTTCTCGCACGCGAATAAAAGTTGGTTTACAGTATTTATATTGAAGCATCTTTAGGTAATGTTGAAAAATATTGACTCAAATGAGCATTGTAGCCCATAAGACTTGTTTCAGTATCAGTTTATGAGGTCAAGTTCATTAGCATATGCATATATAAAATCAAAAGCATGAGAAAAAAATCTGAAATAAATCATATATATATTTATCTGGAATCAGAATGAGGTTTCCACTGAATTGATTACTTGGAATAGAAAAGATAATTGTGATTTTTTGTCTTCTTGACAAATACAAATTCCTACTGTGTATAAATTGTTATATAATTATCAAATTTAGGTACAGCCATTGGAGGCCAATCCTGGACAGAGTTTGGATGTTATAGATGTGATATCTGAGAGTGTGCTGGGAAATTCCAGTTCTGCCGGCATCCTTAATGATCTTCTGGCTGCAGGGAAACAGTCAGGTAATGTGGCAGTCAGAAAAATAACAAAGTTACTATATCTGAAAAAAAAATATCAAGTTGACTTTTGAAATTTTTGCTTTATTAGCACTACTTTATCTATACTTTCAATAATGTAATGATATATCAATTAAAAAAAGTAAAAGTTGACTACTTGTTTTGAAGGCAGACTTAAGTTTACAATTCCTATTGCATCTTCACTGAGTAAACATTTTTTGTTTCCTATTAGATTAAGTAAATCTTTTTATTTAAGCAATCTATGCAAAATATAAGTTAGTGTAGACCTCAGTAGCCAAAGCCATCTCTATTTAGCACAGCTGTAACACAAGTCCTAAGGTCTATGGTAGTGACTTTGATGATGTTTTTACTGTATCATCTGAATTAAAACAGAACTATTGAACTTTTGAACAGCTGTAACACAAGTCCTAAGGTCCTCGGTAGTGACTTTAAACAAAGATGTAGAGTCAAGTCCAGGAGATCAACACAGACAAGAGCAACGTACACAGGTATAAACACTGATATAATTATAATGTAAACTTGACTGACTGGCCATGTGGATGAAATTTATTCACTCCCCCATTTCAGTGTTTCAAATTATTAAATATTTTAAAATCTAAAAAAAGGTATTTGGACATACCTGGTATATTATCTTTTTTATTAAAATTTTCTAGTACTTCACAACTAGGTTTTGAGTACTTGAAATGTTACTCTTTACATTTAAATGCATCCTTTAACTATTTGTTTAAAGGTGGAAAAAGGTAAAGTAATGTGTAATGGATCTTTGCCTTATTTAAACTGATGAGAGAGGCATTAAACATTTGACCTTGGACAAATTAAAGGTAAAGTGATTAATGCTTCTCAGGTAAAAAGCAATCTATCTTTTTATAACCCCCGCAAACGAAGTTTGGGGGGGTATATAGGAATCACCTTGTCCGTATGTCTAGCTGTCCGTCCGTCTGTCTGTGCAAACCTGTCCGGTCCATATCTTTCTTACGGAGGAACATTAGAATCTACTACTCCACACAAAGATTGCCCATGACCTAAGGGTGTGTCATGACCTTGACCCAAGGTCATTTGAGGAAGTTCAAGGTCACTGGAAGAAAAAATTCATAATTTGTGTCCGTTCCATACCTTTCTTATGGATAAACCTGGTAGGTTCTCATTTCACACAAAGATTGCCCATGACCTAAGGGTGTGTCATGACCTTGACCCAAGGTCATTTGGGGAAGTTCAAGGTCACTGTAAGAAAAAATTTCATAATTCATGTCCGGTCCAAATCTTTCTTATGGATAAACTTGGTACGTTCTACTTTCACACAAAGATTGCTCATAACCTAAGGGTGTGTGATGACCTTGACCCAAGGTCATTTTGGAAAGTTCAAGGTCACTGGAAGAAAAATTTCATAATTCGTGTCCGGTCCATATCTTTCTTATGGATAAACTTGGTAGGTTCTCATTTCACACAAAGATTGCTCATGACCTAAGGGTGTGTCATGACCTTGACCCAAGGTCATTTGGGGAAGTTCAAGGTCACTTGAAGAAAAATTTCATAATTTTTGTCCAGTCAATATCTTTCTTTATTATGGAAAAACTTGAATCTACTACTTCACGCAAACATTGCTTATGACCTGAGGTTGTGTCATGACTTTGAACCAAGGTCATTTATGCAAGTTCAAGGCCACTGACGGAAAAAGTTCATGATTCGTGTCTGGTCTGTATATTTAGTCTATTTTTTTTTTTTTATTAGGCTGCGCCTTCGTTTCATTTAAAAAAAAATATAATGAGCAATTACATTTGCACTAAAAATGTTTTAGCATTTCTCTCTTCTCTTAGATCCATAAAATATTCATGATTTAGCACTTCTGAAAAACCCAGCAGGGGGGTATTTTGTCCCGTTTGGACAGTTCTAATTAAGAAGTTGAATGGATGAAAATGTACTGCTTTCATTCAGAAAACGATTTCATTATAACCCCGCAAATAAAGTTTTGGGGGGTATTTAGGAATCACCTTTTCCATCTGTCTGTCTGTCTAGCTGTCCGTCTGTCTGTGCAAACATGTCCGGTCCATATCTTTCTTACGGAGGAACATTAGAATCTACTACTCCACACAAAGATTGCCTATGTCCCAAGGGTGTGTCATGACCTTGACCCAAGGTCATTTGGGGAAGTTCAAGGTCACTGGAAGAAAAATTTCATAATTTGTGTCCGGTCCATATCTTTCTTATGGATAAACTTGGTAGGTTCTCATTTCATACAGTGATTGCCCATGACCTAAGGATGTGTTATGTCCTTGACCCAAGGTCATTAGGGGAAGTTCAAGGTCACTGGAAGAAAAATTTCATAATTCGTGTCTGGTCCATATCTTTCTTATGGATAAACTTGGTAGGTTCTCATTTCACACAAAGATTGCCCATGACCTAAGGTCACTGGAAAAAAAATTTCATAATTTGTGTCTGGTCCATATCTTTCTTATGGATAAACTTGGTAGGTTCTCATTTCACACAAAGATTGCCCATGACCTTGACCCAAGGTTAATTTGGGAAGTTCAAGGTCACTGGAAGAAAAATTTCATAATTCGTGTCCGGTCCATATCTTTCTTATGAATAAACTTGGTAGGTTCTCATTTCACACAAAGATTGCCCATGACCTAAGGGTGTGTCATGACCTTGACCCAAGGTCATCTGTGCAAGTTCAAGGTCACTGAAAGAAAAATTGTTTGATTCATGTTTGATGCATATCTTTATTATGGAAAAACTCACCTCTGAAAAAACCCAGTGGGTGGTATTTTGTCCCGTTTGGACAGTTTTAGATAAAAATGTGTTGTGATGGTGCTAGTAATTGTTTTTTCTTTCAGATCCGTGGTGCCCTTGTGGCGGTGCTTGTCAACTCCTCCTCGGGACCCCCAGAAAGTATCGACATTAACGCTATCACCAGTGTCCTCAACACAGCCACTGAGGTTCAGGAGGAACTGTCAGAGGAAACTCAGGTCTGGGATACAGAAATGAAATATTTGTTTTGGACCAAAAGTGAGGAAAAATCAGAGACTCAATAAAAAAAGTTAAGACTCAGGGAAAATGTATAACTTCTTTGTTGAAATTATCAGTAACCAGAATCTAAGCATTAGCAAACAGTAAGATTCCAGTTTCTGAAAATGTTCACAGATTTATGTTAAGAATATAACAGTACACAAATATCTGTATGATTTTAGGACAAAGCAGTAGAATTATATGATGGAATGACCACAGCTTTTTCTACACAATCCGTCAACGTCACACAGAGTGCTGCTGAAACCACTGCAGGGTAGCACTGACAAGCTTAAAACTCAAAAAAAAATTTAATTTTTTTCTTTAACTGTGTTTATTTGTTTTCCATTTATCATAATACACACATTAAGTTATAAACTTCATTATTAAATAAAATCCATTTATTATGCCTTGAAATGGCAGCTTTGTATATGGTTGGGGATATAGTGTTTGACATATCTGTCTTAAATTCCATCCTTTTTAGCTCACTTGAGCCAAAGGCTCAAGTGAGCTTTTCTGATCAAAATTTGTCCGTTGTCTGTTGTCGTCGTTATCGTTGTAAACTTTTCACATTTTCATCTTCTTCTCAAGAACCACTGGGCCAATTCTAACCAAACTTGCCACAAAGTATCCTTAGTTGAAGGGGATTCAAGTTTCTTCAAATGAAGAGCCACACCCTCTTCCAAGGGGAGATAATTATGAATTAGTTAGAAATTAATGGCATTTTTAAAAAATCTTCTTCTCAAGAACCACTGGGCCAAAAAAGATGAAACTGATGTGGAAGCATCCTCAGGTAATGTAGATTCAAGTTTATTCAAATCATGACCCCCGGGGGTAGGGTGGGGCAGAACCACTGGGCCAGGAAATATGAAACTCATGTTTAAGCATCCTCAGGTAATGCAGATTCAAATTTGTTCAAATCATGACCCCTGGGGGTAGGGTGGGGCTACAATGGCCGATCAAAGTTTTACATAGGAGTGTATAGGGAAAATCTTTAAAAATCTTTTTCTCAGGAACCACTGGGCCAGGAAAGATGAAAGTCATGTGGAATCATCCTCAGGTAGTGTAATTCAAATTTGTTTAAATCATGACCCCCCGGGGTGGGGTTGGGCCACAATGGCCGATCAAAGTTTTACATAGGAAAAAATTGGAAAAATCTTCTCAAGAACCACTGGGTTAGGAAAGATGAAACTCATGTGGAATCATCCTCAGGTAGTGTAGATTCAAATTTGTTCAGATCATGACCCCCGGGTGTAGGGTGGGGCCAAAATGGCTGATCAAAGTTTTACATAGGACTAGATAGGGAAATCTTTTAAAATCATCTCCTCAAGTACTTCAAAGCCATGATTAGTGATATTTATATGGAATCATCCAGAGGTAGTGTAGATTCTAGTTTGTTCAAATCATGACCCCCAGGGATTGGGTGTAGCCACAATTGGGGATCCAAGTTTTACATTAAAATATATTTTTAAAAATCTCCTCAAGAATATCAAAGCCATGATTAGTGATACTAGTATTTATATGGAAGCATTTTCGGGTAGTGTAGAAAAATAAAGCCAATTAAAGGGAAAAATCCCAAGAACAGAAAAGCTTTGTTTAGTCATATTGACATGTAAGCATCCTCATGTATTGAAGATTTAAATTATTCAAATCATGGCCCTTTGGGGTAGGGACGGAAACAATGGGGAATCAAATTCAAATTATTATGAAGTTATATATAGGAAGAAAATGTTTTTAAAAAATCTTTTTATCAAGAAAAGCAAAGCCATATGCTATATTATTATGAAGGCATTCTCAAGTAGTATTAAAATTCAAGCCGCCCCCCCCCCCCCCCCTTCAGTAAACTTTTCAGTTAAGGTAAGGTCTCAGGTGAGCGATGTTGCCCCTGGGCCTCTTGTTATTCTGTCTATCACATATAGTGATAAGCTCAGTTTCAAAGACACTATTGAATATTTAAATCAAAATTCAGACTGATATATATTGGATTTTGACATAATAATCCAGGTTACTGTTGGAAGGAATTACCATGTTACTGGACACCAAGACTAAGTCAGGGTACAAGGCATTACACTCAGGACCAGCAAATGACACACTAGAAAGACAGGTGAGTTGAGTATGAACATATTAGTCTATACAATCAAATATTACACTAGAAAGGTGAGTTGAGGTTGATTGATGAAGGTTATTAAATTATTTTTATGGCCTTTAATCTGACCTTGACCTTTCCTAAGACCTTGAAACCTCTTTTGTTTTATATTTACTTGGCTTTCAATGAAACTGGTCAAGAATTGAATCTGGTCATGGAATTTTTATCAATCTTCATGAAAGAAAAAAATACAAATTGATCAGAGCTATTCATCTTTGTCAAAACTTTCAAACCTTTATCCTCGAAATAACCTTTACCTCACTTGTTTTGTGTTCAGGATAGTTGAAAAACATTCATAATATTCTTCTCAATATAAATATTAAATAATTGCTTTGATCTTATAGGTAAAGAGTTCAGCAGAGAAGCTACTTGGGACTGTAAATACAATCACTGACGTAATGATGGAGTTTATCAAGCCTGATGCTAATCCCTCGGTGTTTACCACCAGTAAAATGAACCTAGCTCTATCCAAGGCTTCACCCTCACAGTTAGCAATGAAGGAATTAAACCTAAGTAGGGGGAATAACTATGGTGATTTCACAATTCCAGCAGATAGCAAGTTGTCTGTCTTGTTGAGCAATACATCGTATGCAAGCATTCAGGTAATCAACTAACCATGAACTTGACATGGTTTTAAAACATTATGGATGGTTCTTTTTTTGATTGTAATTTCTCACATGATCAATCTTGTACTTCTCTTAAGTGTTATTACATAAAAATAATTCACCTCTCTTAGCACAAAAATTGTGAAACATGTACTGAAATCACTTTTTATTCGCGAGAACTTTATTTTCGAGTAATTACACGAGACAATGCGTTAGCGAAAATTTAATTCTCGCGTATAAAAGTATTCCTTACAATTATATAGAGGAATAACAACTATTTGTGAAAATTATGTCTCGCTTACAAAGAGTCAATTACAATCTCACGAAAAATAAGTTGTCGCGAAAATTTAGTGATCTACAGTATATGGTTTACATATTTTTAGTCATATTTGTGTGTTTGGTAGGTAATGCTAACTGAGAAAAATCCTTTCATCTGGGACCTTTCCTCTGATAATCTGACCACACCAATGGTTTCCATGACTCTGAGAAATGACCAACAACAAATTGTAAATGTTACAGATCTAACGGATCCAGTACAAATATTCATCTCCAACACCAGTGAGTACCATAGAATTCTTTATAGGGCTTTATTGATATTGCATATTATGCAGTAAGCTTTAAGACAAAATGTGCAAAACTAAGCTCAATTTCAAGCATTTATGAAATACTTATAGATAGTATACCATGTGTTATTTGTGAGAACTAGAAACTTTTCATAAAATGGGTTGGAAATGGATGTTAATAAATGGTTTAAAAGGGAATGAATTCATTTGGTTTAGATTCATACTTTGGAATCTTTTGAACAAGAAAACTATTCTGTGAAAAAGTCATACTCTTCATTTTATTCAGAACTGTTTTAAGCAAACATTTCTATCACACAGATCCAACGGCAGAGAAATCTGAAGAGAATTTTACCATCAATGCCGCAAGTTTTGATAGTTTTAACAGCACACCTGATGATCTTTGCCGGGTTTTGAATTTAAATGTCACTAAAAAAAGATCCAACATTTTGACCATACAACCTTTGACATTTAACCTTTCAATCAGTGCAATGGAAATACAAAATGGTACTAATGTGAGTCATTATGACATCACATCAGCGGGGATTTCCCTCAATAAAGCTAACAACTTTACTCACATCTTTACTTCCTTACCATCTGGAGTCATAGCAATAGGTTTCTGTGTTGATCAAACAATGGATAACTATAGGGAATTAAACAAAGGATGTTTGTCCTTGACATCATGTGTATTGACCTTGACGTTGGAGATCCAGGGTTACTCTGCTGTGTGTATGTACTGGAATGTGTCCGGGGATGCCTGGTCTTCAGGTGGATGTCAGGTAAAAAGATACTTAACAGGATTTATTGATCATCAAACAGTTTCATAAAAAATATGATCTGACAGGTCTTAGCTAGATTTTGTCCAGTGTTACATCTACTCTCTTAACTTATACATTCTCAAAAGTCTCTTTATGGAAAATGGAACAAATTAGTGCAAGTTTCATGCAAATATTTGGTTTTTAATTGAAATACATTTTAAACTGGTTTAGTTGTTTTAAGGGACTCCGACCCTCAGCCAGGAAGGACAACTCTTTAATTTATAATTTAATTCAAAAAGTCTTTAAATGAAGCTTGAAAATTAAATCTTTTCATGAAACAATTTTCATTATATGCCTCTCAATGTGCTTCAAGGTTCTTTGAACTTCTCAGAAAGGTCTAATTAAAAGTAGAAATTTTTATCCTGAAAAAGTATTTTTAGATACCAATGTTTATTAACATGATATGAAATTAGAAGTGATTTATGGAGCTTTGCAAAGAACCTTCAAGCACATTGAGAGGCATGTAATGAAAATTGTTGCATGAAAATATTTAATTTTCAAGCTTCATTTAAAGGCTTTTTGAATTAAATTATAAATTAAAGAGTTGTCCTTCCTGGCTGAGGGTCGGAGTCCCTTAAACCAAAGTTTTAAAATGAACTCATCATAGAGACATGCTATTGTATTTACAGGTAGGAAGACAGACAACTCCTGAGACTATACATTGTGAGTGTAATCACCTCACAGCTTTCTCCGGTAGTTTTTTGGTGGCGCCTAACTTTGTGGACCCTTTCGGAGATGCGTCCCTATTTCTGACGTTTTTCTCTAACCCAGTGGTGGTGTCCACAGTCCTCATTATCTGGTTGATTTACTTCACACTTCTGACCTGGGCCACAAAACAGGATAGAAGGGACATGTACAGGGTAAGGGGTAGAGATATGTACGGGGATTTTTTTTTTTTGCTGCTGAAATTTTTCAAGTTCATCTTTAGAAGCAGAGGTATTTTACGTCAAGAATTTTGGTGATTTCTTAATAATAAGAAAAATATCTCTTATTAAAAAGATATAGATGTACTGTTATTTGGAGGGGGATGATTTTCATTTGTAAGCTTTCAACTCAAATTTCTAAAATTTTCTAAATTAAACCAATTAATATTTACCCTTTTTAAGGGTGATCAAAGTGTGTCTGGGGCAAAGTATGTTTAAATTAACATTTTGCAGGGAGGAGTAATTGTTGCCCATGAGAATGACCCAAACAACAGATATGCCTACCTGGTGTGTGTAATCACTGGCTGGTGGAAGGACGCTGGGACCTCGGCTAACGTCAGTCTATCGTTCTCTGGGACGCGGGGTCACAGCGCCAGGCACTGCCTGAGTGAGTCGGTACCCGGGAGACAGTGCTTCATGTCGGGGTCTGAGGACTGGTTTCTGATTACCACTAGTCACAGCTTAGGGGACATCAAGAGTCTGTCTGTCTGGCATGACAACTCAGGAAAATCTCCGGCATGGTAAGTTATAGTAAAACCAATCAAAGTTTTCAATATTAAAAAAAATTTAACAGTTAGTGGATAAGACAATTCACAAAGCTTTACTTCAATACTTGGGGTTTTTTAACATTAGGTAAACATTTCTGTTATTTATTATCCACATCATATCATTAAATTTTGTTGAATATGCACTTAAACCAGCATCAACAGGAAATCACAAAATGTAAATCCATCTAAAATGGATTTTTTTTAAGAAATTGGCTAAGAAAATTATAACATGGTACATAAACAGAACCTTGTTTACAGAATTTTCCTGAAAAGTGGGAATTCAAAAATTGTCTTTATAAAGATTATTCACTTTCTCAACATGCTCAAGGAAAATAATAAAGAAAATACAAATTATTATTTTTTTTAAATCTTCTTGTAAACAACTAAGCTAGAAAAGATCAAACTTAAGTTTCCCTACTTATATAATTTCAAAGTTGTTCAAATTATGACCCTGGGGATGGAGGACCCCCAAGGCCATGCCAAGTCAAGTAAGAATCCTCAGGTAGGTTAAATTCAGATTTTGTCATCAAATCATTGCCCCTTTAAAGGGAACAGGCTAGGGCATATTAGAATATTGAACAAAATAAAGCAATATCAATTATAGTTCAAAGAATCAGCAGCAAATTTTTGTGCATCAGGTACTTATCAAGAATACTCATTGAGGACCTACAGAGCCAGAAGACATGGACGTTCCTTTACAGTGATTGGATTTCTGTGGACAGGGGGTCTGTCTCCCTCAAAATCACGCTGCAGTCCTGCTCTGATGAGGAGCTGATGTCCCACAAGAACCAGCAGTTCTTCTTCAAGTCCAGTCGAGACCTCCGGGACTCCCACCTCTGGCTGAGTATTGCGTCCAAGCCCTCCTACAGCACGTTCACCCGTGTCCAGCGACTGTCCTGTGCCCTCTGTCTACTTCTGATGACCATGCTGACCAGTCTCATGTTTCACGGAATTCCGACCGATGACCCTGCGGACCAGGCCAAGGTGGGATACCTAACCGTATCTCTATCTGACCTTGTTATAGGGGTCCAGAGTGGGCTGATCATGTTTCCTGTAAATATCCTCATCATTCAGCTGTTTCTGAAATCTAAGAGGAAACCGAGGGGAGGGGCTCAAGTCAAGAAGAAAGCAAGGAGAGAGAAGTACTCGGTAGTCAGTGTCGGGACTAGTGAGGGAGATCAGACTTCAGAGAAAGAGATGGAGCCCGCAAAGGAGAATGGAATGTAAGACATTACACTGTTACACAGAAACAAAGCATTCAGAAATGTTAGGTATTTGAGAAGAAAAATAAATTTTACTTTATAATCACTTTGACTATGCAAAAAAACTATTATTTTCATATTGATACAAAAAGTGTTACTTTTTTAGCTCACCTGAGCCGAAGGCTCAAGTGAGCTTTTCTGATCACATTTTGTCCGTCGTCCGTCCGTCCGGCCGTCCGTCTGTAAACTTTTCACATTTTCGACTTCTTCTCAAGAACCACTGGGCCAATTTTAACCAAACTTGGTACAAAGCATCCTTGGGTAAAGGGGAATTTAAATTGTTAAAATGAAGGGATATCCCCTCGCAAGGGGAGATAATCAAGAAAAGACAAAAATAGGGTGGGTCATTAAAAATTCTTCTTCTCAAGAACCACTGGGCCAGTAAAGCTGAAACTTATGTGGAAGCATCCTGGGGTAGTGTAGATTCTAAATTGTTCAAATCATGACCCCCGGGGGAAGGGCGGGGCCACAATGGGGAATCAAAGTTTTATATAGAAATATATAGGAAAAATCTTTGAAAATCTTCTTCTCAAGAACCACTGGGCCAGAAAAGCTGAAACTTATGTGGAAGCAACCTGGTATAGTGTAGATTCTAAATTGTTCAAATCATGACCCCCGGGGGAAGGGCGGGGCCACAATGGGGAATCAAAGTTTTATATAGAAATATATAGGAAAAATCTTTGAAAATCTTCTTCTCAAGAACCACTGGGCCAGAAAAGCTGAAACTTATGTGGAAGCATCCTGGTATAATGTAGATTCTAAATTGTTCAAATAATGACACCCGGGGGAAGGACGGGGCCACAATGGGGAATCAAAGTTTTATATAGAAATATATAGGAAAAATCTTTGAAAATTTTCTTCTCAAGAACCACTGGGCCAGAAAAAGTGAAGCTTATGTGGAAGCATTCTGGGGTAGTGTAAATTCTAAATTGTAGGAATCATGACCCCCGGGGGAAGGGCGGGGCCATTATAGGGAATCAAAGTTTACATAGAAATATATAGGAAAAATCTTTGAAAATCTTCTTCTCAGGAACCACTGGGCCAAAAAAGCTGAAACATATGTGCCCATGGAAGGATCATGGGGTAGTGTAGATTTCAAAATGTCTAAATTATGATCAGTGGGATAGGGTGGGGATGCATTATGTATAACAAGGGTGAAATCTGGTAAAGAACAGAATGGTCAAAGCTTCTCAGGTGAGCGATGTGGCCCATGGGCCTCTTGTTTTAAAATTTTGATATGAAAGTAACTGTTTTTCAGTTTGCCATGGTGGACAGTGTACATTGCCTGGACCCTGGTCATCACTCTGTCAGTTGTCTCCTCTTACTTTGTAATGCTGTACGGCCTTAAGTTTGGCTATCAGAAGAGTGTGGAGTGGCTTGTGTCATTCTTCACTGCTTTCTTCCAAAGTGCCTTTGTCACCCAGCCCCTGAAAGTTATAGCCATATCCCTTATATTCACAATGATTCTGAAGAAACCTGTTGAGATCCAAGGAGGAAAGACCAGTTCAGGTAATACAGAGTTCAATACAGGTAAAGGTCATTATTGGTTGAGGCCAAACAGGAAAAGTGTGATACAGGTCAAGGCCTGTACAGGTAAATACAATACATAGTTCAATACAGGTAAAGGTCAGTATTGGTTGGGGCCAAACAGGAAAAGTGTGATACAGGTCAAACCCAGTACAAGTGAATAGAAAAAAGAGATTAATGTAGGAAATGCAAAAAATTACATTTATTATACCCCCCGCAAACAAAGTTTTGGGGAGTATATAGGAATCACCTTGTCCGTCCGTCTGTCTGTGCAAACGTGTCCGGTCCATATCTTTCTTACGGAGGAACATTAGAATCTACTACTCCACACAAAGATTGCCCATGACCCAAGGGTGTGTCATGACCTTGACCCAAGGTCATTTGGGGAACTTCAAGGTCACTGGAAGAAAAATTTCATAATTCGTGTCCGGTCCATATCTTTCTTATGGATAAACTTGGTAGGTTCTCATTTCACACAAAGATTGCCCATGACCCAAGGGTGTGTCGTGACCTTGATCCAAGGTCATTTGGGGAAGTTCAAAGTCACTGGAAGAAAAATTTCATTATTCGTGTCCGGTCCATATCTTTCTTATGGATAAACTTGGTAGCACAGGCACCTGACATTACTTATTTTTCTTTTAATAAAAAAAATATACACATACCGAATAATAAACAAGGTACCCATCTAAACCCGCCATCTTGGATTTTCGAAGTAGGTCATCACTTGTATTTTCGTCTGAAACTCCGTCAAATAAATTCCCTGCAACCATATTCTTTCTGTAGCCAGTCTTTCGAGGTCTAAACTTACGGACACTGCAGCCAGAAAGGCGCATTACACTTGCAAATATTGAAAATCCCTCGTCAAACTCAACCTACTGCTTCAACATTCCGAGAAATCGCCAAAAGGGGGCCGGAAGTTTACATACTACTTGAAATTCTTAGGGAAAGCCCTTTTTTGATTGGTCAATATATTTGTGCGATTTATTTTTAAAAATAACCGGCGAAAGTTAGTACTTATTCCAAAAACAATATTTCAGACAATAATACAATGTAATATACATGTAAGAACATTCTTTTTATTTCTCTCAAAATAATTTCGATATATCTTGATTAATAAAGCGATTATATTTTGTAAATGTCGAAGATCGGCCTGATCATGCTAGCTGATCAATGAACATTTTCGAGACAAATTGAGTTGGTTGTAAGGCCCTACTTACATGCACTAAATATAATTAATAACACTGTCATTATTGATGCCCTGATTGAGCGCTATCCGTGCAGAAGATTGACTTTATAAGTATGTACGCACGTGTGTGAGAGCTGTACACTAAAATTATCCCAGGGAATGTTGAGATCAATTTTATGTATTGCAATAAAGTAGTGACATGGCGACATTTTTATTTTTTTCTTGGTGACAGATTATACATAAACATGTCGCATAGGCTTATATTTGATTTCATTACATATCCTTTTTTCAGTGTGATCCTTCTCCTTTTTCAATTAAGCATATGCCATGTATATATGTATACATATATATAACTAGATGGTTTGCAGTCTATTGTTTTTTGAAAACGATTCAATTAACTCTAGATGATTTGTTATTGATTTTTTTTTAAGCACCCCTCCTCTCTTTTATTCAAAATTGTTTCGAACGCAACGACCTGTATAGATTGATATAGTATATTTTACAGGTATATTTATAAGAAGTGTTTTATTTTTCCCATTTTGCATTTTTTCCATTTCTATAATCGAAATATTCATTAAAATTTCAAAGTAATTATGACACCCCGCTTTAGATCCACCACAAAACTGACAAATACGGAATTCCCATTAGCATATTGATGTAAACTTCTTGCCCCCTTTTGGCGATTTCTCGGAATGTTGAAGCAGTAGGTCGAGTTTGACGAGGGATTTTCAATATTTGCAAGTGTAATGCGCCTTTCTGGCTGCAGTGTCCGTAAGTTTAGACCTCGAAAGACTGGCTACAGAAAGAATATGGTTGCAGGGAATTTATTTGATGGAGTTTCAGACGAAAATACAAGTGATGACCTACTTCAAAAATCCAAGATGGCGGGTTTAGATGGGTACCTTGTTTATTATTCGGTATGTGTATATTTTTTTTATTAACAGAAAAATAAGTAACGTCAGGTGCCTGTGCTTGGTAGGTAGGTTCTCATTTCACACAAAGATTGCCCATGACCCAAGGGTGTGTCATGACCTTGACCCAAGGTCATCTGGGGAAGTTCAAGGTCACTGGAAGAAAAATTTCATAATTCGTGTCCGGTCCTTATCTTTCTTATGGATAAACTTGGTAGGTTCTCATTTCACACAAAGATTGCCCATGACCCAAGGGTGTGTCGTGACCTTGACCCAAGGTCATCTGGGGAAGTTCAAGGTCACTGGAAGAAAAATTTCATAATTTGTGTCGGGTCCGTATCTTCTTATGGATAAACTTGGTAGGTTCTCATTTCACACAAAGATTGTCCATGACCCAAGAGTGTGTCATGACCTTGACCCAAGGTCAACTGGGGAATTTCAAGGTCACTGGAAGAAAAATTTTATAATTTGTGTCCGGTCCATATCTTTCTTATGGATAAACTTATCTCTGAAAAACCCAGAGGGGGTTATTTTGTCCCGTTTGGACAGTTCTAGTATTTCAATAAGCCTCCTTTACATTTTTTCCCAAACCAATGTGAAGTTATACAATATTAGTTTATCTAGTACCTGTGGTATGTGAAATCACTTATGACTGACCTAAATATTCCAGAAGAAAAGAAGGAGCAGTACAGGGACATAGACAGGAGGCAGGGGTACTACGTCCCTGACCCGCTGTCCCAGCGGCTGATGAACCGAATCCGCAGACAGCTGAAGCTAGAGGAGGCCACTCAGGCCACACTCAGGGACATCATGCTGTACTTAACCTTTATAATATGTATCATCTTTATGGCTCATGGACATCGATCTGTCCGCGATTCATACAGGGTGCATAAATTTCTAGAGAATACATTTGTACAACCCAGACATCCTCCTATCTACATCGATGGCTCAGGATATTCCACAGACATCTTGGAACTTGACAACGTAAGTCTGGGATAATTTCATGGGTTTTAGGAAAAATGGTAACCTGAACTGTGTTAAAACATGAATTTCAAATTTAAGGATTCTGTTGCATTTGATATTTGTGCACCTTATATATATAAAAATTGAAGTAATTTCTTTTCTTTATTGACAAGTATTGTGAATGAGAGAACCCCCCAAAAATTAAATTGATTTTAAGTTCTCCTCTATTTTGATTACAGGTGGCTAATGTAGAATTATTTTGGTCCTACATTGAAGAGCGTATAGTGCCAGTCCTTGGTGAGATGTCCCTGGGGAATTCTGCAGTAGCCACGTCCATCAGTGAATACTACCTGTTGGGATCGTATAGACTGAGACAAGTCCGGATAAAACAAGGTAAGAACTATTCCTAATTAAAGGTGTCAAATCTCATTAGGGAATATTGTGTATTAAATCAATTATTACAAATATTACAGCAAAACTCGTTCAGTATGAACACGGATATTGCGAATTCACAGATAAAGCGAAGTTATCTTGGATCCCCAGCTATATAAATTTAACAAATTCCTTTTATGGATATAACAGATTACGGATATAGCAAAGTAATTTTATAGGTGCCAGTGACTTGGTTACAACCGAGTTTTACTGTAAATGAATTTATTGAGGGAGATTTCTAGTTTGAAGAGAATAAATTTATTGAGGGAGATTTTGTTTGTGTGGAAATCATTTAGAATTTTTAATCTTGATATTTGCAGACACGTGTGATTTCCCAGATGTTCTGAGGAAGAGTTTCTCTATTTCGTTGGACTGTACAGGGGAGTACTGGGTGGGGGATGAAGACACAGGGGACTATAACCTGACCTGGAGGAAACCCCTCCCCAACAAAGTCAAGTCCATCCCTGACACCTGGAGCCACCAGTCCTCCTGGAAACTGAAGACTATACCGTACGAGGGGAGGTTAGCGACTTACAGTGGTGGGGGGTATACTGTGGTCTTAGCTGGGAACGTAACCCAATCTCTGTCTGTGATACACAACCTACAAAACTCAGACTGGATAGATCTTAGAACCAGAGCTGTCTTCATCGAGTTCACAACCTACAATGCTAATGTCAACTTATTCAGTGTTATCATGATTCTCTTTGAATTCTCCAATATTGGAGCCATATTTCCAAGCTACCAGATCTTTACTACAAAACTTTACGGTTATGATAATGGTCTGGAAATATTTACTGCGGTCTGTGAGGTATTTTTTGTCATTTTTACTCTGACGTTTTCATATATAGAAATCAGGAAGCTGTACTATGGAGGTAGGACACAGTACTTCAGTGATCCGTGGAGCTTTGTGGAAATCATTCAGATTATTTTGTCCTTCAGTGTGATTGGCCTGTTTTTCCAGCGATTCGTCTCGGTATCTAGTACACTGTCAGACTACCTCACCAGTACTGAGTTTGTCAGCTTCTACACCGCCATTTCTTGGGACATGATACTAAACTATGTCATGGCTTTCCTTGTGGCGCTGGTGATTCTGAAATTTTTCAAATTTTTGAAATTTAATGCAAGAATGTATTTACTTTCACAGACCCTTTCTATAGCCAGAGCAAACTTGATTGGCTTTAGCGTGATAATCTTCCTAGTGGTAGTAGGATTTGGACACTTTGCGGTGTTGGCATTTGGACCTTCTATTGAGGGATTTATGGACATGGGAAAGACCCTCATCACCCTGTTTAGACTAGCCCTGGGAGAATCAGATTTTCCTTCACTTCAGCAAGCCAACAGATACCTGGGCCCCGTCTTTTTCTTCCTGTACATATTTCTGGTACAGTGGACAGTTTTAGTGGTGTTCATAGCTATTCTGAACTTTGCCATTGAGGAGGCAAAGAGAAATATTGCTGAAATGAGGAACAAGTTAGAAGTTGTGGACTACATTTATAACAAGATTTATCAGTTATTGCCAAGATGTTCTTGAAAGAGTTATTTGTTTTCATCTTGTTTTCTGTTCTGGAATTTGTTAAAACAACAGAGCTAGGTGCTAAAATGTTTCTCTTTGTTGAATTAAAGCTTTGAAGAAAAAAATTGTAGTTTGAATTGTCATTTGGTAGGAAAAATAATTTTTTTGTCCCCAGCTTTCACTGAAAATGAGGATTAATAATTTAGGTGTCTGTCTGTCCATTCATCCCTTTCTGTCAGTATGTAACAGTTTTGTTACCAGATGATATCTCAAGGAACTTTTAACCTTTTGGAATGAAATTTTATATCCCAACTTATGGCCAATGAAAGATTCCTAGTTATTTTGAGGTCATAAAGGTCAAAATGCTTGTGTATGAGATGTTTTCCAAGTGATGTCTTTAAAGGCTGTAGAGCTTTTGCTGTGAATTTTTTTTCACAACTCCTTATGGCCAAAAATAGACCCATATTGATTTTGAGGTCAAAGTTAAAAATTCATACAATCTATCTTAAAAAAAAACAAACAATTTTCATTACCCAGACAGTGTAACATGCTTATAGAGAACATGCTTAAAATGAATTGACATGTACAGCAAAGTTTTGTCTTTTTATGGCTTTCAAAAAGAAAAAAAGATTTTAAAAAAATTTTCCAATATTATTCCTGTGTTATATTTGGCTTTCCAATCCTGGCCCCAACCTTACCACTTGGAGGTCGTGATCTGAATAAATTTGATGCATTTATAAAGGTTTCAACTTTGGGTCTTTCTTGAAAAGAAATTTTTTAAAGATGCCACCAAATATTAACTTTAAAAAAAATGTCCCCTAGAAGGAGTGCTTGACTTTCTTTTTGTACAAACTTGAATCACTTTTATCTTGTGATACTTTTCGCAAAGTTGGTTGAAATTGGTCCAGTGGTCATGGAAAAGAAAATGAAAATGTGAAAGTTTACAACAATGAAAGATAACGGACAACTTTCATTAGATAATCTCACTTGAACCTTTGGCTTAGATGAGCTAAAACATGCGTGGATCCAGATTTTTTTTTTCCCTGGGGTTCCACCCCAGCCAAAAAGAAAAAATTGTGACACAAATTTCTCGACAAGCAAAAAAAAAAAAAAACGTAAACTCCTTTCCCAAAAGTTAAAAACCTATTTCATGGGGAAGGGGGGGGGGGGTCGTTGACTTATCAAGCTTCATACTTAGGACTTTTTATACCAATTTATTACACAGATCTGCATTTTTGAGGAGGGGTTCGCTAGAGGGGGTGTCCAAGGTAACTTTTACTTGGTTAACTAGATACATTCAATAACTGCAAATTCCGCGGGGGAGGGGGGGTCCGTCAAATGGCCACTGTATGTGATGTAAGCTAGACTAAGAGAGTTTCAAGTGGGCTTCATCTGAAAACTTAATACTCGTATAACCATTAAGACCTTTGAGCCTCTTATTAGCTCACCTGAGCTGAGACCATCCCCTGGTGAAGTGAAGTTTACTTTGTTGAATGGAAGGGCCAAACCCCCTTTACAAGGGGTAATAATAAAGAAAACACAAAGATATGGCGGGGATATTAAAAAATCTCAAGAACCACAGGGCCAGAAAAGATGAACCTTATGTGGAAGTATTCTGAGGCAGTGAAGATTCTAAATTGTTCAAATCGTGACCCTCTGGGGTAGTACTGGGCCATAATAGGGAGTTTTTCATTGAAATATATAGAAAAAAATCTTTAATTTTTTCTTCTCAATGCCCTTTGGACCAGGGAAGCTGAAACTTATTTGGAATCAATCAAGGGTAGTGTAGATTCTAAATTTTCAAATCATGACCCCGGGTTTAGGGTGGAATCCAAGTTTTACATTGAAATTTAAATGAATTATCTTTTTAAAACTCCTCAAGAACCACTGGGTCAGAAATGCTGAAGCATCTTGGGGTATACATTTGGGGAAAGCTGGTGAAGAATAGGAGGACTAAAGTTACTCAGGTGAGCGTTGTAGCCCAATTTGCCTCTAATACTGAACCGATTTCTGCTTTTCCTAGCTTTTCAAAGTATTCAGGTGAGTGATGTGACCCATGGGCATCGTATTCATTTTTTTGCTCACCTGAGCTAAAGCTGGCATACGACTGCAAATGTCTCCCTTACGTCGCGGGTTCGAATCCCACTGTGGGACGTGGAGACAGGTCCTTCGAATGAGACCGTATTTAAACCCAGGTCCCGTTTCGCAGTAGGTGCTGGCACGAAAAAGATCCCTCCTTGCTCAATCAATGGCTCATAGTATAGGACAAGATTTGCAGCTCTCCACCGGCAACTGGTGGCGTCTCCATAATAATGAGTAAAAATTTTTCGAGACGGACGTTAAACAATATACAGTCAATCTTCCCACGAATCACTAGTCCATTTCCTACAAAGCAGTCTTCGGTCAAGGGTATTCAAGTAAATTCAAATGAAAAGTCAAGCCCTCTTTCTTTTGTTTATTTTATAAAATGAAACCATTTCCGCCATTTCACGTTTATCTTTTATAAATTGTTTTTGTAAATATTTTACATAAAACCTTATTAATCATTAATTGGTTTGAGAGAATATATTGAACTTGAACTTTTTAATTTGAGAGTATTGTGGTTCATGGGCATCTTGTTTAATTTGCCTTACTGAATTAATAGTAATGGGGTGTGACGGTGAATATACTTTGAAAATCCAATAAAATTATTAATAGAGCTTTATGAAATGAGTTTTTTGTAAGATGGCTAAGACCTGGCAATTTCGTCCAATAATATATGACTTTTACCTCTTAGAGAAAAGTTCAATCATACAATATTTACGAGGCTTTCGTAAAAATAATTATTGCTGGTTTACTAAAGCTTGAGTTCTACCTCTTCAGATATGTTGTATAGGAAAATGGAAAACCATGGTCAGAGAGTGTTTAATATTTAATTGCTATATATTCGACGTTTTTGTTCTCGGACATGGAAACTCGAGATGAGATTTGTTCAAAAATCGATTTTTAACAAACACCCTGTGTCTTCATGTTCTCGAGATCGCCGTACCCAAGAGGAAGCCGTTCATTGTTAATTAAGGGATATACACGGTAAAACTGAAATTCAGATTCTTAAATACTGGTTTACTGTGTACAATATTATAATACCAGTACTAAGTAAAAATTGACTCCATTCCTGGACAACGTAGATTGATTGTATATTAACGTTTAACGTCCCTCTCGAGAATTTTTCACTCATATGGAGACGCCACTACTTGCCGGTGGAGAGCTACAAATTTTTTCCTATACTCGGCACTCAGAGCCATTGAGCAGTGAGGGTTCTTTTCCGTGCCAGCACCTACTGTGACGCGGGACCTCGGTTTATACGGTCTCATCCGAAAGACCGGTCTCCACGTCCCACAGTGGGATTCGAACCTGCTAGGATCAGGGGTCAAGATCTTACTAGTCTAAATTAAATTAGTATTTAATTTTCGAAACTTTTAGTGGTATTTTTGATAAATAAAAATGTTACCACAATTGAAAGTAAATAGGAGACTTGATGTCTTAATCAAATATGTGGGACTTTGCCTGACTTGTTTTGAGGTGAGCTCTGTTATCTTTGATTACTTATGGTTAAGTTTCTCCATCGTCCTGATATATTATACCTTGGACAAGGAGAGTATGGCATCCTACTCTCTTTCTCTGAAAGCCATAGTTGGTTAATTCCATTCAAAGTAAAGGTATTCTCTTGGTGATTTAAAATGGGAACATTTCTTATTTATTCGATGCTGAAAATCTACAACTGCTGAGAACGCATATTTAAATTCAATTCAAATACAGTGAAGTCGCCAATTCCGGGTCACGTCAGGGTGTTTCTTTGATATTTTGCAAATCTGTTCAATTTATATTTTATGCAATATGTGTATTAAAGGACAAATAGTGAGTCATCCAAACACCTTTTCGTTTTCAAAATAGCTGCACGGGAACAATATTTACAGGGGTATTTCAGCAAGGCCTAGCTTCCCCAGTTACGAATCATTTTCTCCATTTCCGGGTCATATGACTTTACGGTGGTGTAATATTCATGGAACGTTTCGGAACACGATTTTTATGATGTTGAAAAATAAAACAATTCATGCAGCTTGGAAAAAAAGTAAAGCAACCACAGAAATATGTTTAAATTATTTTTAAAACAATTACAACAAAACATGCTGAATTAAAAAAATGTATTAGGATTAAAAATAATACAATTAAATTCATTTATTAAAAAAATGCATTTGAAAGGTTAACTCGATTTTAATTTTTAGAAAAAATATTTTCCAGTTAGAATACTTTTGATAATCAAGGTAAATACATGGTTGTCGATTGGTTTTGTACATAGAATTTTGACATGTTCATGCCACGAGATTGCGTGACCCGCAATTGGAGAAACTACTACAGTTTCATTTGATAATAATTGTACTTTTATTTGAGCAGCGATCATTATGATTGATTTCTGAGTTAAAACTAAATGCATTTGTCATACTTTCAAGCTATCATTACTTATCTAGAACCTTTATACCAGCCTTTCTACAGCGAACAAAAACGAAAGTAGCCCGTCACCGCAGCAGAAACATTCAAATCTTTAATGCGTGCGTTTCAGAATTTCGATTGTCGGATGCTCTCTTAAAGTTTATATTCAAAATTTTGTAATTAATTACATACAGAAAGACCAGTTCTTCACGACCAGCATATTCATTAAGGTTTTTTTGCGCTTAAATTTTAACACTAGGCATAAAATACACGCGAGTGACCCGGAATTGGAGACGACCCGGAATTGGCGACTCCACTGTACTTTGATGGTTTCAAACCACGGGAAAATCATAATTTAAAAAAATCATAATAATATAAGCATCATATTCAATAAAACTGTTTCCCAAAAATTGGGCCAAAAACTTTATCACGAAATCGTATGCAGGCATCTAAATTAATTCTCACGATGTAATTCCCTGACCAATCGCTGCGGAGAAAACAGTGATGTGACCGTTGTTTCATTCTCCGCCTCATTATGATTTCTGATTGGTAGAACTCTTCAGGGGATAACCGGTGTATAACACTGTCGTGAACTCAACATTCAATTTTTATACAAGAACAAAGGCTGTTTGAGACTCTTTGAAATGGAATATACAATGATAGAAAATCCCAAATAGAAAATCATTAAACTGTTGGAAAAACAAATATGCCATGCAGTGACCAAGAAGATATTTAAAATCAACACTCTTTTCTTATTTATGAACTTATAGAGCGATTTAAAGTGGGACAGCGCATTGTTGGACAACAATAGTATTACTTTGTCTGAGGGGTGACACTGGATGAAATAGATCACACACATCATATAGACATCTGTTAATTACTAATGCATGTATCAAGAGCTGTTTCCGCATGGATATCGTTGATTTTATCATTTATCATAGGTAAGAATATGTTTTATTATATTTAGGCGGAGGGGCGGGTGATTATGTCCTGTTAATTTTTAATTTTTTTTTTAATTTGTAGATCAATCAATCATGTAAACTTGACTTTTTCTACAGTAAATAATTGCCATGTGGACCATGTACATGTATCTCATTCCAAAAATTGTCACGGCTTTGACTCTGATCTCCTGATTGGGAAACATCAATAAAAATTAAAATAAAACTAAAGAAGAATAAAAATTAATTTATAATAAATATTATAAATTTAATAAATTTATAAATAAATTAGTACTCTCTCTCTCTCTCTCTCTCAACCCACCCACCCCCAAATAGTAAATATGTCGCTAAAACTCAGTCAATTTGAACGTTTTATCATTGCTATAATATAAAACAATTATCAGAGAATTTTCCCCTCAGTGTCATCCTTCGTCCATTGTCTCCTAACTATACTTCTTAATCAATTAAAAAACGCAAAATACTAATTGAAATTCCTCTTTTAAGAGTAACAAAAGATAATTTATTACTTTAATTATTGATTTACATATATGTACAATCATTTAATCAGAAAGTCAGTGTACTCACAGAAATTCCCGCTTTATTGGATCGGATTCTTTACGTACTTTTTTGTGTACTCTTCCTCATAGAATAAAGACAACTTTAGATATATAGAAGTGAACACTTCTTTAAAATAAATATGTTTTATCACAAAATCGTTTTTACTTTTTTTGAAACTATTTTAAATATTCTCTGTGCTAAGAAGACAAAAGTATTTAACATTTTTAATTCCATTATCTGGACATTATGTATTCATTATATAGAAACTAGATCCAATAGTCGGAAGGACTAATTGTAGGTAGGAAATATTTAATTGGTTATCGTGAAATTAACACAGGTCAGGGCTCTAATTTTATCTATAAAGTAATTTCTTAATTAATTTTGATCGATTTCCAGTGTTTAATAAGCAAAGTGATCTCTTAATTCAGTTACGTGATATAGAGTGTTTGGAATTTGTCGCCTGAATGGACCGCGTCCTGTTTTATGATGCAGGACAAGATATATGATTAAGAACTGCATAGTGAAATGTATATCATTCTGCCACCGGTATTTAACCTTCAAATTACATGAAAGTCCATAGACTTAAAAGAATTAGTGAGAGGGTTGTCTATAATAAATCTACGAAAGCCCAGAAAGTTCAAACGAGATTCCAGATTCGACATTCAATATCTAATCTGGGCTTTCGTATATGTTTCAGGCTTTTTATCGTGTTCTCATATTAATTTTTCTTTGAAGCTGTGCAAGATAGAGCTACATCCCAGCAGCGCACCTCGATTAAACAAAAATCAAAATCATCATCAAGTGTATTAAAATGTGTAAAATCTTAATTATTTTCCATACTATTTGGAATAATATATTGAATGTAGATTAGTAAAGTAGGATTTTAAAGATCACAAACACAATCAAAAATATTTTTATAAAAACTTTGAGTGTCTTTAAAGAGACATGTTTTACATTTAATCTGGCAGACAAGTGTACAATATCATACGATAAAACAAAAATGCCCTGTAGAAAAAAGAATAACCAACATTCATTATATACTGTATACACAATAGCAAATCTTAGTAACTGTTTGGAGGCCAATACACAATTGAATTCTTTTATTAAACCAATTGATGGGAATCTTTTTTCATAAAAAAATAACAAATTGGGTTGTTGGATCGGTTAATAAAACAAAACATTTCAAAACAAATAATTATACAAGTAAATCATAATCAAAAACACAATTATGTTCTGAGAATCTGCTTATAAATACTATTCACGACTTGTTTCTGTGGGTATTTTTACTCATAATAAACTACAGTAACTGTAAATTATGAATATCCTCTGATGAAGTTTTAAATAAAACGCCTTCTCGTATTAACCGAGATTCAGTACCGCAGAGAATCAACAACTTTAATTATTATAGCTGTACAAACACAATTTGTTATTGCAATAAATCAGACAATATGACTATAATGTGAAAACATTACAATCGAGCATTCAGCCGCGCTGATGCTATAATAACGAATCAGTAATATACCAATGAAGATGACTAGATAAGGCATCAGTGCATAGGGTCACCAAAGGCATCAATCAATCGATAAATTAATCAAACAATCAGTGTAATGACGACACGCTTGGTTAATTATGGAATGTGGAGGTATATACTCTGAGCACAAATTCAAGGAACACAGAGTTCAAGTTATTAACATACATCCAACAGTATAGAGTGATGTACATTAACAGATGGTTCTCATTTCTGAAAGACAAAGTCTCAAAATGTAGAAACCAATAAATATATTTTTCAGTCAGTTCAAACATTTATAAGAAATTCTGGTAGATTTAATTAATTATTACTGCCTAACACTTACACTCTATATATTAGTTATATATTTATCATATGTAACAAATGCATGTTTCAATTTAACAAACATGTTTAGTACATCAATATTCCTTTTTCACTTATTTTCCCTATGTATATATATTGACAGTTGTATGGTGAGAACCTAGTAAGTTGTTAGAACTTGTGTTCAAACCATTTATATAGTATTTATACAATAAAATATGTTCAAACCACAAAGTCTCATAGGAAAATCGGTAATAAAGTATACGTCAGGCTAGCATTACCAAACATTATTTAAAATACAAATGTCAAAGAACGGGGATGCTTCCTCCTCCGTGGCACCTGGTCCCTCTTCTGATGCTCGTTTTATCTGCTCTTAAGTTTTATTGTAACAATATGCTCTTAAATTTGATAAATGGTCGTTGTGTATCTCCGTTTTTCATTGTACTACACTATTTGAATATTAAACAGTGAAAGCAATGTAGTTCCAAATTCCCAGCAATGAAATCAGACTGTGAATCAAATCAATCAAGTAACCCATTTCTTTTTAATAAAAATTCTCGGGACAGAGAACTAGAAAAAAAAATTACATCCGACAACGCGAGGTATCGGATATAACACGTTTGTTTAGCTACCCGGTCCTGTGTTTCTAAAATCGAAATAAAGACATAATTTTAACACAAAAAGAATTTGTTATAGCAAGACCGCTAGCAGGAAATTACCTCGAGTAAAGTCATCATAAGATTGACAATGTTAACATGATATGTAAGGCTTCATTTCTTTTCTTGTTATAAATTCAGTTCATCTTCAAGAAATTGGTTTTTCAACCATATCAGTCCTCTGGATTTTAGAATATTTTGTCCACTTTAGAGTGATTGACCAGTTTTGATCAAATAACATCTTGAATTGGTGGATAAAAGATAAATGGCTCGAGGAATTTCAGCCTTTTAGTCTTGTAATTTACATGTACTCGTATTATCTTTCCCTCCCTCGCAAAGAAAAAGTGATACAGTGTACTAGGTATGATAAGCTATCTGTCATTTTAGAGAATAAAATGTATTATTCTATCTTCTGAGAATCTATATTGTTGACTTTCATTTGTGTTTTTCCCTATGTTTCCCAGAATAATAATCTCAATAATAATCGATCTCAATACTGTAAATCTTATTTTATAATTTTTCAGAAGTAGCTACTCAGAGCACGGCTAATCAGCAGGCGTTACACACGCACCTGTTTACGTCGTACGACGCCGGGGAGAAGCCATACTGCGGGGGGTCCGTCAATGTCACCCTAGACATGGCTCTACGTCAAGTCATCGATCTGGTCAATATTTTACAATGTTTTTTGTTTAATTGCTGAAAATGAGACAAGTTAAACTGACATGATGTTTAATTATCTTGTATAATAACAAAAGATGAAAGGAATAAGAAAAACTTGAATACATAACAATGATATTAGTTTGAGGACCTGCAAACAGCGTGTCCTGTCAATATTATACAAAATAGTGTTTGTTTTGGAATTAGTGACAACTTTAATTAATCAGTTATAAGAATGTCTTTAAAGCATAGGAAATTGAATAATGTCAACCTTTAAGTGATATTTTATATATAATGAAAATCTATAATTTGTAATTACTTTCCTGATTGCTATGCTACTAATTAAACACGTTGCAAAATGTACTTTTAAAATCGTGCAAAACTCCAAGCAGATACAATGGTTCTCACGGACCTATTTAAGTTTTCTTGTATATTGATCTTTAATTGTCTTTCGCAATATGTACTCGTTTTTCTATACATTTTCCCAAGTCAATTCATATATGAGAGAGAGAGAGAGAGAGAATGTTTGGGGAATTACCAACTTACTCATCCAGTTTAGATGTACATCAGACATGAAGACCAATTTTATGCATTTTTGCTCCGACTTTGCACAGTTATGAGAATTCAGTAATTAATACCTTACTCAGAATTAGTACCGATGAATGAAAATAATTCAGTACAGTGTAAAAATACACGTGTTTTACACATTTTTCACCAAGTCCAATTCTGATTCCATTAAATGCTCGAAAACTCTCTTATGGTTCTATAGATCATATAAAATATTGACACATGTATTGATAAAGTTAGTGGACAAATTATCAATAAAATTATGTTTTATCACTGAAATATACTTTTTTTGTTTTAGTAATGCATTCATTTATCATGTCCATGTGTTGACATGCATTGCATTAACAATTATTACAGAGAAATTCTCGTCCACAGGCTCTCAATCTATAATTGTTTATTGTAGGACGAGCCCCAGCAGATTTTGAAAATCAATGTTTGGGTACGACTGGTAGGTAACATATTTACATTTGTCTGTAGGTTTTGTGTTTTTCTCTGCAAACATTGAATGTAACATTTACTGAAACGTTAATTTATTTTACTAGTTTGTCTGTGTCTTTAATGTTACCGGTATCGAAGAGTAGCATATTTCTCCCATAGTCAGCTGCCTTATGTATTCCTACGTAAGACTTGGATTATCCATTGTGGCACCACCCTACCCCGGGAGTCTTGTCTAGAGAAAACTTGAATCTACACTATTCTGGTCCAAAAAATGAGACAGGTCACCTTTTAAACTTTAGAATAAAGATTTTTGACAAGAAAAAATACGCTTAAGACTTAGGACAAGTGCGTTTCACGGGGTGAATGTGGTACTTTATGAAAGTGACGCACAATAGGTATACTCCCCATCAGGCATGATTTGGAGGAAAAGGCGGTTATTAACAAACAAAACCCTTTATTTCTAAATGGTTTAATTCAAGGTCTTGCAGGCCATTATCCCTGAATCACTGTTATAAATGCAAATGTAGCACACGATGGAAAATTGAAAATTAAACCCCTAATTGCAACCAGTAAACTGATGTAGGGTGTTGCATCGGACAATGGCGTCGGTACTCTAGTGGTCAAGGTGCCGGACTCCAAACCGAAAGGTTGTGAGTTCGAATCCTGGCCGCGACAAGTCGACGTTGTGTCCTTGGGAAAGGCACTTTACACGAATTTCCTCACTCCACACAAGAGTAAAAGGGGTACCTGGCTATAGACAGTGAACTATATTGTCAGAATGTTAATGTTCTAGCGCCTTAACAGCAGCTTGCACTGAGAAAGATTCTGGAATGCTATGGTCGATCTGTTGGAGTAATAATGTATTGTAAAGCGCTTTGAGTAACATTTATGCTAGAAAGGCGCTATATAAAACCAATCATTATTATTATTATATTATTAATACAATCAGACACACATGGGAAGACGTACATATGTTTTCGACGTTTCTAAATGTTTCTTATTCTTTCATTATGATTTAAATATAAATATAACTAACTTATAAAATTGTGTTAATTTAGCTGTTAACTTGTTTGCTCACTTCTCCGTTTGTTTTATGGCGCAGAAATGGCAGGACTGTCGTCTTACATGGACCCCCGCCAGCTTTGGTAACATCGGGAATTTTATTGTCCCTTACAAATACATCTGGATACCAGATCTTACGTTATACGACAGGTAGGTTGAAATGTTAAGTTTCAGGGAAATATCAGTGTAAATCTCTGAATATTATTATGTCATTCAATTAAATGAAATGGTTGTCTTTTGCCTGCTATTTCTCAAGGACAGGGTGAGCATCATTCACTAACACAACAAAATGCAGCAAAAACATACAAAAAAACAAAACAAAACTAGAAAAGAAATAAACAAACACGCACAACTTTGCTTCTAGCTTTGGAATTCTTCAGCTCATGGTAGTCTAGATATTTATATCCCCTCGCAACAGAGTTACATGGAGGGGTTTTAGTAACGCGCTTGGATGTGTGTTAGTTTGTGCGCTTGTTAGTTTATACTTGTGCAAAAAGCCAGGTATTGACATAATTTGCATCGGGATTGGTTTGGAATGCTACCTATATTTATAGATACTAGTATGTTATTGGCTAGGTGATGCTCCTTTGTTTTCAATCATGTTATACACATTTTTCGATATACTGCTATTGAATTCATATCCACTAAATATTATTTCCTTTATTCCTTATGAAAGCTATGGTCATTAAAATAGAATTGGACAGATATTTGCCATGCCAGTTATAATACAACAACATGAACAAAGTACTTGTAAAAATGAATTACAATAATTTTATAAAGAATATTCAGTGATTTTAATTGTAAGTTTTAACGAGAGAGAAATTTCAACAAAAACATTGTAGCAGGAGAAATGGAACAGGAATAATTCATTATTATAATATAGACCTACAATAATTCCTTATATTGACCTGCAAAGGGCGAAGTGAATATTGTACTTCGAAGGTGGCTAAATCATCGTTTTGACCGCAAAATAAAGCAATAACTGTGTTTTATAATATGATTAAATGATAGCAAACTCCAACAAGGGCTCAGTGAATATTGTACTCCTCAGGTGTCTAAATCATGATATTGACCTTAAAAAAAAACAGCAATATTTCTATAATCTAATTTAATTAATTTAAAGAATGATATATTTGAACTTCTGTGATACTTAGATGTTATTTCTGACAAAAAACATGACCCCCCCTCCTTTCTCATTTTAATAGACTTTATCAGTATGACATTGTGTTAACAATAGTAGCTTTGTAACTCAAGAAATGATTATGCATGTACATATTTGTATATCTTACCAGTTTTGATCATGCAGATGGTCTGTAAATATACAGACTGTTTAACTATAACTCACTAGGAGAAAGCAGAGCCGTAACTCGTAGATTCATAACTCACACGAACAGTACGACTACGATAAATCTAGCGACCACAGTGCTTAAAATCTCAAGGGTGTCAAGGTTCCTAGCAACACGACTGTTACATTAAGGTGTCATACAGAGAATCGCTAAACCTATCCGATCGCAATGAGAGTTTTCAGCATGTACAAGAGGTTGAACGTGATCACTTTGTTTAATTACAGAACACCATCCACAAGAGACCAATCAGCAATTAGAATATTAAATGCACCTGTCACTCAGGGGTGCAACTGACCAATACGAATGAAGCATAGATACTGTATAAAAATTATATGAGATTTTTCGCCCCTGTTTTAATTTTGCTCCATTCGCCCTACACAGTCGGGCGAATTTAAAACGAAACGAGTTCAAAAAAATCACAGTACTTATTTCTTAAACAGAACTGTGATTGGGCAAGTTTAAAAAGCAACAAAATTATATGCAAATATGAAAGGGCGAGTATAACACGGGGAGACGATAACCCTGTATATCAATGCTGCCTTCCCTATGTCCTTTTTGATTGATTGATTGTATATTGTTTAACGCCGAGTCGGCATTATTTCAGCCATATTTTGGCGGGATATGTCCTTTTTGTGTATAACCCAACAGCTTTATTATCACATATTCCTGACTGGCATCCAATTTAGTATTTTTATATTAAGTTATCCGAATCAGTTATTTTTTTCATAATTTAACTACGCATGTTTGTATTTGCTCTCTTCCTTTATAAGTTATTGCCATTGACGATTTTTTGTTCATGTATTCAAGTTAAGATAAGACTCAAAAGATTCAATCACTGATCGAAAAAGGAGTCTGTCGCCAAAATGTTATTTCGCATCGCACTCTCTGTGACATTTTAACGTTTTTTATGTACTTATAGAGAAAGCTGGACTTTTCCGTGACAGAGGATCAGAGAACGTGTCCAACATTCCCCAGAGGCCATACAACGAGACGAATGTTTGTTAATGATCTTATTGTCATTTCAGTGTTTCGGGTGAGTTTGTTGGTCTCAAGGAATACCGTCCAAACATTTATCCAGATGGCACGGTTTACTATAATTTTCCTTCTGTACTCGAAAGTCTTTGCACTGTTGACGTCGAAAAGTTTCCGTACGACGAGCAAACCTGTAAGTTGTTGTTTGGATCCTGGGCTTATCATGGATACGACCTAGACTTACAGGTAAATTATTATCAAATTTCAAAAGTAAAACATTTCGCAACCCGTCTTTTGCTCTTTTTTTTTAATTAAATTAAACTGCTTATAATTTTTTAGAATAAAAATCCAGAAGGTGACCTGTCGTCTGCTGTCACTAACGTGGAGTGGACGTACGTCTCTATGAAGGCGGAGAGACACGTGCTGTATTACGGCTGCTGTCCAGAGCCCTACCCTGACGTCACATACTATCTGAAACTAAGGAGGAAACCCAAATTTTACCTCATCAATCTAATTATTCCGTCCATGTTGATTACAGTTATGGCTGCTTTAGGATATTATCTCCCTGTGGAGTCGGGGGAGAAGGTTTCCCTACAGATCACCGTCATGTTGTCCCTCGCCGTCTTCCAGCTTCTCGTGGCCGACAAACTCCCGCCATCAGCAGACGCCACGCCTGTCATTGGTAAGATATCATGGTGTTTTATCAATACTATACCCTGACCTGTAGAGTACGTGTAGACTGTAGATCGTCACCAACATGCCGAAAACTTAGTGAAGACAAACTTCGGCCATCAGAGGACACGATTCTAGTCGCTGGTGCGATGTCTAGCGAGAAGCAAAGAATCAAAGCATGGTTTTAAACTTTCAAACATTCATTTCCTTTGTTGAGCATATTCTCTTTCAGAGAAACTTCAGCTATTAAGATATAAGTGTCGCCTAGTAATAGTAATTACCAACTCCGTCTGTCTGTCCGTCAGCACTTCGATTTCCCCACAACTTGACATACCGGTATTTAATATAAAGGTGTAATAATTTTTTTTTGCTTTATAAAAATTCAATGGTTAGATTCTGCGTACATACATTATTGCTTAGAGACCTGTGGAAGCCTCGAAAAGTCGGTCTTTCTCAATGTCGTAGGGAGAATGTTTGATGAAGTAATAGGATATTCCCATATTTTGATCTTTTGAAGTTACTGAGTCGTCTGTGAGCTCAAGGTATGCATAAAGTGATTCAGTTCAAACATCTATTTTCTATTGCAGCTACCTACTTCAACTTTTCCTTATTTTTGGTGGGTCTTGCTTGTCTCATGGCAGTGGTTGTCTTGGCAATCCATTACCAAGGCAACCGACGCATGCCAGACTGGCTATACAAGTATGGTTTGATCAAATTATCTTGCATCACCTTTGTTCATGTAGAGAACAATGCACCAGTCAAGGAAGAGGTAGGTCAGATTAAGATACTCGTTTACAATTACGAGTATTTGTTTTCTAAGATCAGTAACATGTCAAGAATGGAAATTACGAGGAAAAAAACCAATTATTTCTATACGGTTATTTCACCTTCTGTGGTAATCCTAGTGACGGAAACCCAATCAACCGTTCTCTAAGAGAATCCACAAAAAGCGAGACTGCATGACCGTTGGTTCTCTGCAAACATCACTTTAGAAATTCGTAACATTTATGGTTCATTTTTCATTGTAGAAACAAAATACAGTGAAAACCATTATGGTTAAGGGTTCAGTACATAAAGTTCGCCCAGAACAAAAGAAAACAAAAGGATCCCTACATTTGATGGAATACGATCAACCTGTGGTTGTTGAAGAAAAAGAACCTGTGTCAGAAAAAGATCCTGACGACACGGCACCAAAAAGGATATACCAGGATGACTGGAAGAAATTCGCGTGTGTTGTGGACAGATTGTCCTTCTATATGTTTGTAATTATTGGGACCATAGGCACTGGAATTGTTTTCTCTCAGTTTGGAATGTGATTTTTGTTATGTTTGTTTAGATAGACCTTAAATAAAAACCTCCAACTGAAAATTTATATGTTTAATATCCATGCATATTTCAATATTTTACATGTACTTGCATACATGTAGTACCTAGATTAATGTTGGATGCATCTTAAAAAAAACTAACAGGATTGAGTGATTCATTACCTTTTACAATATCGTGGTTGAAATCATTAATTTTAACCGTTGATTCTAGGGTTTTCAATTTCACCTTTTACGAGACCTACCCTTGGGTATCAAAGATTTTTACATAGGAGTTTGACATTCTGAAAAACTGTATTCTTCACAATACATGATACACAAACAACACACCAGATACAATACACTGACAGCACACTAGACATGATACATTGACAGCACACCAGACATGATACGTTGACAGAGCTGCCAACATTCTGAAATGATAAATAGTAAGGCGGGGTCTAGGGACCACCTAGGCCCCCTGCCGCTGAAGATGTTTTGTAAACGGACATGCAATCTGAGGCATGTTTCCAGTTTATTTACTTTAAAACACTGACATGAATGTGATCGTCCTTCTAAATCCAAAACGATGATACAGGCAAGTGTTGACATGAATGTGATCGGCCTTCTAAATCCAAAACGATGATACAAGCAAGCGTTGTAAGAATTATGAATATATTATAATAGTAGAAACTATAGACTGCTAGCTATGAGACCTGAAAATACCGGTATTATAAACTTGGAACGAGAAAAAAACTGAAATCGGAAGAATATAGAGAGAAATCGTAAGGCGTATTTTAGACGCTGGTTTCGTACGCCTTACGCAAAAATCGTAAGGGTTGGCAGCTCTGCGTTAACAGCACACCAGACATGATACACTGACAGCACACTAGACATGATACATTGACAGCACACCAGACATGATAAACTGACAGCACACCAGACATTATACATTGACAGCACACCAGACAACATACACTGACAGCACACCAGACATGATACACTGACAGTACACCAGACATAATACATTGACTGCACACCAGACATGATACACTGACAGCACACCAGACAAGATACACTGACAGCAGACCAGACATGATACACTGGCAGCAAACCAGATATGATACACTGAAAGCACATAAGACATTATACATTGACAGCACACCAGATATGATCACTGACAGTACACCATACATAATACATTGACAGCACACCACACAAGATACACTGGCAGCACACCAGACATGATACATTGACAGCACACCAGACATTATACATTGACAGCACACCAGACAAGATAAACTGACAGCACACCAGATATGATCACTGACAGCACACCAGACACATTACATTGACAGCACACCACACAAAATACACTGGCAGCACACCAGACATGATACATTGACAGCACACCAGACATGATACATTGACAGCATACCAGACACGATACACTGACAGCACACCAGACACGATACACTGACAGCACACCAGACATGATACACAAACAGCCCTAAAATCAATGGAAACACTGGCAGTTCACTGACAGTACAGACGGCCAGACACGATACATTGACAGCACACCAGACATGATAAACTGACAGCACACCAGACATTATACACTGACAGCACACCAGCCTTGATGAACTGACAGCACACCAGACATGATACACTGACAGCACACCAGACATAATACATTGACTGCACACCAGACATGATACACTGACAGCACACCAGACAAGATACACTGACAGCAGACCAGACATGATACACTGGCAGCAAACCAGATATGATACACTGAAAGCACATAAGACATTATACATTGACAGCACACCAGATATGATCACTGACAGTACACCATACATAATACATTGACAGCACACCACACAAGATACACTGGCAGCACACCAGACATATACATTGACAGCACACCAGACATTATACATTGACAGCACACCAGACAAGATAAACTGACAGCACACCAGATATGATCACTGACAGCACACCAGACACATTACATTGACAGCACACCACACAAAATACACTGGCAGCACACCAGACATGATACATTGACAGCACACCAGACATGATACATTGACAGCATACCAGACACGATACACTGACAGCACACCAGACACGATACACTGACAGCACACCAGACATGATACACAAACAGCCCTAAAATCAATGGAAACACTGGCAGTTCACTGACAGTACAGACGCCCAGACACATAATACATTGACAAGCTAGACATCTGATATTTCACAACTCATGATACATCAAAAGCCCATGAGCTTCATCATAGCAAAAACTGACGACCTCTGAAATTTCTCTACCCTGAATATAATAAAGCATCACTCAAAGCAACAAGTTTATACATTTTATTTACCAAATTTATAAATTATACGCTTATTGAGATTCTTAACAATTATTTGTGAGATTCTTTTAATAAATGAACACATGTTTTCTTCAGAGTGCTAAAAAATACACAATTGCAGGTCTTAATATTGCAACATAAAAGAACACAAACAATGATATTGATACATTTTAACAAAGGAGTCCTTCCACTGAAAAAGGCTTTAAAAATATTCGTTAAAAAATTAATATGATCTAGTACTTAACTGAAGAGGTGTGTCTTATACTACCATATGGTATGTGCAAGTATCAAATATAACCATTATTATGCATTTGAACAAAAGTTTGAAATTCCTCAAAAAATAAATGTCATTTTTATACAAAATTATGGAATGTGTGTAACTTGAATCAGATAATATTAATCTCAAGCAAAACAAATCATTGTTGCATAATTATCCTTAATATGAATTTTAAAAATCACTTTTGCTCTAGTTTTTAAATACAGCAGATCATTTATTTACACATGTAACAGATTGAAAAAATTGGGTTTATACATGTACTACCTTTGAGATATGAATATTAAGGTAAGTATATAATTTTGTTCATCCCCCTAAGCTAGTTAGAGCTCAGAATTTAGAAAGTTTTGCTTGTTCTCCATTGCCTTTTATACCCGAGGACAGGTGTAGAATTTATTTCCCTTGGTTTATAGAGCTCTGAGTAGATATAGAATTTTTTTTAACTTTGTTCTTTTTTGCTAATTTGAGCTAAGTGTGCTATTTAGAGCTCATTGTGGGTTTTTATTTAACTTGTCATCTTTAACACTAAGAGGTAAAAATAAAAGAAAATGTAAAAAAAAAAAAAAACATTTATATAGAGACATTATGTGACTTTAAAGAAATCTTAACATTTGGGTTTTTAAGTACAAAATAGTATAAAATTTTTATACAGATGCTTCCACATAAATAATTACAAACGTAACATTTTCTAAGATCAGACATAACTTACTGCATAAAGAAAAGAAAAAATCCCCTTTTTGGCACCAATTTAAATTATTCACATTGCAATCGTCTTTTTAATTTGAAGACATGAGACAATCAAAAACATTGGCCAATAATACAAAATTAAACATATAAATAAACAATACATGTATATATATGTTAACTCATCATACCATTATTACAAGGTGATAAATGAAAGAAGTTCTGTATCATACTTAATAAGGACATAACATTTTTTTTTTTAAATAAATAGTTATCTTTTTTAATATCATATTTGTGATAAAATAAATGCCATGCCACGAGATGTTTTGCAGATTTAAAAAAAAGGTCTACCAGGTTCATTACTCTTCTGTTTTTGTTTTTTGTTTTGAATTATAACTAAATAACCATTTTTAAAAATAGATACAGCAGTAAATGTATTTTAAATTAAAGTTATGCAAACCTGTTGAATTGTTGTCCATATTAAACCTACACATTGAACACTGTACTGAGAAAGCTTAAAAAAAGTTTTGAACTTGTTTGTATATTAACTTGATAACATTCAAAAGTACACTTAAACTATCACGTCAAAAACTTTATTACATGTATTTATCTAACATGTTTAGTATTTAAAGCTTTCGTACCTCATCTTTCTCTTGATAAGACTTTGATCTTTAACAGTATTTTTGTTTTTTTCAAATAAAACGTTATACAAGAAAGAAATTATACACTTAAAAAACAATAAATAAATACGCACCTTTAATGCCTTTCATAAATGCCACTGTCCCTACGTTATTTTTTTTTTGTCCTTAAACTTTTTTTATTATTACATTTATGACAACCACATTGAACACCAGGTAGTATTGCACTGCTTCTGCCAAATTAAATTGATGTCAATCAAATTTTGCTTACTTGAATTTGTCTTGTTCAGAGTCTCTGAATTAATTACTTTTTTAATTGACACTCTCTGTGTGTTGGCAAACAAATGATGTCCCCCTGACAATCAAACATATGATTTCATAGAATCAGCAATTCCCCATCACCAGTTTTAACAACGACAAAATCGTAGCTCATTTTATAAATAGCAAGTCATTCTGAACATGTGTGAGACAGTTCATAAAAGCTCAACTTTTAACAATAAACTATAACAATCCCTAAGTAAATCAAAATACTCTTATGTACAAATACAAAAATTATCAATCAAATTCTTCACATGTATGTGCAATTTGTAGCTACTGAAAAATCCCAATATTAAATGAGACATATTTGTCAACAAACTGAAAATTCACACATATGAGACAAATACGTACCAAAACAATAGTTGAAACAAAATTGAGAAAAAAAATTTATCATTGGTAAGGAAAACTCAATTTAGGAGGAGTTCATCACAATACAGCTATTCAATAAAGCAACTAGAATCTGAATTCACTGAGATTCCATAATATCTTGATAAAAAAAAACTTGAAATGCCTTTTGTCAAAACTTTAACAAATAAAATTGTACAGCAAATTTTTAGCATAAAATGTAATGCAGTTATTGAGGGTAAATACATGTATTAAATTGCATGTAATAATCACAGTTCTACATGTAGGAAACTCATGTCCTGTAATGAACCAACTCTTCTTGTGCCTGTTTATTACTTGAATTGTTTAATGTCTAAGATGAGCTCATGAATATAATGCATATGGCAGTTGAAAATCGTATCACAACCTTTTGCTGGCAATGGGAACTCCATCAAATATCATATACACATAACATTTATATACAAATAACACACACTAAAGCTCACATATGATTCAACAAGAGGCTCTAGATGGGTATAGAAGGTCACCTGAGTATCAAAGTAGTTCTACCCTTAATGAAATTGGCTAACTGTGTGTCTTGAACATTCTTCAGGTTGCTTTGGTTAGCGTTTAGGGTCAAAAATAGCAATTTCTGTTATAAATCAATATCTGTATTTTTAAGCAAAGCTAAGAAAAGAACTCTATCTTTACTACTATTTCAAAATTGTTTGTTAAACTAAAGAAAAAGTCTTAAACACCTGCCCCGCGGATCATGAAACGTCTTAAGCTTAAGTCAAAATATTCATGTTGTGCTAGAACTTTAATTAAGTCAAGCAGACAAAAATTAAAATATTTTTTAATATCGCTTTACAAAAGTGTTGTTATCTGCAAAATTAGAGATTCATTCAATGATAAATAAACATTTTACAGGCGATTATAAATTTGACTTAAGTCACATCTGTTTCATGATCCTGGGACCTGTAATGTGATTTTACAAGTATGATGTCCACAAGCATCAATGTTAAGCAGTCCCTACCCTGGGTCTTAAATTCACAAAACCTGCTTAAGCTATAGCTTATTGCTCACTGTTATCAAAGTTAACCCAGAAGTCCAGGAGAAAAGGAAAGTTCCAGAGAAAAAAATATATTAAGAAATATTTTTCAAAAAAGATGACCAAATTTCCTTAACCATATCGTGAACCCTTTTCTTAACTGTAATATAAATTGTATTTCATAACTCTACAGAAAAGAGCTTATTTTATTTCATATTCTACAGAAACGAGCTTATTTCTCATAATGAAACTAAATTTAATGTTAGGGTAAATGAAGTGAGGATGTTTTCCTCCTAAACCCAGATACAATACTTATTTTTATATCAAAATTGGTTTCCAGAGTTTAAGGTCAGCAATGAAATGTTCACACACGATGGACAACAGCAGACAAAGACAGATAGCAATAGGTCATTTGTGTGACTCAGGTGACCTTAAAATAAAACCATTCCTCCAAAATAACAAATAAACATTGAAATTCAACCTGAGCATCATAATTAAATGGAATATAGCAGCTTATACTATTATGCACAAATAAGACATAGGTTATCTACTCTCTGTGACTTTAAGGTCGACCGGGTCAGGAACTGGTCCCAGAGGTTAGGAGTAGAACGTGAGAACACTGGACTGGTTCCCTCGCAGGAGTAAGATGGGGGGCATATCTTTGGTCAGTGTCTCTATCCAGGCCATGTACAAACCAGCTGGACACGTACTCTTCCTTGGCACGGGCAATGTCCTGAAAGTCAGTAAGGAAATTTTTATGTTTACATCCACTGATTGCTTTCTCCTTAATTCCTTAAGAAAATCAATTGCTGTTTATCTTTGACCATGAATAATTTAGCTACATCCTGGTTTCTTAAGTTTAACTGTTTTATGGCTCTTTTGTCCATGTATGTACCAATAATACAAGATTATACATACAGTGCTTTCACCCACTCTTAATAAATAATTTAAAGACAGATCTCAATATTCAAAATAAAATGGCTACATATATTTTTTTTGTTGGTACAGTAAAACTCGTTTAGTACGAACACGGATATTGCGAATTCATGGATAACGCGAAGTCATTTTGGATCCCAAACTCTATGAATTTCATGAATTCCTTATACGGATATAACGAATTACGGATATAGCGAATTGATTTCATAAGTCCCAGTGACTTCGTTATAACCGAGTTTTACTGTAATGGGATTACAATTCCTGTATAAGTTATGGCTTTAAGAATGTGTCTTTTTCCTGCAATGCCTCATCAATTTTTCCCCATTTAAAAAAAATGAAAGCATTTACCAGGAATTCTTTGAATAAATATGTATTGAAACCTTTAATTCTTTAACTTCAAGCATATTGGAGAGAATTAAAGAATATTAAAGTGACAATATGGCGCACCTCTTCAAAAACAGACTTGTTAAAATTTTCCTATAGGATTTGGATTTTTTTTCATACTCATAAATGTATACACTTTCAAAAATTACAAATTTCAGAAGTAAATAATTCTGATTATTTCATTAAAATTAATAATTATTTATGGTACATAAATGTATACATCGCAACGTGTTCGAGTTTCCACATTCCATGCTATAGACGCATGCGTATAGTTTTCATAAACAGAACAGCATGGTAAGAGAGGGAAGCCCGGTAGGCCTGCTACATTGACAAAGTCGACCAAAACGAAAAACAAAACAAAAAATAGGGCTTGAAATTAAAAACCAACTTTCCTGACAAAAATTTAGTTGGGAGATTAATATAATCATTGGATGAAGAAGAAACGGGATATCGGCGACATTCACGTGGGGCTCGCGAAGTTCTACCCTACAGGTTTGTTGATACATGCTATCATTTCTCGTATCTCCATGGCTTTCAAAGAAAAAAGAATTCAGTGTAAACTCAACATAAAAAATGCACTTATGACATATAAAAATTATTGCCAGTTGAAGTGCAAATTGTATTGGAACTGCAGAAAGATATTTTGTTTGACATTTTGCCGCGCTGACGTATAATGATTTGGTGGATTTTCCTTTCCTGCACCCCAATACACAAAACGTCAACATTCGTACTTAATCATGTTAAATTTGTCTGAATGCAGACTAAAAATGTTAGCTACTATCAATTTACCGGAGATTTAAGATATTTTGATTCTGAGAATTGCTTTTACCTAATATTCCATTATAATTGTAAACCCTTCATTGTATGCACGTGCCATTTTAGAATTCACGTGGTACAAGTAAACAGATCTGAGTTGTACGATCCTTGATTTTCCTGCAGATTCTGATTACGTTAATTTTGTATGAGGAGAAAATTTTTATTTTTTTCAAAATGCTTACTTCAACTTTTTACCTTATTCCTGAATGATATATTGGGTAAATTTGAACGAAAAAGCACACGATTTGCAGCCGTATTGCCGCTTTAACAATGAAATAGATTGTTCTGAATAAAACAAAAACTTACATAACAATAAGTGCTGCATCTTTAGAATGTTCCAACAACAACTCTCTCAAACGGACATTTCTCTTGGTCTAAAATCAAACCAAAAGTGACATTACAAATCAAGTTACTGCATGTATAATAAGGAATCCATTTTATAATCCGACTGTCCTGCTGATTCGTGCATTGATTGTACATGTATCCTACCTTATCCTTTAAGAACAGTTTCTGCTCCTCTGTGATTTTCCAGGGGTATTTTTCTGAAGTTTCCCCATTATCCTCATCCAACATCCAACCCTCCAGTAACTTCTCAAAATTCTTCATGCTGTAAAAATAATACATATTTTGTACACAAGCATCCCTTTTAATTTGTAAAACTTAAGCTTTGTACTTAAGCCCCTACATCACTCTATAACTAGATATAAAAACACCCTTCCTCTATCTTAATGTAAAACAGGTACAACCTTTGTTCCAGATGCCCCGTATCCTACAAACATGCTGTGAGCATTACATGGATCTATCACAGGAAACATTTATATAAGAAATGAATTAAAAATAATATATAAATGATTTTATTGCTCATGATGTGAAGTTCATTAAATCAGTTAGCCAGCTAAGTGATTCAGTAAATTTAAAAATGTCCATACCAGTATCTAAGACCTATCTGTATGTCCAGGCAATAGCAGTTGATTGCGCAAGGTTTCATTTTATTTATTCTTAATTAAAAGACAAATGATTCTATAGATTAAACAAGCCACCCATTGGCCACATCGCTCACTTAAGCACTGTGGCTATGAAAAAGGCAAAACCCAATCCAGTTTTGAAAAGCTTAAATGCATGTGGTCCCAACCTACCCCTAAAAGGAAGAAGTGGGGGATGATTTGAATTATCAAATCATATTAATCATAATCAATGATTTGGAGATGATTTGAATTAACTTCAATCTACAAAGGATGCTTACAAACATGTATTTCTTCGACTTACTGATTTTTTCCTTATAAGTTTGAACTTTCATTTTTGCCCCACCCTGCCCCCAGGGGTCAGGATTTAATCAAACTTGAATCTACAATAGGATGCTTCCATATAAATATGACCAATCATGGCATTGTTGTTCTTGAGAAGAAGATTTTTAAAGATTTTTCCTATATATTCCTATATAAAACTTTGATCGTCCATTGTGGCCTTTTGACTTGTTTCATTCACCTCTCCTCTGACGGAGATCTTCCAATGTCTGACAAAATCGTCATCTTCTCACACTGGATTCTGAATCGACTCAGCAAGGTCGCCATTCTGAAAACATAAGGAGAGAATTTCTACAGCACTATTTAATGTTTAAGACTGAGACACAATTCCAATTATAGGTTATGAAAGAGTCAAAAGTACTGTGTTATGTTACACTGTAAATACCGTAAAATCCCTTGTATTGGACGCACTTTTTTTCGTCAGAAAATTGTTTAAAAGTAGGGATGCGCTCAATACATAGGAACAAAATTCAACCCCCTTTTTTTCAGGTTACATTCGCAGTGCCGAGGACCATTTTCCTGATCCATTTGAGTTGAGTTGATTATCCTTTGTAACCATTTACGTCAAAGTTATTCTAATTTCAGAGAGTTATATACGTAAGCCCTACCTGCAATCTGATTAAAATCAGATCCTCGGTCCGTTCCTTTGTTTTTTTATTGTCGCTACACTTGTAGCGACAATAAAAAAACAAAGGAGAGGATCGAGGATCTGATTTTAATCAGATTGGCCCTATCTGTTGTAGAAATAAACATATACCCTTAGTGCTGAAAGAAAGAAAACCGTTTCTAAAATTAAATTCTGATGAAAAACGATCTTTGTTTATATTTTATTTCCATTGCATATTCCGCCATTTTGAACTACCGTCGCTTATATCATCAACAAAATGCATGTCGCTTAAGACATATATGTATTTAATTAATACCTATAAATGAGTCAACAGCTATCATCTTTTTGATGTTTTCTGAATTATTCTCAATTCTATAACTTATTTTTATTTTTTTAAATTTTAGATATGTAATTCCAGTCACAAATCGTTAGGGATTCTATTGCCGCGTCATTGCTATATTTAACTTCAGTCTATTATCGTAGGATTTCATTTGTCATACCGGCATACGCCGAATGCGCCGCTTGACCTTTCGTAACCCGGCTTTTTACTTCATTTGACCGGGGAAGGTTCACTGGCGTACGCCGAATGCGCCGGTCTGAAATGACCGGCGAGGAAATCGCCAGTCTTAAAATTATGGCGGGAAGAGAAAACAACTGTGAAAATGCAGATACTTTTTTACCAAATCGACATGTTCTTTACTTGTTTGCATATTTTGAGCAAATCTCTATTCGTATATTCAAAATATGTTTTTATTTTCTGAAAAATAAAATTTTTATGAGGTCCATGGGTTTTTTTTAAAATTGAATTTCGAATAATTCTACAAAGACATAATGTAAAAAGGGACAAAACTCAATTAATTGATTATCATTTAGCGTGATTATTCACTTTTAAAAAATGTTTTCGCCAGTTTACTTCATTTGCCTCTTAGCCGTTTTACGCTGGTCATATGACCGGCGCAATTCGGCGTACGCCGATCAGTGACAAATGAAATTGGCCCGTTGATACGTAGGCCATGACCATTGTTTATATAACAATTATCACTTCAAAACCTGCGTTATTAAAACACTAGCCAGTGTAAGCACATATAAATGTATTTGTAAAAACAGTCAATTACATTCAAGAAAATTATCAATGGATACCAAGAACTGTTTAATTACTAAAAGCCAAATTTTCGACATTAATATCGCTTGGGTATGACCCAGTTTTGTTTACGTACATACTGACACGCGCTTTGTATATATGCATTCTACTGGTAAGCATAAATTGATAACACGCTTGGCTTGGAATTAATTAAAAAGAAAATAATCAAGTATTATTATCTCTTGTTAGATAACTATTACAAAGATTAAATTAAAATGTTCACACATGCACACTTGAATGTGTAAAGTGAAAAAACTGACGTTCTACTTTTGTTTGAGATTTGTAAATTTTTCATTATAAGTTACTGTACTAGAAAAAGTAATGTCACATCCAAATTCTGCATTTTTGGGATGCGCTTTTTACTTAGGACCAGCGATTTTTTCAGGATTTTGACCCCCAAAGTTGGGGGGTGCGTCTTTTACAACATTGCACTCTATACACGGGATTTTACGGTATTTGGAAAAAAAAAAGTTTTATTTCACCAAATAAGAAATCTCCATTATATTTTTTTAAGTGTAAGCCCTAATTTCTGTATTTCCTATCTAGCTCCTTCTCTTTTGTAATAACAAGAGGCCCAAGGGCCTTGAATCGCTCTTCTGATAAATTGTACAACCTATCACTTCTATTTGAAGCCTCTAACCCTAAGTATTCTAAGAGCCAAGTTGCATCAACTGACAAAGTTTGATGATTCTTAGCCAATTATAACTGAAGATATTTTAATAAAGCTATAAAAAAAAAACATAAGTAGGTCACAATGACCTACTTTAAGATTGAAGTCTTCTGAGGACTCAAGATGCATTAATAGACAAAGATTGAAGATTCTAAGCCAGTAAGTATGTGAGATAGTCAAAAGTAAGTCACTTTGACCTACTTTTTCATCTACATTCTTGGAAAAACCAAAATGCATCAACTGACAAAGTTTGATTATTCCAAGCCAATAAGTACTGGAGATAATTAATTATAGCCATAAAATGTTAAAAGTAGGTCACTGTGACCTAATTTTTAGTAGGCGAATTTCGAAAGCCCAAAATACATCAACTGACAAAGTTTGATGATTCTCCGCCAATATGTATCCGAGATATTCAAAAGTAGGTCACCATGACCTACTTTTTAGTCATCACTCTCTGAAAACCCAAGATGCATCAACCCACAAAGTTTGATGATTCTAAGCTTATAAATACCTAAGATACTTAAATAAAGGTATAAAATGTCAAAAGTAGGTCAACATGACCTACTTTTTGGTCGTCACTCTCCGAAAACCCAAGATGCTTCAACCCACAAAGTTTGATGATTCTAAGCTTATAAATACCTAAGATACTTAAATAAAGGTATAAAATGTCAAAAGTAGGTCACTGTGACCTACTTTTTGGTCGTCACTCTCCGAAAACCCAAGATGCATCAACTCACAAAGTTTGATGATTCTTAGCCAATAAATACCGAAGATACTAAAATAAAGCCATAAAATGTCAAAAGTAGGTCACCGTGTCCTACATTTTAGTCAACATTTTTCAAAGTCCCAAGATGCATCTGCTGACCAAGTTTGATGATCGTAGGTCTGAAGGTAATCAAAATATGCCTTTTAAACAATATGAAAACATATGCCTGCAAAATTCAAAAAGTAGGTCACAGTGACCTACTTTTTTATAAATATGTTTTAAGGTCCCAAGATGCAGCAATTTACAAGATTTGATGATTCTAACCCTCTCAGTGTCTGCAATAATGGAATTAAATGTTTTAAAAAGGATAAGTCATAAAGTTCAAAAAGTAGGTCAAGGTGACCTACTTTTAAGTTGACGTTGTTCAAGGACCCAAGATGCATAAACTAACAAAGTTTGATGATCATAGGCCTTAAAGTGTCCAAAATATGCCTTCAAATCAATTTGAAAATAAATGCCCGCAAAATTAAAAAAGTAGGTCACTGTGACCTACTTTTGATTTAACTATGTGAAGTCTTAAGATGCATCAACTTACAAGATTTGATGATCCTAGTCCTTATAGTAAGCGAAATATAAACGTTTTTATCAATTGTAAATTTAGGTCAACTTTGAAGTGACCTTGAGACCACGCCCTTTGCCCCAGGGTCATGCCTTGAAAAATTTTTAATCTTCAACATATTCTGATCCTTGTGTGTAAGTTTGGTGAAAATCTGCTTGGTGGTTCTGGAGAAGAAGATTTTTTAGCAATCAGTACTTTTGGTTTTGTTTTCCTGATTATCTCCCCTTGTTTAAGGGTCCCAACCCTTATTTTAGTACAAATGGTAGTCCTTGGGCCAAGGATACCCTGTGACAAATTTGACACTGATTGGCCAAGGCGTTCTTGAGTTATGGCCCATTTTCTAAAAAGTTAACGCACTCCGCACACCGCACGACGCACAAATGGCCATAGCATTAGCTCTTTGAGCCTTTGGCTCAGAAGAGCTAAAAATTGTAAGTTATACTGTCTGTCCTATTTTCCCCTCTTCTTTTGTAAAATTTATACATCTTACTGTCTCTGTATCCTATCTCCCCCCATCCTGTGTTTTTCTTTGTGTAAGTCCTACTGTCACAATGTCCTATCTTCCCCGTTTGACCTCTTTATGACCTTGTGTAGGCCCTTCTCTCTAATGTATGAATCATTGTCTGTTTCCCATTTGACCTCTATATGACCTTGTGTGAGTGCTTCTGTCTAATGTATAACTCACTGTCTCTGTTCCCTATTTGACCTCTATATGACCTTGTGTCAGCCCTTCTCTCTAAGGTATAACTCACTGTCTCTGTTCCCTATTTGACCTCTATATGACCTTGTGTCTGTCTAATGTTAAACTCACTGTCTCTGTTCCCTGTCGATTTCTCCTCTCTTGGTTCCTGCAGCAAACACTCTCAGTGGACAGCTTCTCCAGTACTGCTTTGTGGACAGGATATAAGGCAGTAAAAGGGTCAACCCTACAAAACAGGGGCTTCACTCAATAAAATTTACATTACATATATTAACATGAAAAGTACATTCATTACATATATTGAAACTTAATATTTACTCAGTTCTCTTTTGTACTTGATCCTTCATTATGGTTTAGCCATTTTTACAATAGATAGCTTCATTTTAATAGCATGAATAAAAATATATGATTTATCCTAAAACTAAGTAACACACCTCCATCATCAAAGAGCCACCAGACATCAATGGTTCCTTTTTTCTGTTTTTTGGCGAAGCGGTTTCTGATATTCTGTTTGAAGTTATTGGGTTTGACCTCCGCTGGCATATCTACAACCACGTCCTTCTCTTCTGCCTCACTGTCACCGGAGCTGGAGCTTCCGCGGCGCAGCATGGTGGGACTGCTGGGGGAACTAGGTCGCTTATCCTCCTCATCATCTAAAAGATTTACAGTCAAATATCAGCTCATTGCAATTCTTCATTATCTTATACTCTAAACCAACTTTTACTCTCGACAACTGATTTACCGGGGTAAACTAGTTCCCGATGATCAATTTTTGCAATCAAGACTTCTTTTGGATCTGTTGTTTATAGATACAGACTTTAAGAACCGGTTCGTGGCAAGAAATATTCGTGGTGATGAGGTTCTTGCAAACCTTGCAAAAATTTCTCGCGAATAAAAGTTGGTTTACAGCTTTAGAACATTTTATATCTGCCATAATCAAATATGTACATTTTATTACTAGAAGTAAAATATAAAATTGGTAATGTACATGTACGTTTAATTAAAAGCTTTAGAAAGTACATGGATTTACATGTACTGTGAACAATTCTGTTTGTTAGTGTTTCCTTAGTGAAATTCAATGATTTACCACAATCAACATCAAAATTGTGCTTTATTGAGTGGATAAGAATATTGGGCGCACTTGTTTCATTAGCCAGGTCAAGCCGGTTAATATTTCGGAAGCGGGCAAGTCACTTGTTTCAAATATTTTTAAGCCGCCAGGCGGTCAGAAAGTAGCCCGGATCGCCTGAAAAACTTCGAGCAGCCAAATGAAAAGCAATATGGCCGAAAACGGAGGTAGAAATGTTCTTGATAGTAAAATATTTGTTTTTTATCATTTGCCGTAGTCTGAGAGTCAATAAACATACAGTACTGAGATAATAAGTGACTTTTACAACATGTTTGTTTATATTTGCACGACCACCATTTCTTTTTTTTTAATTTTAAAGCTGCTTTTCAGTTTTGTGTGTAACGAGGCCCTATATATGCATGATATGCTCCAAATTCACAGATTGTACATTGAATGGATCTAGTAAATATTAAAACGAAATATATCCACTAAATCGATGTCCTCGTGCGTTCAGAGAATTTTTTACAGCAACAACACCAATACCAGCCATTTCCCGCTTATTTTTCACTCGTTTCAGCGACATTGACCGGGTCAATATGTCATGTGATAAAAGTGAACCGGTTCATCCCCTGGCTGTCTGAAACAAGTGCGCCTATTGAATATCATTAATACTAAAAAAAAACCCACTGTTTTTATATACAGTTGTTATCATAAATAGTGGCAAGTGATTTTGTTATGTGAAGAATATTCCATACATTTTGTACAGTTTAATATCAGTAATCATGGCAATAGTGACCTCTTCTTTAATGTTGTAAACAATTTTAACCAAAAATACATTTGTAATAGGTTAATGTGATTTGGAATCAAAGAAACATGCTGTTCATGTAGAAGTATTTAATTTTTATAAATCTAGTTTCAGAATTACATGCTTAAGCCTTTGTATGTATCATACCTTCAGAAATGTTAACATAGCATTTAATTTAATTTTTTGGAGAACTGCAGACTTCAGTGTTTGAAACAGCATTGATAGAATTTGTTTACATGGCAAAGATAAATATCTTAGAAAGCTAAGAATATGTCTATTTTGACTGCAGCCTTTAAAAGAGTATAACTTTTTGCCAAAATAAAAGCTAAAAGAGGCCCATAGGCTAAAATCATAATCTAAGTTTTGCTTCTCCAGATTTGAGCAAGATTTGTTTGCCTCTATATTCTTACTGGGGTATGTGGCTCCATCCTAGGGCTCAAAACTAAACCAAACTGGAACTCTATTATTATAAATATTATGGCCCCATCTTATCTTTGTGTCCATGATTTAAAGAAATTAAAATCTTCACTCATGAAAGAATCTTTTATAAAAAAAAAAATATTCTGGTCAAGTGTTTTTAGGAGAAGAGGATTTTTATAAAACCCTTCTTGACATCTTGTTTACTTTTCATGAAAATCTTCCAAATGGAAAGGAGGGAAGCAGGACCCTACATTAGAACAAACAAATTCAGTTTACTCGAGGACTCTATGTGTCATTTTTGGTGGACTGACAAACAAATAGGTAGACAGATGGATGACAAACTTTGATTAGAAAATCTTACATGAGCCTTTGGCTCAGGTGAGCTAACTAGGCACCCATTCAACTATAAAATTCCCAACTAAGACAATTCACTATTGATAATATCTCATTACTAAAATATTGAAAAGGAAGAACAAAACCTGAATCAAACATTCTATTTCTGTCATTACATGTCTACTTGGACATCAGAGGTAAATCAATCTGTTTTATCAGCAACTCCTAACACCACTGACAACAAAAAAATCAACTTTCTGTAAAGACCCAGGTGCTGTAAGAGGTGCCGAAACACTATAAATTTCAAAGATGGTTGCTATGTTGAAAGTGAGGCTACTTACGCTTTCTTGTCAATTTGAACCTAACTTTTGGATGTCGATCTGATTAAGAAATTCATATATAGAATCAAAGTTTTGGCTTTTATACATTATTCAATTATCATTATTTTAATTCCCTGAAACAAAGTACATTGTGTATTCCATAGTCTATCTCTGTGTTTCAAGCAGATATCCTAAGAATAGATCTAATTCATTTGACAGGTAAAATTATATTTCCTTGCTTAAACAATTTAGATCTCAATTTCAGTTTAGACATTCTAATTTTGTTTTAAAAATTGATAATATTCATGAAAGAAGAAAATCTAGCAAAATACCTAAAGATTCATCATTGAATGTCCTTCTTATTAGATGTATGTTAACATTAATTACTGCTGATTAAGCTTGTGAGTCCTATCCTCAGTTCTATACGTACCGTCCGGGTCTCCTTCATGATGCACCGAGTCCTCGATCGGTTCGCTCTCATTAGGGTCCGTCTCACACGACAATCTCTCCTTCAATCGCAGAATTCCCACTCCATACTCCAGGTCAAAGGCATCACTACAAACAAATGGAATGCAACAATATACTGCTGTAAAGGGCAGGGTCAAATCTGTTTACTTATAAGCAAATATCATGTGCTACATGGTTCAAATATGAGTTTCTTGATAGAAAAATTGATTCAGGCCAGATTAAAAGAAATAATAATTGTTAATTATGAGTAGTTGGGACCATTACAGCTGTCTGAGTGGATTACAGAAAAGAGAGGATCAAAACTACAAAGAATTCTTAAACTATAGATGTGAAAGAAGTGCACAGAACTGAATTTAAAGCCAAAATGGTCAAAATTCTGGACTACCGGGTACTCAGAATTTGGATTAAACAAATTACATGTAGGGTGAATTCACCATGCATCGGATACCCTTGTACTTCAACAAGTTCTAGCGGTATCGCTACCGACGGAAAATTATCAAAATGGAGTTTAACATTTAGTTTGTGATTAAAATATCAATTTGGGACACAATTATATGCCTTTTATTGAGAAAATATCCCCAAAAATCGAGTTTTTAGGAAAAACTGAAAATTCACCATGGATCGGACATTGTTCACCATGCATCGGACAGTATAGACTATCATACCTTTATCACAGTGCTTTAAAATCCTTGAAATGGATTTATTTTCATCTTTTATCTAAGAAATAACCCTCAACTTTAATTTATTCGACGATATTATTGCACAAAAGTAGAACGATTCTCGATACCTCACTCTGCCTTAGAAATGCTTTAAAATGCTTATAATGCCGTAATTCGCGCCTTTTTCTCATGGTTTATCATACTCTGGTTTGTAGAAATAAATTGAGTAAAATTCCAATATATCGATAACTTGTATTTTGACTGAAAATATAGAGTTTTTATTTTCCTTTTCCGCAAAAAACAGCTGTCAGCTGGGTTCTGTATGAAAATGATAGTGCTTACCTTTGCATCGAAAAGTGTCCGATGCATGGTTAATTTGTGTCCGATGTACGGTGAAAATAGCATACTAGTAAAAACCAGCTCTAATAAGAATTAAACAAACATTGAAGTAAAATTTAATTATAATTTATGTAAAATTACAAATCCCTTTCACCAAAGTTTTTCCGTGGAAGTCGAATTTAAAAGAACGATAACTCTAAAAATTGCAAAATCATAAATTTCGGGTTATTCCCCTTTGATGATGTAAAATATGACGTAACTTCAAGGCCATCTTCGGGGTATTTTTATCATAACATGATAAACACAATCGGTATTATTAAAAAATTTAAATCTTTGTCTTTATGACAGAAACAAATAAATACACAGAACTCTTGAGTTGAAAGAGAGTTTATTGCCTAAAGTTGTCCGAAGCAAGGTATGTGTCCGATGCATGGTGAACTCACCCTATACTGTATGCAGTGAATCACACTTTCCTTATATAGATACATGTAAATAATTCATTGAATTGAGTTACACAGAACAGTGACTACATTATAATTAGTCCACAGCAACTACAGTATAACTAGTGTACACCTGAAGTAGTACTCACTGAACAATGTTGACGTACTCCTCCACTTCACACTGGTCAACATCAGGGTCATTCCAGCGAGACATGAAGCCCATCATCAGAATGTTAGGCCGCAGCTTACCAATACCTACATTCTGAAATGGCAATTACACTTTATATTACTTTCTTTTAATACACAAGAACTGGCTTTTTTTTGCTTGCTTATAGGGTATCTTAGTGTTACAGGACTATACTATCCAATCATTGTTCATGTTTATATTTGAAGCCTGCTTTATGTTTTGGTAGAAGTACATTGGATACAGGGTATACAGAGAGTCTGACTGACCTTAATGCTTGTTTATTCAAAGTGTAGAAGGCCTTGACCCTTCTCTGATTTAACCAGCGATAGGCCTCCTTGGGACGACTGCCATGGAGATGTCTAAGGTTATCGGTCTGGGTGCCCTATCACAGAAAAAAATACTTCCCGAATTTATTATCCAACAAACCATAATGCTGATTTTATCTTGTTTATTCAAAGTAGTGTATAATACAATATAACATAACTTGCGGCAGTTTATGCTTGATAAATCACATAGCGGTAAAAAAGAGCATTAACTGCCCCAAATTATGTTATAACATTAAACTGTTAAAATAAGCTTCATTTTTTATAATTTAATTTCAGTGTAGACAATTAGACAATTTTTCCTCCAAAAACGGCTTCAAATTGAACATATTTTAAAAGTAAGGTCAAGCGAAGTAATGCACTTTAATTAACGTAACTTGACGTAGGCAACTTATGTTATACAATATAATGTTACAACTAAAATTAAATTATTTGTGCATAAAAGCATTGTAGCTTTCCTACAACACTACAGATAAATTTACAAAGATTTTTAAATACAAGAGTTATCTCCCTGTAGATGGAAGATTTTTCAATTTGTATACAATTTATTTAGTTAATAAAAGAATCTGTCTTGATAATTTTTTATGATTGTATAATCATAAAATTACTTACTGTCTATAATTTGGACTATAGCTTGGATGAGAAATTGAAACTAAAGAATAACAGGTCACGTGTTGCTTGCTGGTTCTCCAAAGAAATGTACTTATAATTACATGTGCACTATTCATAATATCAAGAGAATTAATTTTAGATTTTCTCCAAAACATGTCTAAAACTATACCTATTAAAAGCTTGTAGAGAATTTTTAGTACAGCAGAAATTAAAGTTTTCTTAGTCACTTGAAATTCCATTACTATGTACAAAGAATTTTAAATATGTACTGACCATTGAAACTCCATTTGGTGTTTGGCCATTTTAAAAATCTGAGTCATGTATCAAATCCAGAGAAATTAAAAATGTAACTTTTTATGCTAATGGTGAAAGCACATGTAACCTCCCAGACAGACAGATAGTAGACAAAGTGATCTCAAACTACAGGTGGTATACAATTAAAACCTTAACATTTGAAGAAATTTGTACCTACTATGATGATATTGCCACAATTAAAACCTTAACATTTGGAGATATTGAGAAACTTGTACCTACCACGATGATATTGCCACAGACCATCAGACTGATCTTGTGTGTCAGAGAATAAACAAAGTCCACTAACTCTGGCCGGGTCCACGGGGCACCTGTCAACACCAGCACTTGAGGTCTATAGAGGAGAGAGAGCATAAAGGGAGATTATCAAGTAGTCCAATTATTTACTGAGGAATCATGGGGTCAGGGTTTGTGGGTAAGCAAAATTTGAGAGATGACAGTATTAGAGATCAAAAACACAAAGATGACTTGTAGAGGTGATTTTACCTGAAGTTTTTGATATGGTCCTCCACAGAGATGAGCTTGAGTGTTGTGTTTAGAGCATTCTTATAAACATGGGCCTGGGTGGAGGATCCCCAGTTTACATCTAAAAAGACACAGAAGATATTAATCTGCAATGTTAAAGACAGTGAACAGAAAATTCATTTACCTGTCAACAATTTAAGGTGGTGGATACTTAATAACTTGTCTCTACCAGAGGTATTTAGCACATATCTAATGCAATAACAAAAGTATTCTTTGCAAAACATTTTATTCTCTAGTTTCTTTATAAACTAATTTAGAAAAAAACAATATTACTCATAATAATTCAAAAATAGTCCTACATTAAGGATTCATGTGGTCTCTTGTATATCTCACCTGGTTTTGAATAATGGACATAAACAAAAAGAGCACAAACAATAACGAATGTAATGAGGGCGGTCCACCAGTTCATAATAAACATCACAGCTATACAGAGTAAGGCACCAACTAAACTCAACCACATGGAATAATAACGGAAAGCTGGACGCCAACCTTTACAAAAGAAATCGGTTCAATTTAGAGAATGAGAAATGTGAATCAAAGGAAAAATCAAAGGAAAATTGATGAATGAAATATTCTCAATTTGTTTTACTTCAACGGACATATTCCTTATATCAGCTTATTGTATATTACTTTCTTATTAAATCAATCCTAAAATATGATTTATTATAATTTTTAATCTTTAACTCCTGACTTTTGTAATTTTCCAGCAAGTACATGTTTATGTGTGAGACTTACCTGGGGAATTGGCAAGCGAGGCATCAAAACACGAGTAGTTGATTAGAGCATATGACATCAAGAAGAAGTTAGAGATGATTGGAGCTATGGCATTCAGATCACCTGTAAACAGCCAGAAAAATACTTATAAATTATCATTCATCATCTCTTGAAAAAAATACTTATATCTGACCAGTAGAGCTAAAAAGAAATCCTTACCTATACATATAAATGCCACTCCAATAAAATAAGCTAGAAAGTAGGCTCGCCTAGGGTTCTCACTAGCACCATAACCTTTGGCAAAGATATGTATCTTAGGGAAAATTCTATCTTTACATACAGCCTGTAAAACAAAGATATGTATTTTAGGGAAAATTCTATCTTTACATACAGCCTGTAAAACAAAGATATGTATCTTAGGGAAAATTCTATCTTTACATACAGCCTGTAAAACAAAGATATGTATCTTAGGGAAAATTCTATCTTTACATACAGCCTGTAAAACAGAGACAACACAGGTAAAACCAAAAAAAAATATCATAATACAAATATACTTGGTGTTTTTTATTCCAAAAGTTAACCAAATGTGAAGATTTGAGACCTACTTTGAAAACATGCCTACTTAACAATATACATGTTAAAATGCTCATATATTTTAGGATTACTATGCATTGGCATTCATTACTCTTCTTTTTAGGTATTTCATAAAGGTACCTTTATTTGTGTATATAGAATAAGTAGCAGAACTGTTAGGCTCTTTATGTATGAGTAATTTGCCAGACACAGAGCATCTACTTCTCAAAGGCACAATTCAGTGACATGAAGTTGGTGCAGTATTTGTTTGTTTTAACTTCATAACCCAATAGAGTTTAAATGTAAATAAAAATACAATGTAGTAACATAACTTCACAGTTTACACATGTTTCTACAGAATTATTTCTAAACCTTTAAGGTAGATCATTTTATAAACTTGTCCTATAAAATATATTATGGAAAACTTCCCAGGAAATGTGAATATCAGCAAGTACATCATCGTCTCAAGCCACGGTCCGGAGTCCGCATATATAGCTCTCTCCTACCCGTGGCTGCTTGATCACAAAAAGTGTCGTAATCTTGAATATTTACGCCTCTCAATTGTGATGTCATATTCAGTCAGTGGCAAATTTTGTTTCCATCGCAATCGAAATCAACAACTGACGTCAACAGTATACAGGAAATATTTCCTTTACTGCGATTGGATATTGAAAGGTCGCAATAAAGTTCATCATCCGACTATGCTTTACTCGCATTGGTTAATATTTTAATGAGCTACGAAGAATTCTCTCCTCGTTCAACCACGGCCAGATGGGAGAGGAGTGTACATTTTGGCCGTGGTTTGCGACGATGCAAGTACATGTACCTGAGGTAAAAATTGATAAGAACTCTCAATGCCCAAGAATAGTGCATTGCATGTATGAAGCTTCCATTAAAAAGTTTCTTACTTGGAAGACTTTGGGGGCAGAAACTAAACTAGCGAGGGCAGAGGATAGAGTGGCAGAGAAAATTCCTACGGTGAGTAGGGGGCCCCAGGCAGAAACCAGCTCCATAGCCTGAAAATAGAATTATCACATACTGCAGGGACACATAAACACTGTTTTCTTTAAGTTTACCTTATTTCATCCAATGTCAGATTTTTATATTTATTTTATCACTAGCTGACACAAAAGAATATGAAAAACTAAAATTCAGCAAATCCAAAGTTTTCATTTTGTAATCTATTGCACTCTGAGCTCTTACTTGGAAGTCATGCAGCAGTCCTCTGGTACAGACCCCACCCTTCCCAAGACTGCAGTTCCTGGCCTGATCAATCACACTGACCCCCACCCCACTGGTCAAGTTCACGACATCTAGTGTTATGTTCACAATGTCTACTGTCATATTCTGAGTACTGTTATACATCAGGGCTGTCACATGTACTGGTTCAAATCCTGAAGCCTCCCGCAGTATACAGGATCCCATCAGCCAGGCACAGGCAATGTAAGTAATGGAGGATATAACAACAGCCAGGAACGTCCCTCTTGGAATGTCTCTTTGTGCATTCTATAAACAGTGGATAAATAACTCAAATGATGTACCATAATTCAGATTCACATAACTATTTCACATTTTTATGCAAAATCTGTTTAAATAAGCACAATTTTGAAAGTACAGTATGTAGATTAACCATAAAAATATTCATAACCCTTCAGCATGACATAATTTTAAAACATTTAGTATGCCATAATAATAGCAAAAAATAATAGCTTGGGGATAAGGTGAGCAGAAGCTTAATAAAAAAAAAATCCTTTCCAAGAACATAAAAATTACTAGAATAAATACTGTTTAAAAATTATTCCAATTCATAGACACAGTACAAAAATTATTCAAAGCAAAAAAATGTTGGCACTCATCAACATCTTTAAAGAGAGGACTATGGGCCACATTGCTCACCTGAGTCACCATTCTCTACCTGCTGACACAAGTAAATGTACCTCTCATTGTGGTCAACAAATTGAAATACATGACTTCAACATTTTTGATTTAGAATACAAGGAGAATTATGTCCACAAAATGTAAAATATGTTTTGGTATAAAACTTTGTTCCTCAATTGGGGCGCTGTCCTTATTTAAGGACCACTATTTCAATAACTTATGATATTGCTTACTGGTTTTCTGTAGAAATCCTAGATTACATTCCAATATATCCTCACACAAAGCTATGATCTGATCTACAACTGAATGAGGTCCTGCAGAGTTTTGAGAAATTCTTTTAAGCAATGTTTCTTATAAATTGACTTTTGATAACTCTGACCCTCTATTACATTCCTAGATCCTAAGACCACGTTTCAAACAAACATCGTTCAGCACTTATATATACCTGGTATATTATTAATAAGAATAATTGTTGCCCTCCTGTTCATTATTATCAGAGCAACATGAAAATTTGTTTGTGTATAAAATTTGATCAGTTTGGTTCAGGTAGGCTTATAGTTACTTGGGAATAAAAATGTAGGTCAGATCCAGCATCCAAAGCAAGTCTAGTAGTGTCCATCCGTAGATGCATCATCCATGCAAGTTTGGTTCAGATAGGGCTTATAGTTACTTGGGAATGAAAATATAGGTCAGATCCAGCATCCGAAGCAAGTCTGGTAGTGTCCATTCCTAGATACATCATCCATGCAAGTTTGGTTCAGGTAGGACTTATAGTTACTTGGGAATGAAAATATAGGTCAGATCCAGCATCCGAAGCAAGTCTGATAGTGTCCATCCCTAGATGCATCATCCATGCAAGTTTGGTTCAGGTAGGGTTAATAGTTACTAGGGAATAAAAATGTAGGTTAGATCCAGCATCCGAAGCTAGTCTGGTAGTGTCCATCCCTAAGTCTGGTAGTGTCCATCCCTAGATGCATCATCCATGCAAGTTTCGTTCAGGCAGGGTTATAGTTACTTGGGAATGAGAATATAGGTCAGATCCAGCATCCGAAGCAAGTCTGGTAGTGTCCATCCCTAGATGCATCATCCATGCAAGTTTGGTCAAAGTAGGGCTTATAGTTCCTTAGGAATGGACCTACTCCAAAAACTTTAACCTGGTCACTCATCTGGAAAATGTAGGTCAGATCCAGCATCCTAAGCAAGTCTGGTAGTGTTAATCCCTAGATGCATCATCCATGCAAGTTTGGTCCAAGTAGAGCTTATAGTTCCTTAGGAATGGACCTGCTCCAAAAACTTTAACCTGGTCACTCATCTGGAAAATGTAGGTCAGATCCAGCATCCTAAGCAAGTCTGGTAGTGTTAATCCCTAGATGCATCATCCATGCAAGTTTGGTCCAAGTAGAGCTTATAGTTCCTTAGGAATGGACCTGCTCCAAAAACTTTAACCTGGTCACTCATCTGGAAAATGTAGGTCAGATCCAGCATCCTAAGCAAGTCTGGTAGTGTTAATCCCTAGATGCATCATCCATGCAAGTTTGGTCCAAGTAGAGCTTATAGTTCCTTAGGAATGGACCTGCTCCAAAAACTTTAACCTGGTCACTCATCTGGAAAATGTAGGTCAGATCCAGCATCCGAAGCAAGTCTGGTAGTGTTCATCCTTAGATGCATCATCCGTGCAAGTTTGTATCAACATGTGAAGTTTGATAACACCATCTTGAATGGTATGTTTAAATTTGAGCTAAACACTAATTTAAGAAAAGTGAGGTCAAGGTCAAAGGAAAGGTCAAGATCAAAAAATGTTGATGCAGTTGCATAGCTCTCATCAATATCTATCAGCATATGAAGTTTGATGAAAATATCTTGGATAGTTTCTTTGAAACTTAGCTTTGAACAGAGCTAAACGCAAAGTGTGACGGAAGGACGGAAGACGGACATGGCAAACACTATATGCCCCGGCCATATTCATGGCGGGGCATAAAAATAGGACCCTGAATTGTGACCCCACCCCACACTCAACCTTAGTCTCTGTCTTGTGTCTCTTCTGGTCCAGTGATTCTTGAGAACATATTTTCAATGTTTCTCAACTCCAATCCTTTTGAAAAGGTAATGGCTCATTTGAAGAAAAAATCTCATACCAAGAATGCTTGGTGACAATCTTAGTTATGACTTACTGGTTTTGAGAAAAAGTTGAAAATGTAAAAGGTTTACTGAAGTATACAAGAGACTTCATTGAACACTTTGACTCAGGTGAGCTTATTTAACATTCCTGCTTATCTGAATAAAAAAAGAATAACAGGTTCCTTTCAGACATCTAACAAACATCTAATCAGTATCCTTCAATTATTAATAGCATTCAGATAATTCTCTACCTTACAATGCAAGGTAAAAAATAAATAAAAGGCTTCTATAAATATCTATTGTCAATGGATCAGAGAGACAATTTCCATACTTTGAGATCCCCTGAGATGTTTGCACCAGCTAATATCCCAGTAGCTGCAGGGAAAAATATTGCAAATGTAGAGAAAAAGTTTTCTCCTTCGGTGAACTTGGGACCTAGGTTCTCCAGAAAGACAGTCCCTGGAATAAAGAAATGGAGGTTAATGTGTAAATGTTATTACTGGAGGTAATCAATAAATTGTGGCATTGATAGCTTCCTCTGAAACATGTGGCATTATCTTATTCTGAAGCATCAGACTGACACATGCTTGTCTATTTATACCTCTTGACCATTGATTGGTTTCTCTCACCTTGATAACCTGTGATTCCCTTTAAGACTTTCTCTTGACTTGGAGGAATAAAGGTTCCAATTAAAAAGTTAAATATGGCAATTAACAGAGCACCCAGTAACACAACTTGAGCCTGTAAAGATAAAACAAAACTCAAATTTGTTAAACAATTAATTTGAGAATGATGTGTATTAGTGGGAGATCAAAGTTCCAACCCCCCCCCCCCCCCCACACACACAAATTCTTTACTTTTCTGAAATTTGAAGTTTATTTCCCCTTTCATCCCCATATACTATATAAGTAAATCTAAGTGCACACAATTTGAGTATAAATTCATCCAGGCATGAGTTATCTCTCTTGTCAGAGGTTCAAAAAACCTCATGGAATATATATTAATATCTCATACTCTACACAGTGGTCTTGGCTTAGGAGAATTTTCTCTGTATTTTTACATTATTTGCCAGATTCTGCAGGAGTTACTTACCCTTGCCTCCCATTCCATGCCAATGATGGCGATCCCTAATAACAGTGTGGCTGTCAGAACACCAATGATTCGAATGTCATTAGTTTCATCCACCATTAGAGCATCATTAGCCTGAAAAATAAGTTTATAAATCACTAAATCCTCCGTCTAATGAGCCTGTTCTCCTGATTCTTAGGGGGATCTTTTAAGCTAAGCCAGGAAGGAAACATTAACTTAAAAAATTAGAACTAACCAAAACAAGAATAACTAGTTAAAGATGAAGAGTAAAGCAAAAAATCCTTAATAGATGGATTTATATGTAGGAAGAGCTAAATAATGAGTGTGGTTGTATTGAAAACCATGCAATAGATTTGATGATCAAGTGACAGTTATGAAATAGTTCCACTGAGTGTGCTTGTACTTAGTTATACAGTGAGAAATCCTGATGTGTTTGCAACTTTGGACCTGCTGAAGCATCATACAATATATGGAGGGTGCTTGTATTGATAGTCATGCAATATATCTGATGTGTGTGCATGCATCTATTGCCATGCAATACATCTTGTATACTATAGTCCCATGCAATAAAGCTGATATCTGTTTTAGCCATGTACACTAGCCATACAATCGATTTGAGAACAAACTTGAATAGAGCTTTTGTTGAGCCCCAAGTAAAATATGTAAAGTGTGTAATAAACTTGAAACAATTTTTTAAATTGCCTTTTTACTAGAAAATGATTAAAAAATAGAAATCAAACTGGTTTATAGCATCTTCAGATAAGCATGATAGGTGCAAGCAAAGTTTAACTCAGTTGTTTTTTACTTAGTGATGATAGATTTTTCAATTCATCTTCCAAATTTTCTATGCACTGTGTGAGGTTTACTTAGTCCTAATGAGTTCTTAATCATAAAACTGAACTAAAATGAACCACAAAGATTGCTTGCCTCTTAACAGAAAGGTGGAACTTACAACTGACACTTGTTGTTTACATTTAACTCTCAAGTGTAACCATCAGGAAGATTCATTCCTAGAATCACCAACTATTCCTTTTTTTTTTTTTTGATTTATTTAATTAATCTTTGGACATGACTGTAATGTGGAATTTTCATTTGTCATGGCTGTCCATAACAACACTGTTAAAATAAAATTTAGGAAACAAATAATTACTGGCTTTTTAACAAATCTTTCAGGAAATTGATTTCAGTGTCCAACCTTAAACAGGTTGCTTGCAGTCCTTCTTTGTGTTTACAAACATTCATACAACTAATGGCTTGCCTCAAATAAAACCTTGATTCTAAACCCTACTTATCCTTTGGTATTCAACTCAGAGAACCCCATTGATTGAACCCTCCTCTTCTTTAAAACCTATTATTTCTGTTTGAAATTTTTGTCTAAAAAGAATAACCAGTCAAAATAATGTGGAATTCTGGACACTCTAACCATACAAAAGCTGCCAGAAATTCCATTAAACCTGTTAACCCTGCAGCATTTCTGCATGTTACACAGAGACTTTGTGGATTTTCCCTCGTGTATCTAATTTCTGCTCCTTTTAATGCTGTGGTAGATCAGAAGTACCTATTGATTAATTCTCCCTGCCAATTCTTGAGGATTAGATCTGACTGCTGAAACAGAACTGTATAGGCACGCTAACAAGTCACACAGCCCTGATCTGTTCTACTGACAGACACATCTTACGGTCTTTGTTGTGGTTACACAGTCTTTTAATAGGCAGCAGATTTCTAAAGTTTATGGGAGGATTTGATGTTTTTGTCTCTAATACATTAGATTTCATGCTTATACTGTATACATATGAGCCTGCATTTGTACCACCACATAATAAAACAAGATGAAAAGTATTCTCTTATAACAGTATATAGTTACAAATGTTATATATCAATTGAAAGACCTAGTCCCTAAAATCTCTCGTGTGACTTTATGTGTGGCATAACGGTATATGCAACGATTATATATATGTTGAAAGAGCTCTCTTCTCTTATGTGACTATATATGTGTGACATAATAGTATAGATATCAGTTGAGAGCCTGACAAAGTGTAGGTGTTTTGACATGTTTGAACTGTAACATAATCTTTTATTGAACTAATACTCTCTACCCTATATTTATGAAACCTTATCATATATATTTTTGCCTTATATTAAATATATTTGTCATGTCACAAAGAGGGAAGAGGCACTGTCAATATTCTCTGTGCAGAGAAATAAATTATCCTGTGTCTAGAATGTGCACATCTTAATGTATACACTATATATAAACCACAATATGATTTATGGGGATTTTATGACACATTCCTCCATATCTGTATTAGATACCTTTAGTAGATCTCTGACCGTTTCTGCAAAACCAACGACATACATGGACACTGCAACAGCATTGGCGACAGAGAATATGAGGCCAATAGCACCGCCGAACTCTGGACCCAGACTTCGAGAAATCATGTAATATGCTCCTCCTAAAAAATAGGCTCATATTTAACAAATACATAAATTTTTCCAAAGTTTCCCCTATTAATTCCTTAAGCATTCAAATTACACCAAAATGAATCAGTATTACTTTATGCCAGATAAACTGTATCTTAGCTATGCACTCTATCATTTAAATCTATTTTTAATGGGTATCTCAACAATAACATTCTTTATATGTACTGACTTACCTCCCTTGACCTCCTCATTTTTACAGATATCAGACATAGATATCTACTGACTTACCTCCCTTGACTTCTCTGTTCGTACAGATATTAGACATAGATATCTACTGACCAACCTCCCTGTTTGTACAGATATCAGACATAGATATCTACTGACTTACCTCCCTTGACTTCTCTGTTCGTACAAATATTAGACATAGATATCTACTGACCAACCTCCCTGTTTGTACAGATATCAGACATAGATATTTATTGACTTACCTCCCTTGACTTCTCTGTTCGTACAGATATTAGACATAGATATCTACTGACCAACCTCCCTGTTTGTACAGATATCAGACAGATATCTACTGACTTACCTCCCTTGACTTCTCTGTTCGTACAGATATGACATAGATATCTACTGACCAACCTCCCTGTTTGTACAGATATCAGACAGATATCTACTGACTTACCTCCCTTGACTTCTCTGTTCGTATAGATATGACATAGATATCTACTGACCAACCTCCCCGTTTGTACAGATATCAGACATAGATATCTACTGACTTACCTCCCTTGACCTCCCCATTTGATGTACAGATATCAGACATCGATATATACTGACTTACCTCCCTTGACTTCTCCGTTTGTACAGATGGCAGACATAGATATCAATGTGAGCAGAGTGACGACAGTAGCAAGGAGAATAATGACGGTGGCGAGACCTATCCCAGCCTGCCCCACCACCCAGGACAGGCGCATAAACAGCATCACACCCCATATATTCAGCAAACATCGTACCTACAAAAATTGGGGAAAATTTTTACTTTTTAGAACATCTCTAATCTGCTTTCTGATCATCACAAGAAAAGTTGACAGAAACTGTACAAGGACAATTAACAACAACAGTGTAGTATACCTACAATCATGTTTTTTTAAGACCTCTTTATTTTACCTGGCTCATAAGCATAGTTGTCCATATGAATTGAAATAGAATGGGACATTTGGAAAGTAGAACGGGATCTGGGGTTCCTCTCTTAATTATGAGTTTAGAAGGAATATCATAATTACATCTTTATGGCTGGGGATATTCCCCAGCCCCTGGGTCTTAAGGAAAACTTAGAGAAGGATACAAGGAAGTGTACAACAAAACACATCAGAACATTTTACAAGTCTGCATTAAATATATGGGTGGTATATTAGTTCTATCAGCTTTACTTATGTAATTTATTAATAACCATTTCTAGCAACTTACTTTGAAACTTGAGGACTTAGAAACTAGAGATAAACATGTCCAGTCCTAATATTTAAAGTCTTGAAAAACATTTCTTTTCTAGAGATTTAAGATAATAATACATTATATCAGGTAGGTAAATATATGTAAATTAATTTTTATATGTCAGTATAAAATCCTTGTTATCTTTTCTTTCCGTTTGTGGTCAGCCATTTCCTCAGTTTAAACCCCAGAACATTGACCCCTGGCGCACCCATGACCCTCAGTCTGTTAATTTGATGGTTAAGTAACCACATAAAAAGAAGCAGTGAACAGTCACAAAACAAAACATAGCCTATACATTACTGGTGACCATTTTAAATTGACACGAGGAATTATATTCTCCACTGATCAAGTGCAAATAATTCCCTATAGAAGAAGAGGACCTACTCTATCTATCATCATTCTTCATTCCCGATAACCTACCAGCTTCACACTCTATGTGCAGAAGAAACATAAAAGAGATGCCTCACTACCTCATTAAAATTTCCCAAAGCTAAATCCTCTTTAGCACAACTGTCTTAAATAGAGATGATTTAAACTCCAAAAATTCAAATTTGACCTTTTTTTTCATTTTTTCTTTAACAAGGATAGATTACATATAATTTTATCAGCTTGAATTTTATAAATTCAAATATGAATGTAAAACAGTTGTTTGAATTGATCTTTTCAAAGAAATTTTGGTTCTTTGAGAGACAAAACATGTTTGTTGTCCAAAGATATTAAAGAACACTGTTGCATTTGGAGAACGAAGGTCATGCTGGTGTGAAAAAGATCTAAAATAGTACTGCTCAATGGCCCTAAGTGTACTGATCTAAAATGGCAGCCTTTTACAACCTGTCAATGGGTGCCACCAAAACAAAATTCTTGAAGGGATGTAAATCAAATAAACAATCATTTTAAACTGGATATAAAATGCCTACTATATATTCTAGTTTGATCTCATGAAACTTACATACAAGTGACATTTATTCTTACATAATATATTCTTTGTGCTGACATTTCTTTCAATAAGTACTTATACCAAGACATAAAATGTTTATAAATTAAGAGACAAGCTACTCTGCTTTTGTCATTTTAAACTACTGTCATCTAATACAACTGTTGTAAAAGACAATCAGTGAATAGTGTAGATTAATTGTTTCTTCTCAAAAACTGTTCTCAGGTCTTTAAATTACTACCCATATGGTCAAGCATGGTCAAGTATTTCTGTACAGTGGAAATAACATGGTCATTTCCTTGATGTATATAAATAAAAGATCAATAGTTCAATATTTAAATTGCTGAGACATCCCCCACAATATACATGTATTATCCCTATAGAACCTCCTATACAAACACATGTAATATTTATGTGCTTCCTGCCTTGACATGTAACTTTACTATGGACAACTTATAAAAGGAAGTTATTTGTTTGTGAATAATCTAGCAAGCTGAGTAAACAACATATATATAACTATAGGTTTACTGAACTTATGAAATACAAACAAGACAAATTCCACAATAAGAAAGAAAAATCTTTAGGCAAATATTCCTTCCTTTTCAGACATCTCTTTCTTTACACTAAAACTGAGCTTGCACAGAAATCAATTTCATCAATTTATCATTTCACACTCTGTGGTAATTTGTCCTAATTGATTGCTGATCAATTAATCTTTTTCTAGCTGCCTCTGGACCCTTCTCAAGGTCACCATCTGACAGACTTAACAGGGACCTCTCTCCAATAAAAATGAGATTCCTTTGCCTATTCATCAAATCTTTCAGACCAGAAGGCTCTGATCCAAAGACCCATAATGATGAAGACAAGGAATTCTGTCTTGGCTTAGTTCAGGGAATGTTACATACTTTTACAAGCCTTTGATTTCTTGTGTATTATCAATAAGTTGATGTCCTCATTAGCTGAGTAATCTTTCTCGTAAAATTGGGATGCCAGGACTCCTTTCATCCTAACCAGATAATAAATTGCAAGTTTTCTCCTTTCATTAGCATATAGGAAGTCAAACACTAAAGCTTGTACAAAGGGACAAGGTCACCATTATGGCTCATTATCACAGGAAGTGTGTTTTATTACAAACGACCTTGACCTTAGGAGACAGGGTATGAAGTGCAGTTTCCAGAGCACTTAAATCTTTAACAAGTGAGTATTAGTAAAAGAATGTTAATTGTTTCAGCTGTGCCTGTTCTATTCTAACTCTACAGAACAGTAGGTGTAACCTTCAGAACAAAGCAAAATCTATTTTCTGTAATGAAAATTCATATCTGAGATCATAGTCATGAGATAATCTTCGAAAACTCATACCAAAAAAATCACAAATTTTTACAGAACTGAGAAGGTTATTGTCTTTGCACTGGGGTTGTAACTTCTGGTATTGATATGAGAATCACATATTCACAGTATCAATTATCAGGTCTCAAACTCTGGGGGGAAATAATCTTATCAGTCTGATGTGTAATGAGAGTCTTATTGTTAATAAAGCAGTAATTCACATCCAGTCTGCCAGATGTACTTTTTATCAGACAATAACCACAGAACAGATTAACTCCTAAACATTTATTTTTCCATATAGACAATTCAGGATATGAGTTTATCTCTATAATATTCAGATTGTTATTTTCTGCAAATTAATTATATTCAATTCGTTCAGAGCCGCAGTCTTCTTGCAATTTATCTTTACCTGTCTGCATTTTTTTTTATGTTTATTTATTCTATTTTGCAGACTTTAATGCCAAAAAATTCAGGCACTGATTAACACATGGTTGAACCAGTGGAAGCTAATGCTTGACAATTAAATGATCAGGTAAAATCTGCCCCTTATTTCCTGTACAGCCAGTGGTAATGGGAGTCCATTAAAACTAACCAAGATTGGGTTTTTAAAAAATCAGTAATAGCATTAAAAAAATTGAAAAATTGGGGAACTTCTGAATCCATACACTTTTAAAAAAATGAGTTTTATCGCAGCCATTTCAGCCCAAGAAAAGCATATATCGCAAGCATAAAGCATGTACCATTCTTTAACAACATGATAGACTATGCTTAATTACTAATTAGGTATAAGGTTACTTCATACATGTACTTAAAAAATAATGCAGATTTTGAAAACAACTTACTTTATCTCTTCGTTTCCTTGACACTAGTATTTACAATATTTGATCAAACATCACTGGAATGCTTTCCAATGACAGAGTAACTTGAACTGGACTTAAATGACACATATAACTCCCCCCCCCCCCTTTCCTCTAAACTAAAAATAACCCACCAATACTCCCTTGATCCATCCAAACTTGACTGCGGTGGCTTTATTAGCGGCAGACTCTTCCACCAAGTTCTCTTCTGATGCCAAAAGTGGTTCTCTCTGTTTGGCCCGAATCACCTCCTCCTCCTAAAACAGAAGCACTCAGTCAAATATCATAGCTGTGATGAACATGTTCAAATATCGTAACTTTGATGAACATGTTCAAATATTATAACTGTATTAAATGAACAGTCAAATATCTTTACTGTGATGAATATTCAAATAGCATAACTGTGATGAACATTCAAATATCATATAAACTGTGATGAACATGTTCAAATATCATAGCTGTGATAAAAATGTTCAACATGTTGATGAAATGTTCTATCACTGTGATGAACATGTTAAAATATCTTAAATGTGATGAACATGTTCAAATATTATAACTGTAATGAACAGTCAAATATCATAACTGTGATGAACATTCAAATATCATAACTGTGATGAACATGTTAAAATATCTTAACTGTGATGAATATTCAAATAGCATAACTGTGATGAACATTCAAATATCATAACTGTGATGAACATGTTCAAACAATTTTTCAAGGAAGATAGAAAAAATCAGCTTTGGATATAAGGTTGAAAATTTTATTCATAATTCTCTAAAGCTTTCATTTATAAAAATGGATTGTTCACCAAAATATTTGCTGTTCTATTCCTGTCAGATATTATTTCTATAAACACAAATATAAAAAGACAGGGATTCTAAGAATACTGTGCATTACAGCCATGTACCATTCTACTGTGAATGACTTACAAACCAGTACCAGCCAGAAGAAACCAACTTTTTTGAAAGCATTTGTTTCTACGAGAAAACAATTGTTTTCTGTTTGCCTGTCACTGCCCTGTGGTTCTGTAGACATTCTTTGGCAGTATCAAACAAGTCTGGGGAAGCAGACCTGTTACAGCTTAGCCTATTATCAGGACACCCCAAGGAATTTACAAAATACAATTTGTATTTACAGAAAACATGGGGTATCACTGTAGAAAAATGAAGAGTGGTGTAAAATGTGGACTTCAAAATTTACAAATCCCTTTATGATTGGGCTGAGAAATATTATGCTCTGCAACTTCCTAAGAAAACATATGACAAATGACAGGAGACAGGTGACTTAAAATGCAGAACAAATGTGTTTATTCCATTCTCAGACAGGTCAAAGAGACCAAGCATGAATTATATTTCCAGGTAAATCAAAATGTTTGTTGACTGGGATTAAATTATTTGGAAGTTCAGTCGATATCCATATTGATTACTAGAAATTCTCAGTTGACCCATAAAATTCTGCAGACTCATTAGTATTGATTTCCACTGATTAATGATTTACACATTACCAAACTGGATGTCATAGTTAGTTTACAAGGAAACAATATATATACATGTTTAGATATCTTACATGCTTTAATTTTAATTTTACCAATAAATAACATTTGCTAAGTTTTTAAAAACAATTTCCTAGCTGTCTGCAATTTCTATTTTGTTAATGCAAATTTTCTGTTTCTCTACATATGACATCAATTGAAAGTAGTACTGTTTTTACAGAATAAATTAAAACATCACAGACTATAGAGATGCTATGTAATGTATGCATGGTCCTTTATTTGTTTTTACCTCTTCTTAGAAGATCTATCTTTTGGAGTGAATTAACAAGATTTCAGTCTTCTTTAGTACATACTTTGTACTTACTCTAATTTACAGAAATTTATAAGTGTTTTGTTTTATCGTGTTTGTAGAAACATCAGCTAATGCTCCCCTTTCTATTTTCCAATATATATCAACGTTTCTTGAATGGCCTCATGCGTCCTCCAGGGCACGGAGAGGATACATAAGTAAGTATATAAACCTTCATCTCAAATTGTGGCCAATCCCTACCCCTGGGAGTCATGATTTGAACAAACTTGAAAGATGCCTCAATTTCTATGACTAATCAATGACTGTTGTTTTGGGGAAAATTTTCAAACTTTTTTCATATATTTTCCCTTGTAAAACTTTGATCACCTTTTGTGACCCCATCCTCCACTTGGTTCAATATGATTTGAAGGCACTTGAATTTACACTAAGTATTGTAGACTTTTTTGAAGTTTCATTTCTTCTTACCAAGTAGTTTTTGAGAAAATGACATTAAATTTTCACTGATTCTTAATTATCTCCCCTTGAATAAAGGGCATGGCCCACCTGACATTCGAACAAATCAGAAATATTTATTTTTTGTATAATGCATATAAGAGATAATAATAAAAAAGCAAACAAATGAAGAAAGACATGAACATGGCATTAGAAAGTTCTGTATTAAAAGAAATCTTAAATCAATTTTCAATGTGTCATTTAATAGATTTCACACATTCCATGAAATATTTGCAATTTGTAGCGACTGTATAAATAGTCTTTTATTATAAAATATTCAAGAAATCTTGGTCAATTAACAAGCGCCTGTGTAACATGACATCTCAACGAACATGTTAAAATTAATGAGAATTTTCTTGACAAGGCCAGTCTTTAAAATTCATCATCCATATCACATTATAGTAAAAGCTTACAAATCAACTGTGTTATTTTCGAATTGCAGAATTTAAAAGGGACAATAAATCATTATCAACCATGCATTGTAATGAAAATAATGGAAACAATCCAAATGTTGATATCCTAATCGAGGGGAAACTTTCTAGATACAGGGACATATTTACTAGTATATATGTGTATCCCTGCTTACTACTAGTTGTATTTTTAATATTTTTAACCATTACCGGATATACAACCTTAATAGACTCTACACGTGACTGCTGCTGCTGACGATGTGTAACAAATAAACAAATCAATAAACTCAAATCTATGACAGGTACGAAATAAAATACCTTTTCTTCGTGGAGTTCGGCAAGAGTTGGCCTCGACTTCAATGCTGCTGTTGCTGAAAGCAAGTTTCTGTAATGATCAACATGAGGAATAGCCTCCACTGTATTTTTTCCAAATGTTTTCATATGAGTTTCACATGAATTATTATATCCATATGTGTCATTGGGACTCACAGTTCCTCCGAAAAAATGTACTGAATCATATGGAGATTTGGGAGACTTGGGTGAATCCAGGATTTGAAAGTCGAGTTGTTTTGCCGGTTTCCCGGGCGCTGGTTCGGATTCAGATTCAGAAACTGGCGGCTGATCAGTCTCTTCATTTTCATCGTCGTTAACTCTAGCCACTAGAAATCGCGATGTTGAAGGAGCAGTATTCATTCCTCTAGAAAGATTGTTTAATTCCGTCTCTTGTAAAATTCCGTTACCTGTCTCTTTCGATGTGAGTTCGTTTATATCTTTTCCTTTCAGCTTACGTGCCTCATGTAGGTCCGCCATTTTTTAAATGTGACGTCACAAGGTAGAGAAGTGTCACGGTCGATAAATATGCAAATATAAACACGCCCCGATTCCTTTTATAAGATGAAATCTAAGTTATTTCTAGATGAAAACTTTCCAAGATATTAAGACAGACATTTTATCAAGGCAGAAAAAATATTATGCATTTCTAGAGCGTCCGAATAGTGTTTATCTGATAATAAAATACAGAAGTGATACATATGCAAATAAATAGAGGCCCTGAAACGGACTATAAAGTTTAGTAAACAATGCCACGTGCTTTAGCTCAACATGTGTCTGTGAAGGAGCATACAAGATGGAATACATTTAGGCCTTTTGAACATTCAAAGCGTCGAAAAGGCAATTCTCAAAAGCCCAAAATAAAATTTAAACATTCACTTTTTTTTTATTTTAAAGTAAGCTTATATACATGTATACATGATAATTATGATAATTATATACAGTAAATTAAAGCTAGATTGTTTCTAAGGTCAGTGATAATAAGACGGTACGATGTTGTATGTACAAGTAAATCCTACATGTCATGTGTACTAATACATATGTACATGTACATGATTTACAAATCTCAAATTTCTTAACATAGATAACTTTTATTATTTCAAAATAAGAAATTTGTAAATCAATCGATAAATAACAAAACAATCATATTGGGGGTGTCAGTTGTAACAGGAGAGGAGAAAAAATAGACGGATCAGACTAATAACAAAACAATCATACTGTCATGTTCAATTTAATAATATGGTTTCTGAATTTTATATCCATGGCATTATTTAAAGTAATGTACAGAGAGAGATAGAGAGAGATGGGTCATTTAAACCTGTTAACTTTATATAGTTGTTATATTATTCTGGTATACCATTTAATGATGTGGTTTCTGCCATAGCATTTAGAATACTACGAAAAATCTTGCTTATTTAAAAAAATGTATAGGAGAATAACGAGAGTTGTAGGTAATAATGTTTCCTATCAGTGCATGGTCATGCATGTCTCATTAATCAAGAGCGCGAGTAATGTGGGCGTTAGCTCTTGCAGTGACAATTTCTGCAAATTCAAATTTTTATTTCAAATATTTTATACTCAAATGCGTGACTTCTACTAAGATATTAAAGCACTGCCTTGCTAGCAAGATATTCTCGATATCAACGCATCATATCTAATCTCTACGGAAACTGCTAAATAATAGCATATTCATATCATTTTATTCAGGTAAAAATATCACATAATGTCATGATTCACATTTAAAACAATACACATTTAGAGAATTTTTTTTAATGCTATGTAGTATGTAAGTTAACATCGCATAATATGCATTCAATATTTTTCTTTTCGTCATTTTTTTGTATCAAACTTAACGAGGGAATACGTCTGCGAAAAATTTGTCCATTCTATCAAAAAATTAATATATACGTGATATCAAAGTCTTAGATATTCACGCTTGACTAGACTGATTTATGCATTGTTTGTTTTTGTACTGGCTGAATTGACTTGTTTTACTGGTGTCATGTTGTAAATTTTGAATTTAACGTGTAGCAGTAAATACAAAATTTACAACATGACAAGTTGTCATGTATTTTGTATTTACTGCCACACAGTAAATTCAAAATTCAAAATTTACAACATGACACAGGTATATAAATCCACATAAAATGTTGTGGGAAACAGACAGTCTTACGTAATTAAGCGAAAATAAACTTCTTGTGAGTAAAAAGTGATTTAAAGTATTTATAAAACTCTCAGCAATTTAATGTGTATAGGGAAACCACATACTATAAATCCCTATATGTTCGCGACATCTTATTTTCACGAGAGAATTTTGTTTACTAGTATTATATATCTTTGGATACATGATATCTTAATTTTGATATGATATATTGCTTTTAATTATGTTTAATTTTAAGCTTGTAATGCTGTCAACTGAGAATTGGCGCAACTTGAATGAATTTTTCATTCTAAAATTTAAATAAATTTACATTTATAGTATTACATTTATATTATATTGCTGCAATATCAGGTGAAATCACTTGCAAACCATGAAACAAATTGAAAAAGACCACACGTAAGGTACTGTGCATTGAGTACACCAGTCTTTCCATTACCCCCCCCCTTTCCAAGCCATGCCATCCAGTTCTATCCTCCATTGATCTATCGTCATTACAACAGTTAACAAAAATCTCATCTCCTTGTTTCTCTCTGAAAATTCAAATCAGTTTGAGAAAGGATGCAAGGAATAATGTAGAAACACTGTTGACAATATCTGGTATTGATTTCTAAGGAAGCAATATTTCCCATTACACAGATTGACTGACACTGATGCCTTGGGATTGACGCAGTTAGCACTTACACTTGGAAAAGACCATCAAACCTCACTTTAATCTACAGACTCCCTCCAGACCAAAAACTGGGGACCAACAAAACCCCAAAGGTGACTTCATAAGATAAATCTATGGATTTTTGAGTAAACTGTAATGAACAGCGATATAAAATTTTTAATTATATTGAATACAAAATTTATAACCATATAACAAAATTACAGTTAACAATGTTGAACATTACATATATAAAGATTCATTTCCTTGCCCTTTACTTTATTCTATGCTCTAATACAAGTAATCTGGCTAGTAAAAATGAAATATATGGAAATAACAAACAGTATTCAAGCTCAAAAGTTCATTAAACAATTCAAATCAGGAGCAGAGCATACAAGGACCTCCAAAACATCAGAGGAGGGATCAGGTGCTATGGAGGAGAGAGCATCCCTTGCCCCAGTCATATTTGACTTTTGTTCCTAGTCATGATCGGGAAATGATGAAAATTTCCTTTGACAATATGGCCAAACAATTTGTATGAAAAACATTTGTCTTCATTTAACTTGATGACAAGTTACAATCATTGTTTTACTACTAATCTTCTATCCCCACTTGATTGGTAATCAGCAAGGTTAAAGTATGCCATCCTCAGCTCTAATACTAGGAATTTGAAAAAGACAGCCCAATTCTAGCATTCTATAAGATAAATGTCATTCTACTCCCCAATACTTGTAAACTGTCAGGATAAAGTCAGTCTATGTTCCAATGCCAGTAGTTTGCTAGGTTATTGTCAGCATATGCTCTATTAATATTTATCAATTGCTTTTTATTTAGTGTAACCCCCCCCCCCCCCCACACACACACACACATTTTCGTTGCAGTATAGTCAAATAAGGATAAATAAAATTATCAGAATGTTGAGACATCACAATAAAAAAAAAATTTGAAAACCCTTTCAGTTTACAGAATACTTTATAAATGGGACTTGCACACTTACCATGATTCACAAAAACACTTCATCCCCCCCCCCCCAAAAAAAAAAAAAATCAAACAAACAAAAAACAAAACAAAACAAAACTTTTCTTATATCTTTTTTATTTTGTTATTAATGACGTATTTCAAATTTCAAAATGTTACTTCTAATCAAATTCCATAAAAAATTGCACAGGACACCTACATTTAAAGAACCCCTACTCTGGAGATTTCATTTCTTACATTCAGTTTAACAAAGAATAAAATGTATGTGCTCTAATACATCTCCATAAAAATATAAGCTAAATGGTGCATAATACTGAACTATAAGCACCAAACTGTTCTGGAATATACATTTCACAACCCTGATTACCTTTAGTTAAAAGGTCATGGTCAAAGTTTGGCACAGTACCGATCATCATCATGTTTAATTTTCTTTTATCAATTAACACTCATTTAATTTCACAATGGAGAATAAGCAGAAGAATATGCATAAACAGAAATCCAGGATATTTCTGCAGACTGAAACATAAAAGAACAAACAAGCACAAAACTTCATTAAAACCGACCATCAAAGAAAGGCGGGTATGGGTGTTCAGTTTAAAAAAAAATAGAAAATTTCAAAACTTTGAAAATAATTTATGAATACATGAGGAAAAATCTTGACAAGACTAGTGAGAAGTAGACAAACATGTATGAACCAGTGTTATCTGCATTCATAATTACGTCAAACTAACGAACATATACACCTGTCACAAAAAGGCTGAATAACTTGAAATAGAAATGTCTGCATTGATATAAAAAGTTTATAGCTTTGTTACAAAGCATTATGTAATTCAAGAATTTTTTCCTCTTTCGAACATATATGTGCCAGTTTATTATACAATAACAAATATGAAAAATAAACCATAATCTAAACATTAAGGAAAAAAGACATTTGTTTCAAACCAGATGATGGCAAATTAAGAATTAAGATGTTCTGAGACAGTTCAGGGCAGTGATGATAAAAACAAATTCAAATTTATCATTTTCACTAACCTTGATTTGAAATAAATTTCAGGCAATGCACAAACACAAATTTGCACAAATAAATGATTGATCACTGACTTGACTAGGGACAAGCAAAAACAAAATTTAACCCGCTTGTTTACAGACTTTACAGAGCAATAAAGACACTAAAAATATGTACAGAAAATACAGTTTGATACAAAAATATATGAAGTAAATTTTTTTTTATAAATATGAACTGTACAATATATAAAAATGTTTAATAAAATATATATAAATATAGACTTGAAAATATATCACAATAAAATAATCTTCATATATACATGTACATGGAATATTTGTCCATACATGTACATGTAATAAATAAACTGAAATATTTTATCAATAAAAGTTTCTTCTAAGCCAGAATCAAAATATACAAAAGTCTTAGTTAGCTTGTACAAGTACCGTATAAAAGTCCATCACAAATCACCTCGAACAAATCATGTCTGATCACAAATACTGAAACATTTATTAAAATCTCAAATCTGAGATTAGAAATACAGCCCTATATTACATTTTATGGCTGACGTTTGATGATATGGTATCACATGGAATGGATTTTGTATATATCACACTTGCTATTATGGCACGGACTGGTCTCGTTTATAGGATTTACGCCTCGTCCTCGACTTGTAAATCCTCCTCATCTTCCTCAGGGATCTTCGCCATCTCTTCCTCTCCGTCGATGTCAGAAAACGCTACTTTTTTCTCCGCGGACACGGGTTTATCCCCGTCTCCAGAGGTCAAGGTTATGTGTTTATTTTCATTTTTCGGAATCACTCTTCTCTTTGGTTTTTTCCAGGCGTTCCAGACGCGGATTGTTTGATCCCAGGAACAAGAGACATACTGTAAATACAGGATATATTTACAATAAATATTCCAAAAGGTAAATGGTATGAACTTTTTCCTCAATAATTTCATTTGGTTTTACAGAAGAAAAAAATATATCCGTGTTCCATATTTACTGAAGCTGACCTGGTTTCTCTCTGGGATGTGGATAATACTTCTTACAGCATCAGTATGTCCAAGATTGGTCTGAACCAGGCGGTAATGTTCACTGTCATAGACCCTGAAATTATAGGGACACTGCTATATACAATGTTCACTTTCATATACAACTGTACCCTGAAATTAAACGACACGGCTATAGACAATGTTCACTGTCATATACCCTGAAATTATAGGAACACTGCTACAGAACATAAGTGAACCTATGTAAATTTAATTAATTCCACCCTTCTCCTCCATTATGGCACATTTGTACTATCTAACCATTTTTTTAAAAGGAAATCTCAAGAAATATTTCACAAAAATTATTTTACTTTATATTTCAGTCAAAAGTGTTTTGACTTTTATAAAAACCCATGGATTTTATTTGGTTCTTTTTCCTGTAGAAATCCCAAGTTCTCATGACTGTCTCAGCCCAGGCTGACAGTTCATGACTTGTGGTAATAGTCTCGTCTCTTAAAAATGTCACACAGATTGACTTTTCACTCCAGTAATAGCTTACAAGACATTTTGGAGAAGTAATTGTAGTCCATTCAAGCACTGATGCGAAAAAACATGCAAGCAAAAACAAACATTTAATTCACCATAGAAAGGAACCTGGTGTGCTGTTAATGTCAAGAATTTTTTTGTTTATGTACAGTATACAAGATGGCCAATTAAATGCTTCCAAAAATATCTTCAAACACTTTTTTATATATTTTCTAGAATTGTCACATGCTCCTGGGACTAATTGACATGTTTCCTTGAGGAAGAAATGTTCTCACCTGGACATAAAGTTTTAGCTTTCATTCAATGGACCAAATATTAGTGATTTAACAAACAATGCATATTGTTTTATAAACAATGCCACTCTATAAAACTTCTTATCCTTTGTTCATTTACCTGATGGTGTTCTGGATACCAGCTACAATACTTCCATTCAGTTTATCAATACACATACAACACACCCCTCCTTGAGCAGCCAGAATTTGTTCACATTCATTTAAACCATGCCCAGCCTACAAAAATCATACAAACTCTTTTATAGAAAACAGATTGTAATTTAAAGGAATTTTATTCACATATAGGAATATACAAGAATATGATTTAAGTCAGTGATCAAATACAACAAAACACAGTGCTCACCCAGATTCGGATAGTTCCATCTTCTGAACCTGTTACCCATGATCCTTTTCCGTGGATGTTCCATCGCACACACGTAACTTCACCTTCATGACCTTGTAATGTGTTGACCAAAGTCATTTTAGCACCATTTGTAGAAAATTTTCTTATATACACCATTTTGTCACTGGAGGCATAGGCAAATTCTTTGCTGAATAGAAAGATAAATCTCCAAGTGAATTTTAAAAGCTCTTATTGAATACAATTCACATGTTCTTTCTAAAACAAGCAGTTTCAAAGATAAGGATCCATATATGGAAAAAATTGTAAAACCAGTTACAGTAAAACCTGTCTAACCAGGACCACTGGTTCCAAAGAAATTTGCCAGTTTAGACAACATTCCAGATTACACATAAAACAAGTCAATTTACTGATAGGGACTAAAAGTTTTTATCTCTTAACAGACATGATTTTGGAAAACACTAAGGATGTGCGATTTTATCGGTATACTGGTATATCAGGATTTTTTGTTGCGTGATACTTTCGTGATACAGAGATCTAAATACCGGTCTTTAGGTACATATTATAAAATCCAAAAATTATTCATTTATTTGTTCAATCTTTCAAATTACAATTCCAGCAAGTATAAAAAATGATTAAAAAGTGAAAAGAACGGCATCTTACCGTCCAAACATAATTGATTTTGTATACATAAAAATTTCAAGATAGTAAAATTTTGTTTTTCTAGCATATTTTTTAGAAAAATAATGACTTTCATATAAAATCTTTGTAAAAACTGCTTATAAGAATATTATGATATTATCGTGATATTGTGGGGAAAAAATCGTGATATATCGCGATACGAAATTTTTGGCGATACCCATCCCTAGAAAACACAACATCCACATTAGATACCTTGTGTTTATTGCATACTATCCATATGGTGGCATATTTATGCCTTCCACACAACTTTTTGTTAACATAGCATATTATGCCAAGTCAAGATAACTATCTCATCAAGTAATGATAACTTTCTTGTTTGTTGACAAACGCCGACTTTATATCTTCCAGATAAGCATTCATATCTTTGTGATAGCTATTATATTCATGATGCAAAATAAGTTATCTTGTCATGTCAAGATACTGTAAATACCTAATTAAATGCGAGGAATTTATTATTGCGTAATTTTGCAAGAAGCATCATTCACAAAATATAATTTCTCGCTTTTATTTCTATGGTGCTAAAATCCACGTAAATTCTCTTTATCAACCGCCCATTCATGAATAAATATTCTTTCGATCTGACATTAAAGAGCCATATTACGATAATAAGTACTTGTGAAAAATAAGGATTATCTACAGAAGCTATCGCAACAAATGTGATATCTTATCTTGACTGGACAAGATATAAAGTCGGTGTTTGTCGACAAACAAGAGTTATCATGACTTGAAGAGATAGTTATCTTGACTTAATTGACATGATATAACAAAAAGTTATGTGGATGGCATAAATATGCCACCATATATACGTACTGTTTTGGTGAGTAGTCCATATCCATGATGACCCCGTCACAGGCAAATTCCAGACTCTCATAGGCAGCACCAGGGGCAGTGTTACGGAAAGTACCCTCCAAACTAAAAATAGATACACATAACAAACAATCCTTTTACAACATCATAGAAATATATTATATACATTTTTTTCTCAATATGAGTTTTGAATTTTCACTCTTATGTAATGTGTCCAAGGATTTTCATGATAGTGTACTTACGTTCCTTTTTCTAGATCCCAGATACAGATTCTCTTATCCCAACCTCCACTCAACTGTCAATCAGAAAATGACATCATGTTAAAAAAAGGCAAATTACAAGAATATGTCATTTCTATATTGTTTGTTCTCCAATGTAAAATATGAATAACTTATTGAACATAAATCAAAAGTAAAGTACATTGTATTATGGATCACAATTAAGTTTAAGAAAAGGAATAGCAAGTTTTCAGATATAAATCACAAGTTTTGTATAGGTTACATCATAGAAGCCGTCGATTTCAACGCACCATGAAAACGATATAACCAATAGTATGAGGTATCTATGACGTAAGCAACTTGTCGCATGTCTGATGATGTAAATTTCATTGAGAGTGTCAAAATTCAATAAAAAAATATTGAGCGTGTCATGAACTTAAGATTCATTTCAAGCTAGCTCTACAACATGTCGGACGTTCTTAGTGAATATGACTTTGACTTTTTAACTGAGTTTGAAGATTTTGACGATTTATTTTGAGCCAGACACTCGACAAATATGAAATGATAAATCACATAAACAAATATCAAGGAGTTTAACGATATAAAGTTTGGAGATTTTACCGTATCTTTCAAAATGGATTAATCTTTTGAACAACCGGGGACTTCAACTGAGTTAAATACATGTATTTTTATTTAGTTTAAGGCTAAGAAATAGCTTAAAAACATGTTCATTTTTCTGTAGTTATGAACTTGTGAAATAATATCAGTTTTTTTCTCATGACCTGATTTCTGCCTCCTGCAGTGATATATGCAAGTTTTCGCATATGTGATATATAAATCACAAGTTTTATAACGGATAACACATAATTTGTATCATATTGCAAAGTTTAACATGTTTACATAATTTATAATAACGATTCACATTTTAAAAGTTTTATGATAATACACATGAGGCCAGCGTACAAATTCTGAGTTATCCTGTGGCCCCAGTTTGTTTGAATTAATATATTATAATTCTAGAATTTTAGAGAAAACTGCATAGTGTAATACTGTATACAGGTAAAATTTCAACCTCATTTTATTTTTGTCCCCTTTGCCCTAATCAAAACTGGTTAAATTTAAAATGGGGCAAATTCAAGAACACAGTTCAATTTCTAAACAGAACTGTGACAGTGCCAGTTTAAAATGCAACAAAACTTTTTGCACGTGTGAGAGAGAGTAAAATATCACGAGGCGAAAATAAAGCGCTCGCTCTGTTGAATAGACCTTTGGATTAGAGGTTGAGCTCTACTTATAATGTTATACCGATTTCTTTTTTAACCCTATAGCCGTTTTGAATGATATCTAAATGAAATGGAAACACTAATGAAATTAATTTGTGATAACACTTTAAAGCAAAAATTAATGGAGAAATACATTGTAGTAATCTTTATAAGGTATAGGTTGATCATGTCAACAATTTAAGGTGAGGGTCAACAGCCTTAATATTTTAGTGTAAGTAGGAAACAGCTGAATCAGACAGCTAAGAAAATGACAGTCTATGAGACAGAACATAGAATGAAAAATTATTACTTTAATTTACAATGACATACACTTATCATAATAAGTATAAGTCATGCAGATTTATGTGTGCATGTATTTAGTCGGTGATAATTTGACTTGTCAGCACATTTTTATGGTGCACAGCTATTTAAGAACATGTGACATAAAAGTTTATTAATAGCAGGGATTCCTTGTTGTGAACTTTAAAAAATGGAACCTTTCTCAAACACATTATTATTTTTTTTAAATTTGAAGAAAAGTCTCTAAACTTTAAACTAGAAGCATTTTCAACCAATATACATGCATACATTGTTATCAAATGTGTAAACTACAGAGTTGTTGGATATTATTATCAATGTCCAAATTTAATAGTGGTCAAATATATCAATGTGTAAAATACAGAGTGCTCAGACAAAAAGTTTGGAGACTAAGAAATTTTGTAGTACTTTATGCAAGACATTCATGATTCTCTGGTTGACGTTTAAATATGAATCATAATGACCTTCAAGATTAATGGGATCTGCATAGACTTGGAAAATTCCATAAGCATTACCATAACAACTTTATAATGTAAACGATAAACAGAGATCTTATAGGTTTGGTCAATAATTAATTGCCAATCTAATTAGTATGATGAATATATAAGTACTTTTATCTAACTGAAGTTTCTTCGCACATAAGATATATACCTGGCTAAGTAAATGGGACAACGTGCCAAATACATGACAAATACGTGACAAAAACAAACAGTTTTCATGACATGCATTCGACATTTAATAATCGTATTGATTGTCAGTGCGTAGTTACATAACGAATTGACAAGTTACATTACAACTTTACATGATACATGCATGATTCAGAGAAATCTATGACCGCAGGGCTTTCTAAAAATATAGATCAAAACTGGGAGTTAACCATTTCAAACATCGTCTTCACATTATGTCATATAAGCTACTTCTGCATTTCAATACTCCTATCATTTATTTTATGCAAAGAGAAATTTACTTAGTCTTGTTTTATCCATATGAAGAATTTAAAATATCATTTGAATATATTGGAATCACAATTGTCATTGTTGTTTACTTAGTTTTCATTGTCTTGAAAAAGTAAATTAATTTGGATGTAAAAAAAAAAAATTTCATTATCAGAAAACCTCTGACAAGTTTGCAACACACACCATTTCATGTGTTATTGCATAAAAGAGACTTTGGTATAGACTAGTTAACAAAATTATCATCAGATATTGAAAGAATTTTTTTTAAAGCAGTGCCTAAATAGTTAATATTGAACATTAACAAAGTTGAGGTGTCTTGTCTCTTATCTTTGGAAATGATTTTTGTCAACTTGGTTGTATTTGACCAGACCAGACCAGACAGTTATTTTACAGACCAGACAGTTGTTATACAGACCAGACTATACTTATACAGACCAGACTGTACTTATACCGACCAGATATGTGGTGTCCATTCCATACTCCTTCCCTATCACGACCATACTGGTGACACAACTCATGTGCTCAGCAAACACAAATTTACACACAAATCCTGCCACTCGATTTGTCACTGAGTCACTTTCCTAAGTGCCAAAAATAAAAAATATATATATCACAATAACTGGCAAATACTTTTAAAGACAATAACTTCTCAAATTGTGTATATACGTATATAACAAATTGCAATTTTTCAAGAGAAAAATCAAGGTGAATTCTATGGTAAATTTAATTTTCTAAATAAAGGACTATTTCAACAATGGAATATGATTCTTACTTGTATTTCAAAATATTTTTTGATAAAAATGATTAATTTTGTTAATTAATTTGAGGAATAGTTTGTGGTTTGTACATATATTTTATAAAATTTAACACTATTTTACTCCTATTGAACTGAAAAATCTGAAATAAAAACTACAATTAATTAATAAAGTTAATAAAGCCACCAGTGAGAGCAAAAAGTTTTAACTTATTTTTTAAAGAAGCAGCCAGTTTTAAGAAGAAATATTCAAAAGAGACATGAATGACAGAATCCAATCACCAGAGATTTTGTCACAAACACCAGAGACAACAAGAGTTATGTCCCTTCCCACCACTCTTAACTATAGTGTTTCAATACCCATCTCTGTAAAACCATCAAGACCAGGAACTCTACTGTTTTACTGCATGCTTATCAAAATGTTTTCCATGACTGCATACATATAATCTTTGAAGAATACTTGGTTGTGCTGGCTCATAATGCTTTCCTCACCTATATGATACATGCCTCTTCCCAAATGACAATTTAATACATTGTATTTTAGTTAATTGTGTGCCACAGTATAACCAGATAGTGTCAGTAAACTGTATTCAGAAGTAAACATCTTAACCTTATAGTATTCAGTGGATATCAGGATGCAATCTCCATCTTCAAATATACAGGTACTACATTAAAATGACACACAAATTCTAATATGCATTTCGCATTCTGTAAACATTCCGGTACATAAATTTTGAAGCAATACTCTGTGAGACAAAAAAAATCTTTCTACTATAAATACAGTGAAATGTGAAGAAGCACTTTAAGTGATTTTTTTTTTTAAAATCTACATGCACAATTTAAAGCTGTATAAGATTAAATATGTAAATCTAAAATAGCCATTGTGTGAGACCTGGAATGATCTTGTAAAATATACTTTGATAAACAATAAATGTATTTATTATGCAATTTAAAAATAAAGTTAACTGACAAAACCTTGCTAAAATTTAAGGTTTAATGACCCATGAAGAGCAGATCAAATAAAGCAAGTTCAAAAGACATACACTGCTTTTTAACTCAGATAAAATCTTTGCAAAAATACATCTAAAACAAGAATACTATGCTAAACTTTATTCAGAAGACCTAGGAAAAGGACTCTTCTATATACTATCTGGACGTAGTGTAAGGTAGTAGCTGCATCCATTCATATCAAAACTTTAGTTTGGATAGTAAGTAAAGAGGCAAACTGATAGAAAGGCATACAAACTGACAGACATATAAACCAGGTGACAGACAGACATGATGATTCCAGTTCATCTTCAAAATTTTAATTGTGAGCTGTATAAAGACTACCCTACTTAATAAAAAACAAGATTGAAAAAGCATTTAAAGATGGCAGCATCAGATGGCACATTTAGTGGGTCAGCTAAAAAATCCCATTGATGACAAAACGAAAGCTTTAGATAAAAGTTAGAAACTAATGGCACAAAAAAAAAAAGAGAGACTGCACTCGGTTATGTAGAGTACCGATTTAACACTGCTTATTTCTTCTTCTTCTGATGTCTCCTCCTCTTCCTTATCAAGAAATAAAATTGTCAGCGTTCATTTTTAGAACTCTGTGCTCTGAGTATGATTATTTTTTCATATATAAACAGCTATTGTTCAAGTTTTAAACATTGAAATTTTACTGATAAAGCTTCTTTAATAGTAATGTAATGTCAAGGCATACACACATACATTGTATATATAAATATTTATAACTTTTTCAAAGATTTGCATGCATAGATTTCAAACAATGAAATTTATCATTTAAAAAAAAAATGCATTTCACAACACTGACTGGGAAAGAATAAACCATGTAGGAAGGCTGGATTTCACTTTTGTGGGTGGGGGTGATTTTTGATGAGGTTAACTGTGAACACATACCAGGGTGTTGGGTTTATTCTGTGGTAACAGCTCAGAGTCAGGGTCAAGTAGGATACTATATTTAGCCACCAACTTCTCCATATCCATAGGTTTCATATCCTTCAATGCTTTCACTGCATCTGAGTCAAATGCCCAAACATCTGTAGGGAAATACAGCCTATAGAATCATCACTGAGTTTTTCACAAAGACTTTTACAAAGATTTTGCACATTCTGAATTATATTGCTTTTATATGTTGATAGCTCACCAAACATCAAGAAGCCCAATATAAATCAATATCAAAGAAGTGAGGTCAAAGATCAAAAGAAAGGTTAAGGTAAAAAATGATGAGGCAATTGAATCACTGTAATCAATCTGTATTAGCACTGGAATAAATTCAACTTATTGAATCAATGACAATATTTAATCTTTAAATTAATAACACAAGCCTATCATTTTTGATACTGACATATATTGCTGTCCTCTGATGCTGCTATGATGTAGTCAAATCTCTCCACAAACACAATCTTAAGTATGGTTGTATTGGGGTGGTTATGTACCGAAGGCTGTAAGAAGAAGCAAAATCAACTTAAATGCAATGAGGAGATTTTAGGCAGTAAGTGAACATCAGAGATATATGTTTATGTATTTCAACCCTCATTCTAATTTATGTGTATATTTAACAAACACCTTTACCGCATGTGTCTTTTAACATTATACTCCTCATAGCAAAAGTTTTATTCGACTGATATATAAAACCAGTTCTAATCTATGAAGTAAAACCTGTATTGCAGTGTTTGTTCTCACCGGTGGTATAAGTGGTTTATTGTAAGCGTAATGACTTCTGACATGGGTGATTTTCTGTTTGGAGGCCTCCACCTTAGCTGACTGGGTGTCGTTGTACAATTTGGAGGGAGACTGGTTCAGCTGCTGCTCCAATAACAGCTCTCGTGCCTTGCTTCCCACTTTTTTCTGCTTTTTTAGTTTGTTGTCACTCAGCTGATAAAGTTCCTTACTGAAAGAATCAAAATAAACCAAAACTACTTCTTTATACATTTCGCAGGATATGCCTTCAATTTGTTTTCCAACCACATTTGTTACAAACATAAAATTAAGCAACATTTTTTTACTTTCAAAATGCATGTCTTATTCTGATTGTTTACATATTTTCATGTGTTTAGCATCATGAGCAGTTTTTCTGGAGATCTAAAGGGAAATAACTCTTGATATAAAACCTACCTGTACATGAAATGGTTAGACTGCATTCTCTCCCACTTAATAATCACTCCTTCATTATCACCAGAAAATATCAATATGGGTACTTTCTTAGCTGAAAAGTAAACAAAACATTAATACTGGTTACTTCTTAACTGAAATGTAAACGAAACTTTAATTCTGGAAACTTCTTAATTGAAATGTAAACAAAACATTAACTTACTTATTGTTACTTACTGTAACTTATACAAAAAAGAAGTAGGATTAACTGTTACTTGTACAAGACTGAATGTAGGATTTACTGTAACTTGTACAAGGATGAATGTAGGATTAACTGTAACTTGTACAAGGATGAATGTAGGATTTACTGTAACTTGTACAAGGATGAATGTAGGATTTACAGTAACTTATACAAGGATGAATGTAGGATTTACTGTAACTTGTACAAGGATGAATGTAGGATTAACTGTAACTTGTACAAGGATGAATGTAGGACTTACATTAACTCATACAAGGATGAATGTAGGATAAACTGTAACTTATACAAGGATGAATGTAGGATTTACTGTAACTTGTACAAGGATGAATGTAGGATTAAATGTAACTTGTACAAGGATGAATATAGGATTTACTGTAACTTGTACAAGGATGATATAACGAATTTAGGATATACTGTTTTGACTTGTACATATAATGAAATTTAGTCTTTTACTGTAACTTATACAAAAATTTGATGAATTGTAGACTTAATTTTCTTTATCTGTATATAAAATTCAATTCATAGAAAACCTTACTGTAACTTGTACAAGGATATTGTAATATTAACTGTAACTTAACAAGGATGAATGTAGGACTATATATTAACTTATACATATGGATATAATGAATTAATATAGCAAATTATACAAGGATGAATGTAGGATTTACTGTAACTTGTACAAGGATGAATGTAGGATTAACTGTAACTTATACAAGGATGAATGTAGGATTTTATGTAACTTACACAAGGATGAATGTAGGACTTCCATTAACTTGTACAAGGATGAATGTAGGATTTACTGTAACTTGTACAAGGATGAATGTAGGATTTACTGTAACTTGTACAAGGATGAATGTAGGATTAACTGTAACAGAGGCTTTCTAGATTACATGACTTACTGTAACAGAGGCTCTCTAGATTACTGGAACACTTCAGAGCTGTGATACAACCAGATGGATTATATTTCCATACCACCAGGTGGCGTCGACTTGTGGAGGCTGTAAAAAAACATCCAAATGTATTTCTAGTCAAAGCAAGGTACATTTATTGTAGGGAAAACATCCTAATGTATTCATAGTCAAAATAAGGTACATTTATTGGTTAACTTGCATATTTATCTCCATATATGAACCTGTGGTAATTTGTTTTAGAGTTTTCTATATATGATTCCCCTTGGACACTTACAACACTCACTCGTAGCTACAATCATTCATCTCAAAGATGAGTACTTGAATATTTGCAACATATTCACCAATAGCTACAATCCTTCGAGATATATATCCTTATAATATTTACAGTACTCACCTATAACCTCATTCAGCTCAGGAATGTACTTCAGAATCTGCAGCTGATATTTTTCTTCCTCCTGTTGCTGGAAGGTTCCAATAAAATCTGATACCTACAATGTAATCAAAAAGACTTCACATTTGACATCAATTTTCATAATAATGAATGGTTAAAAACCAGCTGGAAGTACAGTAAAATCGGTTATAATGAAGTCACAGTGAAATTACTTCGCTATATCTGTATAAATTCATTATATTTGTATAAGGAATTCATTACATTTACATAGCTTTGGATCCAAGATAACTTCGCTATATCTATTCATTCGCAATATCCATGTTCGTACTAAACAAGTTTTGCTGTATATGTACTATATTTATAAAAATGTTTGACTGTAAAACTTATCTACACAAATATACTTATAAGTAATGAAGCTCTAGACTTACATTATCCCCTGACTTGGGATCAAACAGACTGGCATATGATGTCCCCCCAGCTACCCATACTGTCTTGTTACGAGGCACATAACAAATTCCGGAAATCGTAGCTAAGAAATTGTCCAGCTTGTGTGTGAATTTGCCATCTATAGACCAGATCTTCACAGTCTTATCAAAAGAACCAGTCATCAACCTAAAACAAACATGTGAATTGAGAGCTTACATGAAACAAATTATTGTTTTACCTTGGACTAGCTTTGACACTGTTTACTGGACATGTCAACCATATTTCTGTTAATGGTGAGTAACTTAATATAGACAACAAAATGGTGGATAAAATGATGTTACTGAGCTGTTTTCTTTTAAAAGGGGACCCTGAATCCTTTCAATAGGGAATTTTAGATTCAAAAGGTAAAAATATTGATTAATTTATGTTCTGTTGCACTGATGTCAAGATGTTAAAATATTGACAATGCAGACACCTGTCCTCTATTCATATTATGCAATATTATAACAGTTACCTCAAGATTTATCATGAAATGCTTGGAAAATTTAATCTGCTTGTTGGAAAGAAATGTGTATCTTAATTTTGATTTAAAAAAATCAAATTGGGATAGGGTCCTTTTACCAAACTAGCATGCAAGCAACCTTATAAAGCTCTGTAATATTCATCCATGCATGTTTACATAAAAAGAAACATGAAAGTGCTATCTTTTTGCATTGAAAGAAATCAATATATATTGAATATTGTGGTTAAGTTTAGAGTATCATCCCTTTTTAGTGATATAATCATCAAACAAAAAAGATGACAAGTGAAGGAGATTTGTTTTTCACAGAGAAAATCTTTTTATTTTAAGGGGGCCGACTATAGTTTCCATTGCGCAATATTTCACGCATCATAGTAAAATGAAGTGTATTTACTGTTTTAATGCAACTTTTTTTGCTTAATTATTGAAATTAAACAAAACTCAGAAATTATAGGTATAAAAAGGTAATTACAATTTGATATAACTGATTTTTTAACCGATTTTGCGATTGATAGGTAGGTTGACGTCGTTACAGTGTTTTGTTTTTTTTTGGACGTTATGATAATCTGTGTGTAGCTCTTAAAGAAAGGGGTAATCAAAATATTATTAAAGAAAAAGTAATAAACATACGCTCTTGAAATTTAAAACATAGAAATTTGAGAATATCTCCAATATTTTTAAAATATTTTCATGTAAATCCATTATGTACGTCATATTTTGTAATACTCTATGAAAATAGTAAAATTTGCTATTTTTTTTTGGCATTTTGAGATGCCCCCTCTGGTAACAAGACGGTAGAATTTTGTGTTTCTTACATATATTGTATAATATAGTATTACTCGTCAAATATTATAGTTTGAACAAAATGTCTATTGTAGTATTTGTATAATTTGCTTTAAAGTGCTAAAAATTGGCATTTTCCTATATAATCCTATAGTAAATGTACCTGTATTTTGAGACGGTCCCTCAAAAATACCTGGACGGTAGATTTCCACCAAAATTTGCATTTACACTGAAGTTAATGTAAGTTATATATGGTATAAAAATGAAGAGTTTCACTATTGTAGTTTTCACACAATAAAACTAAAGTCGGCCCCCTTAAATGATCTATGGTTTTGTTGTCGTATTGGCCCTTGACAAAACAAAACACATTAGTCTGCACAAGACTGTTTATTTACTGAAATACACTGCATTGATCAATATCTCACAGATGACTGATTTGAACAAGTTATCTACAAAATACATGGATGTTTTCCTAGAAACATTTTATTATTGTTGATTCTGTGTTTCTAGTTATTTAATACTAAGATTTAATATGATTCTAGCCTTTTCCCTTTTACTAAGCATTCCATTCTTTGGGAGGAATGCAAATCTTCTACATGAACAGTCTTTAATTTTTCCTACTCAATGACACTTCATGACAAATTACATTAAATATTAAGAAAAAAAAACTAAACATTTGAAGGCTTTACAGTCACAATTTCAGCTGAAAGGTTTATTTCAGACTTTGGTTCTTGTGACAGAATAAGAGTTAAAAGCTTTAATAATTCATTGATTTCACTCACCATTGGTTATTTTCGTTGTCTTTTTCTAGCAACATACAGCAAATCCCTGCATCATGAGCTTTAGGGTGCCTGATAATTAAAGTTAACAAGAAATATAAAATAATGCAAAGTATGCTAAATGAATTGGTGTATTTCCCATTGCATGTGATAAATCCCAAGTCCTATTACTGATATCAAGAAACCACTAAACAAAAAATTGTCAGTCGTATTATTCAATTCTTATGATCATGTAAATACTGTAGAAGTACTTTTTTCCACGTGGTATTAATTTACACTATGAACGCGGTCACACATTTTTGGCAGAAATTTGTCCAAGCGTACTTAATGTATAAATGTAAGGCATATAGTGACAGGCTAGGAAAACCCCATAATTTTCTACACGCGGATTAAACAGAAATTGAGATTCCGTGGAATTATGACCCCATAGAAAAAAGTACATCTACAGTACATGTAAGCTTGACCTTTGACCTAGGTACTGTCTTATAAAATATGTGCATCTTCCTCTAACTATTCAGCGTCTGTTGTCAACATATTGTCTCATTAGCTGCAGCTGACTGTAGCTTTACTGATCACATGCCACCCATTGAAAAAAGTGTATATTTATTGTGCACTGAAAAGCATGCTGTTTCTTGATTTGTTTCATCATATTTTTCAAAATTTTACTAACCATGCGTTTTTAACATATCCTTTTATTACTTCCACAACAAACTGCATGTACAAGTCATCACAGAGCTCACTGGAAAATATTACCTTGTTTACTAATATGGCAGTAATTAGTAAAGACAGGCCAAATTTTCAACAGTCTCAATATTTTAAGCCCAGTAGGACTATATTGTATAAACAATGGTTTTGGGAAATATTTTGTTGTGAAAGTAGTAAAAGAATATGATAGGAACACACAGTTAATAACATTTTGAGATTGCAGCATAAATAAATGGAGAAAGAAATCAAGAACAGCCCATTTTTTGTACGCAATATATATACCCTTTTTTCAATTAATGGAACTGTAGCTCTCTGGTAATCTACCCCATTTTTTTTTCAGACCAGCCAGCAACAGATCTGCAGCTAAAGGTCTCACATAAAAGTTTTAATGGATCTATACAGACAATGTTAAAGGGCAAACAAATCTTGATGCTAGACTCTACCTTAAAAGATTTTTGTCAAAACTGACTTACTGATGTAATGGTGCCAAACTGTTGTCTCGTGTGTATGATGAGTCATAAATCACAATTTTCTGATCATACCTACAACACAATGTTTATAATAAAAATTATCTCAAGATTTAGTCATAATTAATGTCACATTAACAGAATTGCGAAGAAATGCTGAATTACTGGGAAATCACTGATTTTTTAATGAGTTTACTTTTTGTTGTTTTTGTGGTGTCGACTATAAAGATCCAAGAATTTATAAACTCTACCAAATGTAAAATTTCAAATATTAAAATAACAACTTAGTGCTTCTTTATCCACAAAATCTAATCCCCATGAAATAATATACATTGTATTTGCCTTAAAGCATGAGATAATAAGCACCGCCCTCAGATTTACCTAGTCTGTATTCCCCATCAATCAAGCGAATTAAGGTCCATCATTGGGTACTTGAAATTGATGGACATTTAGCTTCTAGTCCCAGCTGTGTATAACTCGTACATCTTGTTTGATAAAAAAATTTGACTCAACAAAAATATATGATTTTACAGTATATGCTTATTTTCCAAATTCTTACCCTGCTGAATAAATTCTGGATTCGTGACACAGAATACATCGAACAATATCAGTATGCTCCCTAGCAACATACAAAACCTCCGTATTAATCACATGACCAGATTCCTTATCTGAAAAATATGTAATCAAAAGCTTAGTCAATTTTTTGAGCAGGCCAGAGTCATCAATGAAATATAAAAAGGTATGTTAATCAGCTGATTGTGACTAACCCTCATCCAGATCATACACCCGGACACTTCCATTAACTCCACACACTAACTGCTCCCTCCTATGGTTAATGGCCATACAGTAGACGGGCATACCAATCTAAAGACAGAATAGACAGAACAAAATATATTTACATCCAACACAATCACTGCATAAACTACAGTAGACATGTCGCCGGTACAGATTTCTTAATCAGTGGCTGTTTCATCAATGAAACGTATAAAGACGTTCGCATCATTAATACAATAATTAATCTTTTTAATCCTCCTTTAATTGATTATTTAAACAGATATAAATATAAACAATAAAATGTTATTACTGGAATGAACGGTCGCAGCTATTGCAGAAAAAATTTACATAACGCTTACGTGGGTTATGTATTTTTTCTGCATTTAACAAACAAAGAAAACATTTTATTGTTTAAATAACTAAGACAGACTTCTAATCATATAAGTAAGACACACTTCCCAATAATCTGTAAGTAATTAAACAAAGTAAGTATTATTGAATATTTTATTTAACTGGTGAATTTAAGATTTTAAGATTTTAGAAATTACCTTACACTGATAAACTAATTACATTGATTAAATAACTAAAATGGTGAAATGATTATACAGTGATGAAGCAACAAAACTGCTGAAGTGTTTACACTGCTGAATTACTAGTTACACTGCTGAAGTAGTTACACATACTGGTATTCTGTCATAAACTGTCCCTCCAGTAGACCACGCTATAATGTTACCATCATTAGCTGCAGATAACATCAATTTAGGACTTGCCCTGAAATATTCACAGAATTTCATATCAGTCCTTATTCACATTTTTCAGAAAATTTCACTTTATTTGCAAAGTTCTCATAATATATTCATTTTTAAAAGAAATTGCAAGATGTTATATATGTTACGGCAATGAAGTACAGATGTATTGTGTATTATGTACTTTGTTTATGTATTAAAAGTAAATGTTCTTTAACTATTACATATAGCAGTAAATTAGATTAATTATAAAGTGTTCCAAATACCCTGGCATGTGTTTTCATTATAAGCTGATAAGTCAGCTAATGAAGTGTGACCGGTCCAGTTTAAATTCCAGCTTATACCTTAGAATGCTAACTTTCATCACATTAGATCTACTAATTTACTCGAAAGTATTGATCCAGGTTTAAGGTCATTAATCCTAAAACATGACATGAAATAATTTTCTTTTAATTTAAATCCTTTTGTACTCAGTGTAAAAGTTAAATGAAATGGTCAGTGAGATGAGATTAATCTACACTGTAAGCATATAGTAAGTAAGTAAGTATAAATATCACTGGAGGTGTCAACAGATGGAAAGCTTAAGAATGCACAATCTGGTCCTATAACATGAGGTCTGGGCTTTATACTTGTGCATTCTCTCATTGTTTTTCAATCATGTATTATTACAAATTTTTAAGAGTAAAAATTCATATTTTAGTGTAGAATATAAGAATTTTAGAATTTTGAATACTAAAAAAAAGAGCAGAGATTGTGTGCATGCACTCATTTATAAGGTGTGCAAATCTATTTCAATCCAAATTTTGCAGCAGGGTGTATTTTGTCACATATGAAAAGTGGGGCATAAAAGAGCCTAGTTCATAGTAGGGTCTTACCAGAAGAGGAAATCTGTCACCCATCCTTTGTGTTCATAAGCTGTCATCACAAGCTTCCCACCCTCGGACTCCCAGAACTTGATCACTCCATCTGAAAGGTTCAAGGTCATAATGATACTAAAGGTTAAAGATCGTAATGGTACTAAAGGTTAAAGATCATAATGGTACTAAAGGTTAAAGATCATAATGGTACTAAAGGTTAAAGATCATAATGGTACTAAAGGTCAAAGATCATAATGACAATAAAGGATCTAGATCATAATTGTACTAAAAGTTAAAGATCATAATGATACTAAAGGTCAAACATAGGTAATCAGAAATTACAGAGCTCACCTCAACGAATGTTGTCTTTAAGTAAGGCAAAGTCTCACAATTAACCATCAAAAAGTGTACATTCCAAAATGAAAATATTTATGCAATTTTGATCTGATACTTTGGAATAGACCTATATAAAAACTTCAAACTATTTCTTTTTCATGAAAATGTAATTAAAATCCAGCAGTTGAAGCAAATCTGAGAGTTTTCATCCCTTGATGCATCATTTGTGCAAGTTTTGTTTATACAATGTTATATAAGCCTTACAGTTTTTGGGTAATAAACCTTCACCCATAACTTTTACCTGGTCCATTATCTGAAAAATGCATGTCGAATTCAGCATCCGAAGCAAGTCCATTAGTGTGCATCCTAAGATGGATCGTCCATGCAAGTTTGCTCATAATAGTGTTCATAGTTACTTGGAAATGAAATCTGCATCAAAAACTAACCTTTTCACTCATCCACAAAATGTAGGTCACATTCAGCATCTGAAGCAAGCCTGGTAGTGTGCATCCTTAGATGTATCATACTTGCAAGTTTGGTCAACATAGGGCTTATATGTACTTGGAAATAGGACCTGCATGCACCAAAAACTTGAACCTGTTCACTCATCCAGAAAATGTAGGTCAGATTCAGCATCCGAAGCAAGTCTGATAGTATGCATCCTTGCAAGTTTGGTCATTATAGGGCTCATAGTTACTTGAAAATGAGACCTGCACCAAAAACTTTAACCTGTTCACTCAATCAGAAAATGTAGGTCAGATTCAGCATCCAAAGCAAGCCTCATAGTATGCATCCTAAGATGTATCATCCATGCAAGTTTGGTCAACATAGGGCTTATAGTTACTTGGAAATAAGACCTGCACCAAAACATTAACCTGTTCACTCAACCAGAAAATGTAGGTCAGATTCAGCATCCGAAGCAAGCCTGGTAGTGTACATCCTTAGATGTATCATCCATGCAAGTTTGGTCAACATAGGGATTAAGTTCCTTGGAAATGAGACCTGCACCAAAAACATTAACCTGTTCACTCAACCAGAAAATGTAGGTCAGATTCAGCATCCGAAGCAAGCCTGGTAGTGTACATCCTTAGATGTATCATCCATGCAAGTTTGGTCAACATAGGGCTTATAGTTCCTTGGAAATGAGACCTACACCAAAAACTGCACCAAAAATGTTAACCTGCTCCAAAAACATTAACCTGGTCATTCCTTTGCTGAAATTGCAGCATCTGAAACTTTGACTGTTACAATGAAACACATTTGAAGCATCTTCCATGCATGTCTAATCAATATAGGACATAGAAGTACTTAAAAAGACAACTGCTCCAAAAAACTTAACCTGGGACGCCGACACCGACGCCGAGGGTATTACATAAGCTCCCCCAACTTCGTTGAGGTGAGCTAAAAATCATTTATACTAAAGGATAAAGATCATAATGCCACTAAAGGTTAAAGATCATGATGCGCTCACTATTAAGACTAGCATAGCATTTATCATAAAGTGTGACGATCAAATAGATTTTGATTCCGCTTTTAAAGAGTTATTAACTCTAAAAACTAAAATTAATAATTAAATTGAAATTATTACCAATAATTATTTTTTTTTACAATTCGATATATTCCCTGTGATTTCTTACTAGAAAGTGATTTAAGTCTTCTTTGCTGCAAAATTTATGTGTGGACAGTGTGACACAATCCATTTTGGTATACCAGTCAAGATGTATTTTCGTAGTATTTGAAGGTGAATTTGTGCAGTAACTGTTTGTCACACACATTTAAATTACAGTGTCAGAAGCTCATAAACATGTTATATAATATTTGATATAGTTTTTCCAAGTCTTGCATCTCAAAATTCAGAGGACATGATTAATTAACTATTCCATTCTTTTTTTTTAAAAGTAGCTCAATGAAAATTCATTCAGTAAAAACTGTATTGCTGTTATTTTGAATGTTTTAGACAAACATAGCACATTGTATATAAGCAAAAACTTACCCTCAAACATCCAAAAATATGCTGTACATCAGTATCATGAACTATTTTAAAGTCAAATGTCAAGTTTAAAGGTCACAAGGTAAAAAAAACCATGGTATTTTACACAAGCCACAGTGCAAAGGAATACAAGGCCAGCATATATAATCAAGTCCATATTTCTTTAGTTCTTTAAATTACTGATATAACAGTCATTGTTTAAAAGATGTGTAAGATGGACAAACAGACAGATGCTAGGTAAATTTGTGTAAGTACATGTATGAAGCTGCTCTAAAGGGAAGTTTGTAATTCCTCTGTAATTTTGTCACAATGCGTAAATTTTCTAATATTTATTATCATTTCCATGTGGTGAGAGCACACATGAAAATTAGTACATCATGTTTATTTTGAAATTTCAATTGGTTTAAGTTTGCTTATATTTATAGAGTATACAAAGTCTCAAGAATTGGAGTGACATTAGAAATATATAGGTCTTTATCATATACTAACTTTGTGATTTTTCAAGAATCATTGTTCAGAGAATTTTCAGAAGAAAAATCCAAAAGGTCAATGTTATTTGGTAAACACAATGAAAATGTAAAGAGCTTTACAAAGAAATGCAATGGGACTGTTTGCTTTCTCTCATTATTAAGTAATTCATCTTGACACGAGAAGTAAGTATACACTCTGTGAATCATTTTACATAAGTAAACATCTGAATTCATTCCAGTGTTTACCTCTATAGAATTATGACCTTTCGTGGCTTTCTTTGGATGTGGTACCTTTACAAGAAATACTTTTCACCTTGGACTCTAACTGAACAAGACATATTAAAGGTCCAAGATTTGTTTGCCCACTTTTTAATCTGTATTACAGACTTGTTATTTTAATATCAAGATGATTTACAGGATAATCACATTACTATATCTTAACAAATTTGAAAAGAATTCCATGTATCCATATTTCTTAATGTTACAATGTATATTAATGTATTTTAAAAAGAAGTAAGCCAGTCAAAAAAAATCAAATCAATAAAAAAATAGTTATGAAAAAAAAATCATATTCAAATACAAAATCTTACATTTTTATTTTGTCACTTTTATTTTCCTTGCATTAGTCTTTTTGTACTGCAGTATTCCCTATTGTAGGCTGTGACAGCATTTATTTAATTGACAATTATGTATACAGAGAATTGTAAATTATAAATATGGATATAGAATCTTTGGCAATAGTCTGTGTTAAGGTGGTTTATTTACTCTATTTTAAATAAAACAGGATGTTTTCTTTATAATAGTACGCTTCGTGAAGGGAATAGAATTGAATTTTTATTTGTTGTACTTCTTGTTTATTTTCTCCCAATGCTTTCTCATATGTTTAAAGTAAAGAGTATCATTTTCATTCAGTGGATAAATTACATGCATGAATTTTCTAGTTAAAAATGTAATTTATGTTGAATGTGCGACCGTTTGGGAGAGCGCAGATACTTCTCTTTTTTTTTTTAAATTTAGATTGGATACAACCAAACATGGCAGTTGATGCATATATACTCTGACATCACATGATGTCAATTGTAAGTTGCATTACCAGAAACAAAGCCTGAGCAATGCTGAAAGTTAATAAAGAACATTTCATTTACTATTTATCATCAATATATATCCATTAATTATGTTAAATGAAGGCGAATTTATTTTTTGTTGAACTTTTGTCGTTATTCTTATGAGAACATAGCTTTAACAAGTGATGCATTGTGGGTCCAGAGTAACTGCAGAAAAAAATTGTTTGGATCAATGTGCAAAGTCTGTATTTTCTCTTTGCCCAGACGTTTCTTTAAGAGCTAGAAGTGATGAGTAGTGCTTCACGCTGCTCTCTGTGCTCCCTATTAACTGCATGTTTTTACATAGACTGACAGAAATAGAACTTGAAAATATGTTTAATTATTTAATTTCAAGTCCTCTATAAATTAATTACATCTTTTTTGAAGCCATGCACAGTTTGGATTGAAGACTCAGATACTGCTTATCTCACAAGGGGCCTGAAATTGTACATTCATAAAATAAGTAATGCTCTTTTAAACATCATCGCAACTTCAAATTTTAGTTTTACCTTCACAACCTATTAAGATCTCTCTCCTTGCCGAGTTGTATCCGATTGCAGTAATGGCACGGGTGTGGGTGTCCCGCAACGTATAATGCTTTTCCATGGCCATTTTGAAAATTAATTTAAAAACAAACTAATTTAAACACAAAACCATATTACAAAGTTTCCATGTTAAGATAACAGTAGGTTATTTCCGGGAGCACTGAACCGCAGCCTATTTTTTCTAATCCCCATGTCGGTTTTGCCGCCATCAATGTATTTCTTGACAACAAATACTTCCGGTTTGTGCATTTCGAGTAGTTCGATCCATAAAATATTCTACATAATATTCCATTGAAGAAAAAATCATTGATAGTGTTATTTGTGTCTTATTTTATACATAATATCAACATCTTTTTTAATATCCTAAGGTAACAATGATATATTAAAAGTTCAAATTCAGGGTTTATCCCATTTAATTAAATGGGTCTCTGCGTCAAGGACCCACTGTGTAGCTACCGCACTACCCCCCCCCCCTCCCACCAGCACCACCACGCACACACCCACTCCTTCTCACACCCTCACCCTCACATACACACCCTACCCTACTGCTACAAGTAACAGCCTCCGTTACCGTCATTACCTCCTTATATACCTCGGAAATAATGAATATTTTATTGTTTCGTGTCATTCGTTAAGGTTCAAAGCCTGATTTTTTTTTATTCAACAATTTATTTCCACTTGTGGTTTCAGCGGTGAGAATTTTTACAATGGATGCTAGAGGTTACGAGGCGCCTTGGGTCAAAAGTACCTCGCCGTGAACTTCTAGCATGCTGGAGTATACCAAACCCTTGCTTGCTTACTGCCCCCTACTTTTTCCCAAAGAGTACTTTTTATCATTTAAAATGTTTATTGAAAAACCGCCCCTTCCCTTTTTTTTTGTAGTATACTCAAAGAAGGGTAATGTAGTGCTCAATGTATGACAATATTAATTTGATACTGAATGATGCTTGAACCTATCACCTCAATCCTACGAAATACTTAAAGGTTATTATAATGACCATAGGACTTATGAATTTAATGCTGACTTTAAACGAGTTTGTTGTTGGGTTCCCTTTAACATCAATTTATCTGTCAGTAGCCTGAGTCTCTTTAAAAATTAGTCGCCCTCGAAGCACGTTCTTGTAAAGCAATAAGTTAAGAGACATAAACACTATAAGCCAGTGAAAGTGAAATATAAATACATAAAATAAGGAGAGTATATTGAGTGCTAAAAATTGAATCGACACAAATCTAATATTCATTTTGTTAAATTTTATTTTAATTTACGTCATGGCTACAGTTATAATTGGCTTGATTGATAGAGTTTTTAATGCCAAATGAAAAAAAAAATCCCTTTAGTTGCCACAACACGCACCGTCATCAGTGCAAACACTCGTAAATTATACATTTTGACGTTTTGTGTATGCTTGCAAAGTTATTAAAATTACTTATAGTAAACTCGGCTGCAAAAGAAAAGTGTAAAATAATAATTTGGTACAAAATTTAGTATTATTCTATACGAATAAAGGAAGCTCTAGGCTAAACACTAACAAGTGCTTTTTGGACTTGGAGAAAAATATATCATATAAAGTGTGCATGTTGAGACTTTTTAATTTATTTTCAACATAAGGTACATGTACCTGCCTTAATTCTGCAGGGAAAATGTTCAACGACAATGGACTATGGGTGAACAGAAACACTGTTGTTTATCTACATTGGGAAAATTAATTCAATTACATATTAAATTCTTGGTCTAATATAATGCTACATTTTAGTGTGTTACAATTGTGTAATTAACTGACAGGTAAATAATCATTTCTACTATTATCTCACTTCTAAGGTAGATCACTATATAACAGCATAAACCCAAAAGTACCCTATGATTAGAACTCTTTATAGCTTTACAATTATTGTACATCTGTAATAGAATAGAATAGAATAGAATAGAATATCATTTATTTCCAATTTTGGGCCCATGAAGGGCATTCAAGAAAAATACAACATAAATTAAAAAAAAATATAAAGCTAAAGAGAGGAAGAGATCCAAATGATAGTTGAATTCATATGCAACAATGAATATGTATAATATATATGATAAAAGTACACAAACGCAAACATTATGCCACATCATGCATAAATTTTAGTGGATATATCTACCTTGTCTGCATATTATATCATTCTCGACTTTCAGGAACATCCTGAGACAACATTGGATCTTTTATTGTAACATTTAAATATATATTCTGCAAAACTATTTATTATATCACTACTTTCATTTGACATTAGCCATATAAATTTATTTCTATTTGAAAGTGAGGAGAAATTTTTATTTTCTTCACTTATATGACTAATGAATACTTGCCTATATAGTTTATAAGTTGAACATTCAAATATAAAATGGATTTCATCTTCTACAGAGTCAAGCACAAAGTTTACACTTTCGATTTTTTCTGTATCTGCCAGTTTCAATTTCAAGCTTATGTGAACTAATGCGGAAGTTTGTAAAACATTTAAGAACTTCTGGTTTTGATATCATAGAAAAATATTTTTCTTTTATTAGTCTTGTTTTGTATAATCCATATGTTCTAGTTTGCCTTTTTCATTTCTAACACACTCTGATAAATTATTTTGCATATATTAGTAAATAAAAAACTATTGTATTTAAATACAGGATAAAGCAAAAATGACTTTCTTTCTAACACAGTGCACTTGCTAGGAATTATCACATAAGTGACGTTTAAACACATATTGCACCACATACCGAATGTAAATAAAAAGTAAAATGTAAAACACCATATACAACCGATTTCTTTCAAAATGGTGCATAAAACAACAAAGTGTGGAGTTCACTCGGGGAATACCCTGCGTGCGTCACACAGCAAGTAAGTTTTGTTTATGTTGTCAATGTGGTGGATCAAAAATTTTATAATAGCTAGAGATAAATTACCATGAAATTAAAAAAAATTACAGAAATAATGAGAAGGATATTCTGTTTAAAAGAGAAGTGGACAGGCTTAATTTCGCCTACATCCACGCTGACTCTTAAGAGATTAATGATCGAGAAGGGATGTTATTTATAATATTTGTCCTAGACTATAGCATTCAGCGGCAAATGTGTAATCTTTCTTTAAAAAATATCACGTTTTTTTAAAACCTTCAAGCAAAAACAAAAAAAGTGTTTTTAATATAAAAAAAATAAAATAAATGATATATCAAATTTTATACCATGTTAATATTTGAAGTGGGGTTTTCCTTTTTCTTTCTTTCTTTTTTTTCAGACAGGGGACGGGGGTCCCGGTAAAACAATTCACTAATCAATTTAATGCAAGGAAACTCTTCCTTTGGGGGTGGGTGGGTTAAGGAATTTCAATATTTTTTTCGCCATTCATTTACACAGGCTGCATGAGAAATGGTTTGCGATGGGGATAGTTGAAAACTAAAAACAAACAAACAAACAAAATTTTGGTGGTTTGCTAATTAATTGTACATTTTGAAATTAATTTTCTCAAATCAATCAGATGTAATCGTAATTCCGACTTCTTCCAGATACACCAAGACATATAGAAAACAGTCCTGTCTTGTAAGAAAAGTAAAGAATTCCACCAACCTTCGCCTTCTGCAGGACTTTGGTATTGGCACGGATGATGTAGCCTACTCCCTCAGTAAAAAAGGCCGCTGGGTCCTGCCAACAGTCCTGAAGGAACACATACTCCTCGGCGGATTCAGCGAGGAAGGTCCTAACGTTCAACTCACCGAAAAACACAAACTAAGAAAAACAGCCAACTGTCTGGGATTTTACGCCTCTAAAGGACCAACCAGAAAAGCTGTTCCCTCTAAGAAACGATATTTCAATATCTCCAGTGTCAGGAAAGAACCCCACGTGACAAGTGAGGAAAAAGAAGAAGTAACTGAAGTTAAGGGAGTCAACCAATGTTCTGAACCCGAAATAAATGTTGAAGTTTTCCTACCAACTCCGATCACAAGCTCTCTCACTCACAACCAGAAATACATCAGACCTATTCATGATACAGATGTACAATTCAGTACAAAGAAACAAAAACGAAAGCAGAGACATCGTATGCAATTAAAGTTTGACATGGAGGCCGAGGTAGATAGCTACGAAGATGATTATTGGGAAGATGAGGAGACTGAAGGTTACGATGATGACCTTATTCAAGCTGAGCATCAGCGACCACGGGGTTTCTTTACAGCAGCTGATGTCCTCAGATCAGCACAAAAAACCAAACAGATCTTTGAGAAGTCGACAAAGAAAATGGACCATAAAAACTACCAAGATGAGAGAAACAGAAAAGGTAAACTTGTATATATCGACGAACCTAACCTCACAACACAGAATAAGGAAACTATGGACAACAAACCAATCGAAAAAAATACACCAGACATTGGTCAGCGTAGAAAAAAGCAAGCCATGGTTCCAAGAAAAATTGTTTTGTCCACCGAAGAGACAAGACCAGAGTTCTTGAAATTCATTTACGGTCAAAGGTATATGGAATGCAAAACATTTCCTCGCTCTTTCATGATTAACATAACAGATGAAGTGAAATCTATGATGAAACAGAACGTTCGGATGATGTATAAAGCTTTCTTAATGGACTTGACAACTGTCCTGATTTTCACGTATGATATATACACAGCCTCCTCTGATGGGGAGGAAATATTCGATGTACATATGAATCTTAACATTGACTCAGAAGTAATAGAGTTAGAAACTCTTTTCGATTTCTACACTGGATCAATGGAGTCCGTTATTGGCCAGGCTGTCTCTCAAGTAAAATCTTACTCGGAAATGCAATTTACCAAGCTGAAACATTATCCAAAAGGAAGCAATGAAACAGCATTTGATGCCATAACTCCAGGTCAGGCAAAGAGTAATACGTCAACTCTAACAGAAGAAGACGTTTTCGCTGAAACTTTGCTGATTAGCAGAGATAGAAATGAATCCAGTGAACAGATAGGCCTTGGATTCGAGACTCTTCCACCAGAAATATGTTACATCTGCTTTGATGAAATGAACGAGAACAGACCAGGAATTGCGATGGAGTGTTGCGGCCATTGGTTTTGTAGGAGTTGCTGGAGAGAACATCTAAAGCAACAAAATTTCTCCAAGTTGCTTTGCCCTGAATTCGATTGCGAAAAAGAAGTGGACTTCACACTGATTTTACAAGTTTTGAACATTGCAGATGTCCGGAAATACTTGATTCGTCAAAAGGAAACTTTAGTACAGAGCCAGTGCAAATACTGTCCAAACGAAAATTGTGATCGTGTCCTCTCATCATCTTTAACTGAAAGTAAACAATACAACACCATCTGTGAGTGTGGAACAAAGTTTTGTCCTGCTTGCTTCAAGTTTCCTCACTGGCCAGCCCCATGTGAAATATCACAGGAATATTGGAATTTATTGAAAGAAAAGGGAGTTGATGTAAAGTTTAATGCAGAAGATGTTTCATCCACGGAGCTCAATGTACGCGGAAAAAGTTGTCCTAAATGCAATCAGTTTATAGAGAAAGAGGGCGGGTGTTACACTATGACGTGTGTATGCGGCGTCAGCTTCTGTTGGGGGTGTCGTGGAATTTACGGAGTAAACCACAAAGAAAGCGACCTCTGTGCCCAGTGGAAACACGGCGACAAATTCCGCACTACGAAAAAACGCATCTCTACAGATCCCCTACTTTCACTGAAAATGAAAATGGAACCCGAACGTATTCAATTTGCAGTCAATCAGCGCGCCGAAAGAGCAAATTCCAAGATAATACTTATGAAAAGGAAGACTCATTATTTGTGTTTAAGAATTAGGACTCTGGGGCGAAAATCCTTAGCAAAAGCTGCTGGCTTCCTTGAGGGATACGAGTCAAATGAGACCAACATCTTGTCCAAATTTAAAGATTTCTTGCGAGACATGATTAAACTTTATCTGGAAATGCGACATCTTGCCGAATACACTGCTGTGTTTGCAAAACAACAGAATCCAAAATCACAAAGGAGTTTAAACTGTATTACCGAGCGCTTGGATGATTTAGCTTCCCAAATTTACGTGGAATTCCAAAGGGACATTGGCGCAGACCTGACGTGTCTTATAGATCGAATGCTATATATCAAAAAGCACTGCATTCATACTGTGTCTGGACTTGTCAAAATTGTTGATGAAAAGAAATTCAGTTAATTCTTTTTAATTGAAAAAAAGAACAATTATAACATTCAGTCAGATCATAAAATAGTTAATTTACAATTGTTCAGAAATAATCATTTACTTGTATTTAAGGGAGTATTAAAACAGATTTTTAACAGAAAATATAGTATTTGTTACCATTTTTGACTTTGATGATTTTTATCTCACATCTCCTTTTCCTGTAGAAATCAAACAAAAAATCTGACCTATCCCTTCTCAACTGTACCTGTAATTAGTGACAAATTATCAAAGTCTGGTTCCAGATTTGAATATTTGATTAGACGTTAAAGAAAACTCTGGAAGTATTGTCATAATTTCGCACAATTAACATATAGACAAATTAATATTTATGAAGTAATGAAACATATGGAGCTAACAAACAGTATTCAAGATCAAAAGTCCATAAAACTATATAAAAAAAGGAGCAAACAATGACCTCCAAAACACCGGAGGTGGGATCATGTGCCATGGAGGAGTGAGTATCCCCTGCTGACTGGTCACACCCGCCCTGTGCTCCTTATCACGATAGGGAAATAACGGAAAAAATCCGTCGTCAATACAGTGTATAAATAATGGACTAACAATTAGTATGAATAAGTCAGTCAGCATTTTACTCAATGATAAATTGCATTTGCTGACAAGGTCATTGTATCGACCATAGAACTTATGAAATGATGACAGCTAAAATTGTTGTTTTATCAACTTGTTTGTCAATAATTTACCTCGTTTTAGAAATTGTTCATACGTAAAGCATGCTATTGCGTATCGAATCAACTGAGATATATAAACTCCGTATACAGGTGATGAAGGTATATTGCTGCATAAGTAAGGGGGGTTTAAGTTAAAGTCATCACGTTTATATATTTTATTTATGTATTTATTCACCAATCAAAGGGCCTCACGGGGCATATGCAATGAAAAACAATATAATCATGATTATAACTGCATTAACAAGTAATGGTTGCGTCAGGTGCAAAATTGGCTTGATCCTCACTTGAAAAAGTTCTCAGATTTGAAATGCTGGTTTAGTTCACAATGAAATATTAGCATCACATATAATATAATAATAATACAATATAAAGAAAAAACCAAGCTGCTTTACACTTCAATGAACAGACAAATAATAGCAAACAAGTAATCATAAAATTACTCGGTATTATTACAAAAAGTATATATTTTGCTGGCCTGGTAGCATAGGGTACCAAGGGACGATGCCTATTGAGCAGTCTGGAAAAAATGAAAAACCAGCTTGCTCGGTCTTGTACCCCAAGCAACCAAGACAGCTTACAGGAGGAAAGCTTAATTTGTTGGCCTGACTACACGGGGTAGCAAGGGACGGTGCCTATTAAACAGTCTGATAATACAGGGCCCGTTTAACAAAAGGACTTCCGACTTAAGACCAAGTTAATTCTTCATATAACTTTTTAAATAACATTATATCGAAAATTATTTTATACCTTTATAAGGAATATGGTACTGAGATATTTTTACACAAACAATTTCTCAGAGAATTATTAATTTTGAAAAATTTTACAATCATTTCAAGTGTTTGGTCTAGTCGCAAGTTCTTTTGTAAAACGGGCCCCAGACTGTCAGTCTTGTACCCAGGGATTTTCCACCCAATTTTGGGAATGGGTCCCAGGCCCTTACCATTGCTGTTCATTTCTTGGAAAAACAGAGTAATTTTGCAATTGGGAATGGGGCACATATTCGCAACACGGGGCAGTGGAAAATCCCTGGTACCCCTAGTAGTCAAGACAGCTTGAGGGTATAAAAGTTCCTAGTATATAAGTTGAAAGGCAATGCATAAAGATACAATTCTTCGGAAATCAGATTCTATATAAAAACAAATACAACGAACAAGAATTTATACGAGTAGCTTTTAAAATAAAAGATGGGTTGACAAGGCGGGCGAATTAAGTGCCTATATTGGGACATACTAGTATATGAAGTGAAAAATAAAATCTCAATTTTATCAAAATTTTCTTAGACATTTAATCTAGCATTGAAGTATATTTTATGTAAAATCTCACAAAAATATTAATTAAGGTCTAAAATCTCACTATTGGTAAAGATTATTATTCTTTTTTTTTTTCTTCTACTTCCTACTAGCCTCACATCTCACTTATTTCTCAACTGATTTCGCTCAAATTTTCAGAGATACAATTTCAAAAAGTCACTTCCGGTTTTGAGTTATTTCCCTTTAAATGAAAATTTATAGGCTTTCGTTTCCAGACAAAGGCTCAGAGACGGCTAAAGCTGGAGCAGAAATTCTACTGATTTTAGATAATAGAAGGATTGAAGTTGTGCACATCGGTTTTTGTTTTTCGATTTCTCTATTCAAAATGGCGCTATATAGGGGTCAAAAATTAGAACGCTTAAAAGAGTAAAAATTACTCATATTTTGCTTCTTATCTTCTAAACTAAAAATATTTTGTTAAGACATATAGAACAAAATTTGTGCAGAATTAGAAGATCTTTCACATTTCTCAAAAATTAAGGGATCTACAGGGGCCAAAAGTTTTTTCCAGATATCTCAAAAAGTATTGAGAATTTGTAATACGTCCAAGAAGCAAAGTTGTTCAAAATGTCAAGCTAAATCTATTGAAGTCGTCAAAATGCGTCCGGCGACGTCACTTCAGGTCAAACCGGAAGTCGTAAGAAAATGCATATTTTTACTGTTCTTGACAAGTTTTTGGGTAACATATGTCACTTAAAACTTAATTTTCTGTCCGTCGACATCACTTCCGGTCAAACCGGAAGTAGCCAAAAAAGCTTATTTTTAAAGGTTTTGATACAAAATTGAAATTATAAAGTGACTGGACACGACTTAGCTCATTGCTTTCTTTTGTTGACGTCACTTCCGGTCAAAACAGGACGGAAGACCTACTCGTTGCTTTGCAACGAGCTTTGCTCTAGTTACTAGTACATTCCAAAAGATGAGTTTCCTTGGTCTCTGCTAAAAATATAAGAGGATTACAGCGTACTACCAATCACATTTCAAAAATTGATTGGGCTACTTCTAAAAAAAAAAAGATTTTCTTTATTTTTTTTTAAATCTTTCATCTCCCCCCCCACCCCCCCCCCCCCCCCCCCCCCCCCCCAACCCCCCCCCCCCCCCCCAAAAAAAAAAAAAATTTTGGACATGTTCAAGTCAGCACCAATCATATTCTCATAAATGTAGAACTATACTCCAAACCAAGGAGCAGTGAGATATATTTTCCTCCTGCGAAACGGGGCATCAATTTATACGGTCTCACCCGAAGGACGGTCTTCACCGTCATAGCCATCCCTTATTTCGAGATTCTAGAACAGAAGCTCTAACCATGCACTGCGTCATGCGGGCATAAAATGTCAAATTATATTTTTTGAAGTGTGACAAAGGGGAGATGGTGTATTTTTCTTTACATATACTTTAATTTGATGTCTCAGCATGTGTTATATTTATCAATTTTGACATCTCTCCCCCTCCTGTCTCACACTTTCAATGACAGTATTGTCAGTGTAGAGATAAAAGGTAGAGCATTCCTTGTCTTAAGAATTTTGCCGAAATTAATTTGTGTGTGTGCGTGTCCTACGTGTACATTAACTTATATTATACAGTTATAAAGTACTAGTATATAATTGAGGGAGTCGACAGATTCCAGTTCCTCAAGAGCAAGTTTATTATAATAAATTGGGCTCAATAGATCATAAAGTGAAAATGGATTGATTCTTTGAAAATTGTCTTTTCTTTTCAGCTAGAAATTATGAAGAACACGATTTACAGACAATGTACATATGTCCATAATAGATTATAATAATTTGTAAAAATAGTGCACAAAACAAGCAAATGGGGTGTCTACTCAGGAAATACCTTGCGTGCGTCACATAAGTTTGTTTACTTTATATAAATGGAGCGCAAATTATAATTGTAAAAACACGTGTAGTCTCACACCCGGTTTTTTTTGTTTGTTTTTGGTTTCATCGGAGATCCCCTCTCATAAAAATATATTTAAATATAAAACAAACAGATAAACAACATTCAATCCCCACTAAAGTTGTTCAAACAGTTCATTTTTTCTATATACATGTATATAATAAATATGGAAATATCCGACGATGTATTAATCTTTGTTAATTTGTTAACGTGTCGTTTCATTCTTTTTTTATTGTCCCCCGCTTTCGCGAAAGCGAGGGGACATTAAATCTCATTCGTCTGTCCGTCAGTCTGTCAGTCTGTCCGTCTGTCAGTCTGCCCGTCACAAAAACTTTAACCTTGCCCATAACTTTTGATTTAGTAGAGCCATGACTTTCATATTTCACTTGTGTATTCCTTGTGACAAGACCTTTCTTTGGGTACCACCAAATTTGACCTTTTGACCTTGACCTTGGAGTTTGACCCACTTTTACACAGAAATTTCAAACTTTTACTTTGGCCATAACTTTTGAATGGAAGGTACTAGGACTTTCATATTTCACAAATGTATTGTTTGTGGTAAGACCTTTCACTGGATACCAACAACCTTGACCTTTTGACCTTGACCTTGGAATATTTACGTACTTATGAAAAAACGTTAACTTTGACCATAAGTTTTGAACGGTGAGGACTAAGGCTTTCGTACTTCACATATGTAATCCTTGTGAGAAGACCTTTTATCGGATACCAAGAACTTTTACCCTTTGACCTTGACCTTGGAGTTTTAACTACTTTTTAAAAACTTTAACCTTGGTCACAACTTTTAAACAGTAGATACTAGGACTTTTATATTTCACATATGTATTCCTTGTTGCAAGACATTTCATTGGATACCAACAACCTCGACCTTTTGACCTTGACCTTGGAGATTTACATACTTATGAAAAAACTTTAACCTTGACCATAACTTTTGAACGGTGAGGGCTAGGGCTTTCGTACTTCACATATGTAATCTTTTTGAGAAGACCTTTCATTGGATACCAACAACTTTTACCCTTTGACCTTGACATTGGAGTTTTAACTACTTTTAAAAAAAAAACTTTAACTTTGGTCACAACTTTTGAACGGTAGATAATAGGACTTTTATATTTCATATATGTATTCTTTGTGGCAAGTTCCTTTCATTGGATATCAACAACTTTGACCTTTTGACCTTGACCTTAAAGATTTACGTACTTATGTAAAAACTTTAACCTTGACCACAACTTTTGAACGGTAAGGACTAGGGCTTTCATACTTCACATATGTAATCCTTGAGAGAAAACCTTTCATCAACAACTTTGACCCTTTGATCTTGACCTTGGAGTTGACCTACTTTTAAAAAAGTTAACTCTGGCCATAACTTTTTAACGGTCAGGATAAGGGATTTCATCCTTCAAAAATATCAACTTCAATGATAATTTCTATGAAATGACATATGATAGGATGTTCATATTAGACAC